CTGAACTAACACCTTCCCTCCCCCTCCAGCCCCTCCGAAGCCTTCATCGCCCTCACAAAACTACACGGCACCGTCCTGGAACCCACTATCCGCGCCGCCTTCGAAGCCCTCCCACCCATCACCGACCCCGCCTTCCTCTACGGCGAATGGACAGGCGGCAGCTTCGAGAACGACCACCCGGGCCACGCAACGCTAAAATCGATGCGCTGGGCGGGCAAGAACTTTCGCGATGTCAACGACGTGGACCCGATTGTCGTGTACGACGACCAGGGAAAGCGGGCGGTGGGCGAGGCGTTCGGGGCGAGCTCCGCGCGGCTGAGGAAAGTGGAGCTGTGGGGAAAATTGAGTGTGGCGATGGTGTATGATAAGAATCCGATTATTGATCAGTTTCGGTTTGTGGGCGAGGATTTGGTGGCGGGCGCGATGGATGTGAAGCCGGATACGGGACGGGTGTATTATTTTTATTTGAAGAGGAATAAGAATGGGGAGGGAGAGAAGTTGTAAGAGGAGTTGAGTGGAAGGTTGAGATGAAAGGGCGGAGTGTTGAAAGCTGAGTAGCGAAACAGATGACGAAGGTGAAGTATTGGAAACTTGAGTAGAGCAACACAGAAGCAGTAGTGCTTATATGAAGAAGCTTTTTCTAGTCCAGTTGGAGCTTCAATTGAATTGATAGAAGGAAATTAAGACAGCCATTGGAGAAGTAAGAAGGCCTATTCCGGAGGCATACGGGGTATTGCCACCCATCCTTCGCCAATCCACATCTCATAGCAAGGTTCTCGTCTGAAGCTCTTCAGAGCTTAGTACTTGACGGAGAAGCCACGCTCGCCTTGCCTCGCTTCTATATCTGACTGTTCAACGCCCGTAACGCGAGCTGCCCGGGGGCCTTTGTTGAGATGCTGGACGAACTCGGTGAGGACACTCTCGCTGCCCTGTGCTTCGCCCTTCACCTTCGAGGCAGGTCAGAGTACAAGTCGATTCTACGAGGGCAGGTAGTAGCTTGCCGTTCCATCTGATGCATTCTGGACGAATCCTTTCACGCCCAACTTCTTAGCTTGCTGCTGGGTGAAGTCACTGTTAATGGTGAGAACATGTTGAGGCTGCTTGGGCAGGTGCCGAGTTCACCGAAAGCAGACGCCTATGGGGTCCAAGTTAGCGATGATCCGTCTGGGGTGGAGCTTGCAATGGCTGACCTTGGACTTCTCCATCGACTTTGTACGCAATCTGAGGGGCATTAACACGAGTCTGATATAGGCCGGATCGGGTAGTATATGGAGGGGCAACATACCCGCTTGTCGGCCATTTTGACGGTAGATGAGAGAGAATTTCCCATGGGATGGTGATAGCAGGTCTCTAGGAGAACAGTGTAGGGAAATGCAGTTACAGCCAGAGCGTTTTAAGGGTCCGGCGTCAAACAATGAATTTTAATCGACGTCATAAGACTGCCTTCCCGCGGGGAGTAGCTCAAGGCGAGCTGACTCGGTGCAACCTCAACATTCCAGAAGGCTCGCCCTAGCAGCACATCCCGCGTTATCTCGATAGGGCAGATTGCAGCAGACAAAGACCTCGGGCTGGCCTGTGAATGCAGCGCGTTGTTTTTGCTGGCGACGCGTTGATCGCTCGGCCCGGCACCTCAGGCACCTCATCTCCGAAACGTATTCGCGCTTCGTTCATGCGTCGAGCCCCCTTCCACACCACCTTCTACCTGAAACCCACCGCGACACCACACATGCCGACACCGCAACTACGCTCATCGTAACCTGAAGACCCTCTGCATACCCTCATCCAAGGACCATACCCTCCTCCCATCAGGCGCCTGGAATGCCCGTGGCCTTCTCCGCGTTTTTGCCAGATCACCATGTCTGACGATGCTTTGGCTTCACCTACCGTCGAAAGACCCGGTTCGCCTTCACCATGGGTCTCACCCTCACTCGCCATAGGAGCATGTCCGCCGCTGGACCGCTCCATTTCAACGGCATCCTCAGTTTCCTCCGTCTCTGGTCGATCCTCCAGCTCGCGCCTCTCCGATAGCGGATTACCAGGCAGGCGGCGGGGCTATATGCGACCAGAAGGCACAAAATTTGCAGACTCGGCTAGGAATCGAGAGAGCGTTCAGAACCTCGGTACTATTGCGCATCTGCAGTACTATTTTGCGCGAACGGGCTTGCTGGACGGGAAAGGGGCACAACTGGCCAAGGCACGAAAGTCTGGAGGTGGAAGCGGCTCCGAGTCACCATCCGGTGCGGTGGAAAGCATGTCCCCTTTAACCATGCTTTCGGATAGGGACGCGGCATTCGATAGGTCAGAGCTTCTGCTGGGTGACTCGCAGATTGGGGATGGGCTTGTGGAGAGCCCAATCGACCAAGAGGATGGATCGAGCAGCTGGGGTGATTATCAGGAGCCCATGATGCTCCCTCCGACCGTCAGCACGTACAAAAACACGCCCGTTTACGTCCCGCCGCCGCCAGATATGGTGGTCTTGAGAAGAGAACTACGGGAAGCTATGGTCGACGCACTGCAGCTACTAAAGGAACTGGACAAGGCAAGCGGAGGGAATAAAGATGGTGCTACCGCAGGTGCTGCTGTTGAGACGGAGACACAAGGGTGGTACGAGATACAGGGCCTGCATTTCCTCGACATTGTCACACTTGCTATCCGAGCCGCCAAAAATTATTACACCGCACACGAACAGCCGCAACGTTTATACTCGATCAAGTCCGAGCGACAGATCCGGAAGGAATTGTACGAAGTCCTAGATATCCTCAAGCGCATAGCCACACGCAATTTCGCTGGGGGTGTGAAACCCCTTGAGCGGGAGGCGATCCTGACATGGGCGTCCGGAATCGGGAGGCTTCTCGACACAGAAGAAGAAAAGGAGAGGGTTGAGATTGAGGAGCGGGAGAAGTGGAGATGGCGGGAAGGTGACTGGAGCGGCAAGGAGCGAGATCGAGAGGTGCTCTTCTTGCGCTCTTTCGACCCTGATTCCGAGGAGCTTCCAGACTGGACAGAGCCAACAGAAGGAGTCGAATTGCCAACGCCGTTCCTCAAATCACTGCAAAATGGCCTGCGTCTCGTTCATCTCCACAACGCGCTAAACAAGAAGTCCCGCCGGCAGTTCGAGGAGATCAAACACTACCACACGGACACGGCTAAACCATACCGATGCGCAGACAATTTGCGATACTGGATCAAGGCAGCCCAGCTGAGATGGGACGTCAAGCTTGACCTGCTTGACGTGGATGTAATGGCTGTGGTACACGGCGACGACGCAGCCGCATGGAGGAAATTTGACGAGGCCCTGCTCAAGTGGTGCAAAGGCGTACGAGAAGAGATCATCGCAGAGTGGCAAGAGCACAGAAAAGCCTCGCAGTCGAAAACACCCACGCTTCGGACCTCGTTCGCAGCATAAAGGTGGCTGGTCTGAGACTCAGTACGACGTTATTGGACCGCAACGACTATCGGTTGGCCTGCATGGCGGGCCGAGGTACGAGTAGGGTTTTGAGCACAGCGGAGGCATTGAAATTGGCGATGTTGCATCTTTTCTTTCCAGACAGCTGTCTGATGACACAGGCATTTGCCGTTTATTAGCACCCACAGTTTGAAGATACCCCTACAGCATCTTATTATTTCCATAGCGCGGACGGAACATTCTCCAATCAATCTAAATGCCAGAGAAAAGGCAAAATGAATCAGAATAGGTCGCGACGTTCACAGTTGCTGTGAACCATACGGCACTCCCATATCAACTCTTCATGCAAGGTGCGGTGGCGGCGATCGTGAGCATGGAGCCACCCCCTGGTTCGTGCAGCGGGCTGCTCTCCGTCTGCCCATGATCGCGTCTCAGCGGACGGAGGGACGGCAGCGTCGATAGGCCGGCAGAGTATGCGGTATTGTCGCGAGCGTGTTGTTCTTTGGCCGCTCCGGCGTGATATTGCTGGCTCCTTTTTATGTCCGCTGGTATTTTACAAGGAAGGACCTTATCCGTCAAACGCGAGCGCGGTGCGCGTCTCCAGGCCGTCAGACCCTTGGAATTCCGGAGATCATGGGCCTGCTAAACTGCCGCACTTCTTGGCGTGTGCCCTGGGGGGTTGTGCAGCAGTAGCGCGGGGCAGTGTAGCCGGGTTCGAGGTCCTCCTGGATATCATGGAAGAAGTTTTGCTATGATATTTCCCTTGTAGGTGCTCCCAAGGAGATGTATGAGCACATAGCTTCCATCAAAATTAAATAGCGCCTGCCAACTATACGCTGTACATTGGCCGCTCCAACGGCAACTACGGAGCCTCTACAGCGTCACCGCACCGTCGTACGAATTTGTCTCGCGCGGTCTCATATCAAGCTGAGGGACCCTTGACACTCTTCACTACGGTGCTGGCTTATCGTGGTCGCGTTTCTGGCATGCCTTTGAAAGGACTTCACCCTGATCCCGACCACCATTGTGCCCTTCATTATACTGCGCGACTGCTGGTGAAATTGTGCATGCCAAGCTTCCCCGGTTTACAGCCTCCCTAGTGTTGAAGGGCTGCCTGTTCGCTGCGCAACACTCTTATTATCCCCGACCTCCTCCTACAACCATCCATTCACTCCTGAACCTCAGCAGAGCCCGCGCTCCCCCATGACGGGCAGCCCGGCCTCCATCCATCTCCTCTCCCCTAACACACCGCCTCGCCCGACGACTGCGCCATCCGTCTCCGATGCCAACCAAGTGAAGCCAGCTGTTCGACCTCACTCCCACGTAGGGCTTTTCACCACATCACCGCCCGCTCGGACGCCAGCCAACCCGGACGACACTGCACTGGAAGGCCTCTTCGTCTCTCGCAAAGCCTCCCCCGGCCTATTGGCCCGCATGAAACTGCTGAACCAGCAAAAGAGTCGCGTTGTCTCGTCGCCCATATTAGGCCAGGACAAAATTGGGAAGATCCCAGAGAGCCAGCTGCGGGAGCTGGACATCTTGCACAACAGGGACGGCTCCATTCGCATCCAGCGCCTGGGCCGTGCTTGGACTGGTGTTGGGCCAAACCCGTTTCTGGAGCCTCAACACACCGGTGACAGCCTACCGGCGATGGATCAAGACCCGCCGCCCGGTTTCGACAGCGACCACTCCTCTGTTATCAGTACCAGTGATCGAGTCGTGCCCTCAGACTCAGAGCAGGACGATACTCCGGACACCCTAGGCGAGGATACGCAAAAGTACCGCCTGCCAGACATCACGAAGACGAAGAGCCTCTCGCAGTCAATCACCGAGACCCAGTCAATTGCTGAGACCCAAAACAACTCGGAGCAGGAGGAACCTGGGCCTACTCCTCCACCAAAAGACACACCCGTCACTCAAGCGCAGAGCCTCGATGGTACCGAGACGGAGGAACAAATTGATGTTGCGTCGTACTTTACGCGACGCAGCCACATCGCCCGCGCAGCCTCTATCTACACGCTCTCCCGCGTATCTTTTACGAACCAAATACAGCAATTAACTTCCATCTCCCTCCCACCCGCCGCCTCTCTTTCCTCCAGCATCTCCGCCATCCCCACTTCAACCGCCGCTGGAAGGGCCTTGCATGACGCTGCAGGACAAATCAGACTATGGATGACCAAAGCGTCCGAAGTTCTAAACGGACTAGATGCAGAAGATGACGTCGAATGGGCTGCCGCTGCAGGGCGAGAAGGTCTAGCCGAGGTAGATATTGCAATTGGTCGGTTTGAAAGTCTAGTCAACGTCTACATCACCGCCATCGAGGAATTGCAATCACGATCAGATATCGCAAGCCTGCCTGCTAAGGCATTGGAAGGGCTTATGGGACAAATGGACGAGGTGGTCCGCGACTGGAATAAGATCAAAAAGACCTTGAAAGAAATCAAGAGCCAAGTCGAGATTGCAATGGAATGGGAAGAACTTTGGAACATTGTCTTGGGAGAGATTGGTCTCGAGATTGAGAACTTGAGCCGACTGGTATTTGAGATGGAGGAACGTCGACATCGAGCCATCACCGAGTCCGTCTCTGAGTCTGCCGAGAAGTTTGACATTGCCGAATTAGAGACCATCGTGGAAGAGACCCCGCGACAAATCAAGACGAATAACCGATTCAGTCTTCCCCCTACCTTTTCGGTCAGCTCCCCCATTTCGCCAATTCCGCAGATGGAACAAGAAAGTTCAAAGCTACTAGCTTTATTCGCCCGCATGCAACCACTACGAGCGTCTCTCGATTTTCTCCCCATGCGACTAGCGTCGTTCCAGAATAGGGGTGCCAAAGTGTTCCCCACGGCTTGTGATGATCTAAACCGGCGCAAAGAAATCTTGGAAGCCCAGGAGAAGCAATTGGAAGCTGATGCCGATGCACTACGACAAGAACTTGGCGAAGATAAATGGGTGCACAGTTTCAGACAAGCAGGCAGTAAGGCACTGGCTATGTGGACGTCACTCACAAAGAGTGTCCAAAAAGTACGACAGGCCATCGACGAACAGGACGACGAAAAGCTGGCTAGTAGGATCTCTGCCTACAACGACAAAAAGGAGCATTACCCACCGTCGATGAGGAGGGTTTTGGAGCTTATTGATATTGAGATGAGGAACCGATCCACCGTGAATGGGGAGATCTTGAGGATCCAGCAAGACGTACGGCAAAAGGTTACAGAGAGCGAGAGAGAGATTCAAGAGATGGACGCAGTTCTTGACTACTTTAACTCGAATAAGGCATTGCGAGATTCGGTGTCTACGGTCTTTTCGAGCCGGACAGAGATGTCTGGCAGTGCAATCGACACTCCAGGCAGCTCGCCAGCATCTTCGGTCATAAATATGAGCCGCAAAGGCAGCGAGAACGGCCCTCACACGCCGAACGTTGGGAGAAAATCTCGTCAAGGAAGCACGGCGAGTAGTGTACAGTCCGTATCCTCCAACAGGAGGTTCTCGAGCCTACCAACGAGCGTCAGCGCTGTAAGTCACATTCCTCGCCACTCCTTAGGTTCACGACTCGAGTCGATGTCTATATCCCCTTCTCGCGGGAGCTCGCACACTCCTTCTGTGCACTCCAATACACCCCGATCTGACAGGTCGGATGGTACAAAGCCCCGATGGAACTCGTCTGTCAACATGAATGACACGATCGTGGGGCACAACTTCAAGCCACTTTCGGCGACCACTCCGTCGCCCCATCGGAAGTCTCCCGCTATGCTTCGATCGATGTCGACACAATCTGCCATTCCCGTCCGCAGTCCGCTCAGTCAATCGACGGCGTCACCTCCTACTTCGAAAACCCCTCGACCTTCGTCTACTACGCCCTCTCAACGACCGTCCGCCAGCAAGCGCACCTCTTACATTCAGGCCCCCTCGACACCATCACGGGTACCTGCCACCCGCACGAGCTCCTCGTCAAAACTGTCAGCCAGTGTCACACAATCTGGCCGTCGCGTTAGTCCGATGCCAGAAGCGCACGACGAGAATGGCACGGTCGAAGAAAGCCCAACCACTCGACCGAAACTCGCAAGACCATCGAGCTCAATGAATGGTCGGAGGGCCAGCATGCTGCCGCAAGCTAAAACTCGGCCCACCAGCGAACGTGTCGTAAGTACCGGCGGCCGTGAGAGTCGTGTTGGCGGCAGGATGTCCAGCATGGGCAACAATGCCGATGCAGACCGGCCGCGGTGGAAAGGCTAGATGGTAGGGATGCCACATGCTGTTGGTGCTGTAATCTGTTCTGTCCTCTCCGCTCTGTAGCTTGACGCGCAAAACAAAACGTGGTTGGACGTGCTCGTTCTGGCTGTGGTAGTGTATACCAGACTACTCGTTCTAATACCCTGTTGCGCTTGCTTACTCTCTCTCTTGCTCTTGTTGTATCGTTTGACGAATATGGAGCGTTCTCGTCTCATCTCATGTTATCTTTTTGTCTGTTCGGCGCTCGGAGTTAGGCATGTCATGGCCTGGAGGGGCCAGGTATGCTTGCGCTAGAGTGTCGTGGTAGTGCGAGATGGCCTTGTCCGGCTATGTTTCTCTTCTTTCTTCCATTGCGATGGTCCCCTTTTGAGAATTGTTTCGTTTCACTGTGGATACTTGGCGACGACAGTATTTCTTCCTGGAGGAGGAGAGGGGGTTGTGGTGGTGTTCACCCAGAACAAGGGGGCGAGATATGTTAGAGATCAGTTTATTGCCAGATGGGAACCTCTAGGTATGGTGATGGGTGCGGATATTGGGACATGTTTGTCGGTCTGGGATTAGGTAGTGTGATAGTTTGGCGGCGGCATTTAGTTAGCTAGGCTACCTATACTACTATCTAAAAGCATCGTCATTACCTGGAGTCGTTCTGTGATAGTGGGTTTCTGATGAAGTCTTTGAAGTAGATACCTATTCGACTGCCGAACTCTACCTCGCCACCACAATCTTCGGATATCCCCTATCCGCTGCAAGCTGCACATCCCCAGCTGCACAGCCTCGCGTTCTTCTAGCCGAGATGATCCTATGCTACAACCGAAGTTCGTTTAAGCAACTCAGCCATGGATCCCCTAACCACGGAACCTTAGCACCCGCGCCACAACTGCACCGCCACAAGCCGCCACACCTCGCTTCCGCTCCAGCTGTCAGATGCAAAGTGGGTCGACGGCTCACGATACTTCGTATCTGCTTAGGCACCTTATTGGACGCGTCAGGTGGAGGCAGACCGTTATTGAATCGATGCTGCTACTGCACGACGGATAGACTATTGGCATTGATGGGGGTGGGTTGAGGGTTGAAGGTATGCACTAACATCCCGAGGTGCTGGGAGGAGGGCGTGAAGATAGGCTTGTGTTTTGGCTCAGGAACAGAACCCACTTCCTGCTTCGATTCCAAGGTGCCGGCCAAGCCAAGGTCCCGGTGTACGGAGAAGCCGTCGAGGGATGACGGGGAGTTTCTGCCGCTCTGCAAGCGAGGGCGCAATTCACCAATCCCATCCCGTTCTGGCGAGATACCGGTCTTTGAATTGCCATGCATCTGACGTCCGCACGCGGCTCCCTGACAACTGTTCGAGCGCCGGCGCAACGCCCGCATGGGTTGGCTTTGTGGAGCAGCCAGTCGCGCACGCCGTCGAGCGGCTGCTGGCTCGAAGCGGCAAGGGGCCGTGGAGAGATCGCTGCCGGTTTGGGCGGTGGGTATGACGTGAAGGTGCTGAGCGCAATCAACCCTCGACGGGGGCGCGAGCAGGGAATCGGGGCTAAGTGATAATGGTGAGTAGCTGCTGCGTTTTGGATGCCTTCCAATTCCGCCTTTCTGTTGTTGTTGTTGTTCGTCCTGTCTGTCCCGTTGAATTCTCAAAGGTCTCGAGACCGCGTATTCGTCAATCCACAGGAGGCGACCCAATTGCGGGCGGAAGTGCCACTTTCTATTCTCGGCCCAGATCCCAAGACGCGAGTGGCGAGTGACTGATCCATCCCGTGGTGATCTGGTGCTCTGGTCCCGCCTCCGAGCTTTATGCTATTGTTTCACGCGACGACGGTTCCTGAGTCCACCACAAGTCTCTGTCCTGTCGTTTCTACACCATTCACCGTCGCTATTGAGAGCCTCACTCGCTTCTTAAACCAAGAGTCTTGAACCAGCGAGAGGATATATATCGAAACAGCCGCGTTGAACGCCCATCACCATGGCGCAGCCCACCGCTGCGTACCCGGATAATTCTTCGAGCATGAAGACTAGAACCGTGGAACAACCAACCCGCCGCCGCTCCGTCTTCATGGAAGTCGGCCTCGTCGATGAAAAGGCTTTCGCCGCCGAACGCAAGCCCCATACCCCGATCCTCATAGCGAACCCATCGCCAAAACGCTCGCGCCCGGCGCTGAAAGTACGGTTTCGCAGCCAAGCCGATATCTTCGACCACAGCAAGAGCGAGGACGTGGAAACAGACGCCGGATCTGAAGCAGAGGCGGAAGTGGAAGACGACGGCTCGCTGGCGGCGATGACGCTGAGCACGGTCCCAGAAGCGGGAAGGACGTATTCCCGGCTTTATCGACTGGGCATTTTCGCGTTTGCGCTGGCTGTGTTGTTGCCATTGTTGCAGGGAAACTCTGTTATGGGGGCTAGTGAGAGGACGTTGTTTGGGGCAAGGGGAGGCGTCATTCCGAGGCATGATAGCGAGATTGTGGTGGAGGATGGATTAGTGAAAAGGGAGGATACTCTCACCACAATTTGCAAGAGGTGGAGCCATCAAAGTGAGTGTGATTGGAATTGGATGTAGTGAAGCTAAGCTAACGAATTACAGGCGCTATCGTTAATGGGACGCTCTACATATACGGTGGCCGGGTAACTACCGATTCTCAGCAAAACAGTGATACTTGGAGTATGTTTTAAGATCAACTATTGGAACACAAGGACTGTGCTGATACTTCGCCTTAGCGAACGATTTCCTAACCCTCGATCTAACTAAATCATGGCAAATCGGCTCTCCTTCCCTTACAGGTCTTCCTCAACCCTCCGGGCCGCCAGCTGTTGCAAACGGCTACCTCTGGAACTCTCTCAGTTCACTCTTCCTCTACGGCGGCGAGTTCTCCGACACCCCCGTCGAAACCCCGACTGCTGCCTTCTCGACGTGGGAATACGATATCCCCTCATCCACCTGGAAGGAACACGCCAGCCCCAAGACCTCTGGCGGTAAAAACGCGGAAGGGGATGGTCAAGCTATCCAGCGTGCGGCTGAAGGCGCTGGATTTGGTGTCTCAGCTCTAGGGAGAGGATGGTACTTCGGTGGACACCTGGATTACCTTACTACCGAAGGCTGGAGTATCGACACCGCGCGGGTATACTTGAAGAGCTTGGTTGAGTTCACCTTCCCTGGATATTCGAATGATGCGGTCACGAGTCTTGAAAATGGCAAGACGGCAGGGGATGACGGAGTGTATCGAAATATCACAGAAGGTGGATTGCAAGATGATGCCGGTTTCACTGAGAGAGCCGATGGGTTGTTGGTCTATATCCCCGGCTTCGGAGCTGAGGGTATCTTGCTCGGACTTGCTGGGGGTACGAACGCGACTTTTGTGAGTCTAAGAAGTAGATGTTGTAAGGTTCGGGTGCTAATGATTCGCAGACCCAGATGAACGTCATTGATGTTTATGATATCGCCAATTCGACATGGTACAAGCAACCTACGAGCGGGAAGACACCGGAGTATAGGGTTAATCCCTGTGCTGTAGTTGCAGCTGCTGCTGAGTAAGTCAACTGATGCTCACATTACACGCTCTGGATGTAGCTAACTGTACACTTTAGTGGCTCATCCTACAACATCCACATGTTCGGCGGCCAAAACCTCGTCCCGTACAAAGAACAAGTCCAATACAACGACACGTGGATCCTCTCTATCCCCTCCTTCACCTGGATTTCGGTCGACACCTCCAGCCAAGCCGTCCCCTACTCCCGTGCGGGCCACACCTGCAACGTCTGGGACGGCCAAATGATCGTCGTCGGCGGCTACGTCGGACAGGATCTCTCCTGCGACTCCCCCGGCATCTACGTCCTCAACATGTCCTCTCTCGAATGGGGGACCCAGTTCACTGCCCTTACAGGCGACGCTGCCACGAAAGCCTGGTCTGGCGGCGGAAACGGCGAGGGTTCTAACCCCCTTTCCCAGCAGGGCAACCAGCGCGGCTTCAACGCCTCCTCTGGCCTGGAAGGGTCCTACGGCTACCAGGTCCCCGCGGTCGTGCAGTCCATCATCGGCGGCAACGCAACTGGTGGTGCTACGCTCACCGCGCCCGTCCAGACTCCCACTGCCGGCCCCTTGGCCACCGGGAAACCAATCACCTACACCATCACAGGCCCCAGCGGGGCGACCGTGACGACGACTGCTCCACCCTCTGCCGCTGCGGCGCCACCAGGAAAGAGTGGCCCGAATATTGGCGCCATCGTCGCCGGGGTCATCGCGGGCGTCTTCGCGATCATTGCGGCGTATTTCGCATTCTGCGCGTGGGTGTACCGCAAGCGGGTCATTCTGTGGAAGGAGCACGCGCAGATGGCGCAGCGGCAGAACGAGAAAAACGACACCGTTGCCGCGGGCACAGCGCTCATCCCGCCCAGCAGCTCAGGAGCTGGGGGAAAGCGGAGCGGGAATGGGAGCGCGAAGGTTAGTAGTGAGAGGCCGCCGGGGAGTTTTGCGGGAAGTGGGGTTGCTACTGGGAGTAGTGGGGTGGCGACGGGGAGTTCGGGGGTGGATGGGATTGGGCCTGCTGGAGCTGGAGCTGGAGGCAGTTCGGGGAGGAGGAGTAGCGCGGAGAGTAGCACGGAGGATCTGCTTATGGGGCAGGAGCCGACGTTTTGGGGGACGAGGGGTGTGTTGCTGAATCCGAGGAGGAGTTTGAGGGTTATTAATCGGGATTAGGGGAACAGTTTATATTTTAGGATTTCCCCGGGTATTTGGTATTCTGATCGTTATAGCGATTTATGAGTAATGAAATTTCTGAAGTCAATTGGAAGGATTGGTGGGATTGGTGGGATGTGATGGTGTTTTGATATTGATTCAAAGGTGTGGATGATGTGTGAATTTTAATGATCTCTATTCGGACAAAGTTTGATAGTCATGACCTTTGAACCGGTAGGATACCTTCAGAGCTCACATCTCCTACCTTTCGGAGTACACTTTCGATAATTAATGTGAATCTTCACAGCTTTGCCTCCCTCGAAAGTGATATTTTCCAGTAATAGTTAAAATATAGATGGAAAGTGTACTTTCTTATGCTTCGCGAATTTCTCTATTCAATCAGGATTTTTCATATGATTCGATCTCAATAAATCAAGTGCATACACAAATGTAGTCATTAAAGGAGATGTACGTAGTAGTCGAAGGATTGTGGCTGTGAAAAGCTCCCCGCAAGTGTGGCTTCGCCGACACCAGCACCGTTTCAAGGTCAGCTAGGTGTCCAAACTCTCCCTTGACTACGTCCTCACCCAGCAACAGCAATTCATGATGTCTATAGTCTCTGGCATGTATCTACCCTCTGCTTGAACTATTATTTTCTGACTGAGATCACTAGAGGCCATCTGGGCCGCATCTCCCACGACCACCCGCGGCCAACCCACCCCGCTGTCGTCAGATCCCAAGGGCGAGAGGGTAGCATATGCGGTACGACGCGTAATTAACACCAAATAACTGCAAACTGACGCCCCCACTCTAGTCCAACAAGTCAATCTTCCTACGAAACATCGACAATCCAGCCATCAGCAAACAATACACAGCCCACACCTCCCAGACTTCTGTCGCCCGCTTCTCGCCCTCAGGCTACTACGTAGCTAGTGGTGACGTCTCTGGCACCGTGAGGGTATGGGACTGTGTAGGAGAGGGCGCTACAAAAGGTCATACATCTCCCGCAAACCTTGTTATTATATGGCCATTTTCTGAAAGATGAACCACGCTGACGGCCCTCTTTCTCCTTGCAGGCGAATACCACATCATATCCGGCCGCATCAATGATATTGCATGGGATGGCGACAGCCAACGGATAATTGCTGTCGGTGACGGGAAAGAACGCTTTGGGCACTGCATCACGGCAGACAGCGGCAACAGCGTGGGCGAGATATCTGGACACTCTTCGCAGATCAATTCGGTTTCTATACGCCAGCAGCGGCCGCTGCGTGCGGTTACTGGGAGTGACGATACGAGTTTGGTCTTCTACCATGGTGCACCTTTCAAGTTCAATACGAATCTGCGGGGTCAGCATAGTAGATTTGTGTTTGGGACTGCGTTCAGCCCGGATGGCAACGTGTTTGGGAGTGTTGGTGCGGACAAGAAAATTTGGCTATTCGATGGCAAGACGGGCGAGCAGAAGACCGCAATCGGCGATGGCGTTCACACGGGCAGTATCTTCGGGATTTCTTGGTCGAAAGACTCGAAGCAGTTCGTCACGGCGAGCGCCGACCAAACTGTCAGAATATGGGACGCCGAGGCTGGAAAAGCTGTTCAGACGTGGAGAATGGGCGAAGAAGGCGTCGTCAGCATTCCCGATCAGCAAATGGGAGTAGTCTGGCCCTCAGGACGGAGCGACGGCCTCGTCATCAGCGTCGACCTCGAAGGAAACCTCAACTATCTGATCCCAGGCTCTCAAAAACCGACGCAGGTCGTCCGTGGACACCAGAAGAACGTCACTGCGGCTGCTATATCTGACTCTACATTCTTCACCGGCAGTTTTGAGGGCCGCATTCGAGCTTGGGACATCTCCACAGGCCTCGCCGACAAAGTCGATGGTGATGGCCACTCGAATTACGTAGCCGGCCTCACTGCGACGTCGGCAAAAGGAGAACCCCAGGTCTACAGCGTCGGCTGGGACGACTCCCTCCGCTCCATCTCTGTCCCAACCAAGACCTTCACAGGCTCTAGCACTTCCCTCAAGTTCCAACCAAAATGCGTAACCACCACCTCCGGCACCGTTCTCATCGTAGCACCAGAATCCATCGAACTCTACAATGACGGCGAATCCGTAGGCTCCTTCCCCGTCAAATACACCCCCACCACCATCGCCGCCTCTGGCTCCACAGTGGCCGTCGGGGGTGACGACAAACTCGTCCACATCTACACCCTCAGCGGCACCACCCTCAAAGACGCCTCCACCGAGCTCCGCCGTGCCACCTCCCCCATCTCCGCCCTCGCCTTCTCAGCAAACGGGGAACGTCTCGCCGTCGGCGCTGCGAATGGCAAGATCTATGCCTTCGAAGCTGGCGGGGAGTGGAAACTCATCACCGACCGGTGGAGCGCGCATACCGCGCGAATTACGAGCCTAGCGTGGGACGAGAGCGCGGAGGCGGCGGCGAGCGGGAGTCTGGATACGAATGTAATGGTGTGGAGTGTGAAGGATCCGGGGAAGAGGATTAAGGCGCTGAATGCGCATAAGGATGGGGTTACGGGGGTTGCGTGGGCGGGGGTCGGTAAGGTGGTGAGCACGGGGGGTGATGCGGCGGTCAAGGTGTGGAAAGTGAGTGGGTTGTGAGGAGGGAATTGGAAGAGGGGTGTGGTAGGGGGGTAGTTTGTAGTTTTGAGCGTGCATAGTTATAAAGCCACTGGCGTGCTTGTTCTTCACCACACAGTGATGTGGTTCTAACAGTGATGTGATTCTACCCAAGATGCTTGGGATTACATTTCCATTGCGAGCAGAGCAACGCCGCGGACTGATTCAACGACGGCACTGGTTACTATTAAGAGCTGGATATCATCTTGCATCATCACGCACTCCACACCAACCGCTTTGCGATTATCCCGAGCTTCCACACCTTCCAACGCGAGTGGTGGATGTTGGCCTCGACGACGGGGCCGTGAAGCTGGTTAAGTCGAATGGGGCAATGAGGCAATGGGGCAATGAGGCAATGGGGCAATGGGCAAGTAAATCTGTCTCAGCCATTGCTGGGGCTTTACTCAAATCATCACGACTACCACATCGACAGTATGCTACGTCTCCTGCTAGCGGAGCATGCCCATGGATCGGATATTATGGAACTGATATTATGAGCTTGCTTACAATTCACCTACAGAAAAGAGCTCCCGCCAATCGCATCCAGAAAAAAAAAAGTTCATACATTTGCATGAGAATGCGCCTCAAGAACGCCTGTAAAAGTGCAAAACTCAGGCATGTGCCCGGGGCTTCGTGGCATACCCTCATGCCGGATTTAGCACCGCCATACACCGATACGCCTACGCATTCCAGTCCAGCTTCTGGAACTTCTTGCCCTCCTTCGTCCTGGGGGGCTTCCGGCGCCTTGCGCGGTTCGTTGATGGCCTTCTCCGAGGAGCTCGACTCAGATCGCGAATGCTTTGCAGGAGCAAGCCCGGGAAATTCAGACTCGTCCTTTACATCGGCCTTGGACGGAGTGGCTGTCGTGGTCACACGCGTATCACGTCACCATCTTCCCTGTCGGATCGACTGGGACAAAGTCATCCTTGCTCCTCGTCAGGCTGTTGTAGATCTTCAGTGGGGGCAGCTGGGCGTCAGGTCGGGCTTGAGGGGGATCCATGGCGGCTGTTTGCGACCGTCGGAAGCCATGCTACGTGCGCTCAACTATTTGAGATTGAGATTGTCAGCGTCAAAGAGTATTTGTCTGAGAAAGAAAGAAGAAGGGTCGTACTTTTGGTAGGGGAAAAGAGACAGCTCGACTTAGCGGTGTGATAGTATTAACATTACTGATCCGATTCTACTTCAGCTGTTGTGTTTGGCAAATTGAGGCAGGAATGACTCACCCGAGCAATCATATTCCCTTATTCCCAGCTCTCGGCAAAACTCCGGTTAAGGAAGTAATCGATAGCCAATTGCTTGAACAGCTTCCCGTAAGCTGGCTTCTCCGCCTGTAATATAGCAGGTTTCCGAGGCGCAGATAACTTTGCGTTAAGTTGCTAAGGTCGTAATAGATAAGAGTAATGTAACAGTGATGCGCGTTATAATATGCGATGCGAACGCGGTGGATTAATTGCTAGACTTCTGCCTCTAGAGTAGTTAGTTAACGTAGTTCATCGAGAGGCCTTCGAAAGGTGTTGCATTACGACGTCGACCGACCCCAGCTGGACCTTTTTGCGATGAGAAGGTTTAACGGAGGTAGCCTGGTTGTCATCTTCAGCGACACTTTCGTGCTTATCCGGATGGGCGTAGATGTGATCGGACATGATTTCGGCTTCGATACGATGGCTTGAAAGTAGGCTGGAAGGAAGACTTTTGAAGTGTGGTCATCCAGGCCTCGATCTCAGTTCTGGTATTTGAATTACCCATTTCGCCGGATAGTCGGCGATCCGGCTTCTTGATTGTTAAGTGTAGTACATGCACCCCACCTGCTAATCGGTAGCTCCTGATCGCCAGTCAACGGGAATACAACCTCTTAATCGCGGTACCAGAATGGGATACAAGCCCCCGACCGCTGATCATGAGGTTGCACAAAGATGATTACTAGGAAGCGGATGACATACCTTCGTGAAAGCGTAGTAAATAGACAGAGAGCAGCGTGGAGTCATAGATGCCTACCGTTTCAACCGTGTCTTCCTCGATGGTTTCCCTGTATAATTCCACCGCTTGGTCGGAGTAGTGACCTTTTGCCTCGATCAGAGTTCCAAAAAGGAGGTTGAAGCACCCAAGACAGTAGCAAGAAGCATTGAATCATCTCCATTTCGTCTCTCGAATCCAGAACATACGAGGGAGGTTCATGTAACCGCCCAATCCAACATGCAAATCCAGGGTATCAAGCCGCGATCCTTTTCCACCCAAAGCCTGACGCGCCGCAAGGAAAATTTATACAAAGCTCATGCCAACAGAGACTCAGGAGGAATCTAGAAAAAGAGAAGACAAAAACCAACGCCGAAATATGCTAAAGCCACAACTGCATGCACGCAGAGTGCAAAAAAAACGCCAAAATTGATGCAAAAAAGCCAAATGCCGTAATTGAAACCCAGCGGAAAGCTGCGCCGTTTGAATGTGAATGCAGAGAATAGTGACGCGATCAAGTTCCCAGAGCAAGGACTTGATCGAGTACCGAGTTGAGCGTATCTTGATCAGCTGTGGAACCGCCCTGCCATGTCCATTCAGCGTCATCGAGCGCAGCATCAGCACCGGCGCCATGACCAACGCCGTTAGTGAGGCCTTTAGCAGCACCGTTGACGCCGTTTACTCTTTCTCTTCGGTCCGGTGTTTTAGCTATTTCATCGCCCACTTCTCGGCCCTCGAACTCGACGTCTAAATGGCCACCATTTGTGATCTGGCCCGCGATCAGGGGTACTTGACCGAGGTAGCTGTCACCAAGTAGGAGGACGAGTTTCAGATCTTCCATGCTTAGTGGTGGTCGTGCGGCTGCCGACTCAACCTCTACCGGTAATCGACCACCGGGGTTCTTAACCACTTCGCCGCGAGCAAATTTCTCTTCTTCGGCCTCTAACCGTCGCTTGTAGCTGGCGGTTTTGACATATGGTGCACCATTTGAGGAGATACGACCGAGAATATTCGATAGTGCTTCCTTGATGTAGGCCTCCGTAGCAATGTTCAAGAAATCCGCAGCCCCTGGTGCTGCACCGTTTGCGAGACCTTCTTCGTAGCATATGGGCACCATGCGCGCAGCAATAGTTTCGCGGTCTGGAAATTCGTTCGTTTCGCTAAATAGAGGTTGGGCGTACCGTTTCCGGATTTCGAGGTCCCAGTCTATAAAGTGATGATGATTAGTATCAGTTTGATCGGTAGACAGTTAGCGCAATGAGGGATCCCTACTGGTCTTGCTATATCCGCCCGCGGATGCAGGACCGGTATCTGGAGGCTTAATTTGTCGCGCACCATGATAGTCCGTCATGGTCTGTGAGAAATGATCGTAAGGCGACGCCTATCGAAATCGCCATGTTAGCCTTCTATACCAATATAGTTCCAACCCACCATCAAGTAGGGCGAATGAACCCTTACATCTTGAATAGTCTTTAGCCGCTTCCGCTCTCGCCTCGGTAGCTGCATAATCTCCTTCTTCAACCTCTCCTCCCCCTCGTCACCCGTCGCAGACTTGGTGACAGCAGTCGGCTTATCACTCGCGCTGACCCATGTTGCTACGCCCGGTTCCGGGGGGTCTCGGTACGTGTTGCCATATATTGCAGTTATAAACTGATTGTGGAGGTGTTCGCGCGCGGGATCGCAACATATGAAGGGGTCGATGCGACGGGATAGTTCCTCTTGGTTGAGCTCGCCTGGGAAATAACGTCAGCCTTCATATTCAGGGCCCACGAGAACTGGCGCATCAGCCCGGATAAAAAGAGGCCGTACCTATCACGAAACATCTTATGGCTTCCTTGTATATGGTCCAATCTGTGTCTCCAACGGCTGACTTGAGCGCCGTGTACAGCGGCTCGAGATCAATGCGCGGAGCGGTGACTGTAGGCTTTCCTACCGGTTTGACAGCAGGCGCGGTGGTTGGGAGAGATTTGGAGGAGATGATGGGAGTCGAGGTTGACACGGTGATGGTGTCGGGGCGGATGGTGCCCGCCATGGCTGGCGACGCGGAGGGTGAATTGCGACTGCGCGCAGGACGCGAAGCAACGGGTTTTCGCGGAGTTTCAGATCTCTAGCAGGTCGGCGGAGGTGGGTTATGAAGAACGGTGATGAAGAAAGGTCGGATTATTGATGGTGGGCGGGGGTTTTGATGGCAGAAGTGGGAGGGCGGCCATGCGGTTTGGTTGCGTGAGGTTGGTGATGATGCGGTTGGTCTGGGGGGGACCATTAAAACTCCAGTAGTTATAGTCGCGAACAATAGGACAATCATTGAATTAAAACTAATTTCTACATAGCATAGCAGGCCTTCCATGCTGAGTAATTTTAGTATTTAGATCGAGAATGAATTGATTGTGGCGGCGCTATCAAGATGGAGATCGTCTACTAAGTACAGTAGGATCTTTGGTAGAATCAATCGGATTCTTTCACCATCTTGTAACGGCCTTCGAATGTCACCAGAAGAATTCAATCGTATGCGGAAGCTTAAGGATTTAACGTCTATACATTTGTACAAATAAATCATGGGTCCACCTCTCATCAGTCATTCCAGGCCGTCTACCCATGGGTATTCCCAAGCAAGATTTCTATACGAAAACAAAAATTAGCGCCATTCGCCCATTCCAAAGCTTGGTATATCGCGCCAGTTCATAACCGTTCAGACAACAAAACGTTCAAAAAGACTAAGCAGGTATCTTACCATTGCTTCCATCCGCGATCTTCGTATGCTGGTGCTTCTTTTTTGCGATAAAACCCGTTACCGAGTAGAGCACAACCACACCAATCTGTGGAAGCATCGCTAGCACGATATAAGCAGCGATATTCCCCGAAAACATGTTGAATATCTTCGTGCGATTCATATTGCCGGAAGTGTCAAGCGTGAAGCTTGCCAATAGCGAGTAGACAACGCGCATGAACAGCAATGGTATCGCAAACCCAATGGCAGGTAGGAGGGTCCTTTGCGGCTCAGACATGAGAGAGCGCGCGCTCCAGTAGCGAATTAAGCCGTAGGTAATGCCGATAAGAGCAACGAGGAGGAGGCAGGAGGAGATCTTGGAATAAGTGGCGCCGCTGTCGTACTTGGACTTGTTGATCTGGCCGTTGCTGGTTGGTGCGCGATTGATACCACCCATTACGCCAAGTGCAACCGCGACAATGACCACAAGATGAATGAGGCGGAGAAAGTGTGGGAGGTTGGTGAGAAGGCCGCGGACCCCTCGACTTGAGGACTTCGAAGCTTTTGTGGGAGTGGATCCGTTGAAGAACGAAAGGGTAGCGCTGAGGAGCGGACCGAGGGCGATTTGGTAGAATATTTGCGTCGCGACTTGGAGGCCGATGGACGCCTTGGAGGGGTTTTCGTTGGTGTAGATCAGGAGGCTTGCGCCAGTGATTTTAACTGCAATCAATCAGCACATCAACCCGCGAAATATAAGAGTATACTCACACATGGAAAAAATACACATAAATAGCCATCCGGTGTGTTGACGTACGCCAAAATGAACGACGTTGTGGATTGCTGGTGCTAGAAGGAGGATATATACGGCGACCTCAATGGCCGCAATGATACCGTGGTTTGAGAGCGCCATATCGAGGGTTATCAAAAGCTCAGGAACTCAGAAGAGCTGGCGAAGCGTGGCGCTGAGCAATGATCCAGAGAACGAGAAAAGAGGAGATATCACCAAGAAATGGTCCAAAGAACAAGAAGAGAAGGGATATCGTTGAGTGAGAATCTGCACAAAACACAAGAGATGAGGACAGGAACGCACTGAAAGTAATCGTTGCACTGGATAATTACCTATGGGACAGCCGCCCGTATCTTATATGTATTCCCCCTCATATCAACTGCAGGGGCGGTCGTCATTTCAAGCTCGACGCCTTTGCTCGGATTCAGCTTGGTGTGGTCACAGCCACGCCAGCCGCCATGCAGAGATTCAGTGAACGATCGAATGGTGGGCCCTGTTCAGCTGTGATACGTCCGTAGACGCTCAATGGCACTCATTTGGGTTTAAGGGGGGAAGGCGAAGCATTCATCGGCAAAGCTCGTGCATGTTGGTGCATGTTGGCGTCGGATGAAACGTTGGGGCTGGGTAGAGGAGTGCGCTATACCTAACTCAAGGCTCATGTCGCGATTGGTTGGAGGAGCAAAGAGCCGCATCATGTGCCTTTCCTCTCATAAACAGTCAAATAATCTTTCAAGAAGAGTTATTCTGTCCCTATCCCTATCGATCAAGCGCAAAATATTTACATCATGAGCAAGAATTGACGATATGCGCTATTGGAACCTCCATCTCATCAGGAGATGGTATACCGTGGAACGCTTTGAGTTCCAAATCAGACGGCATATCACTTCAAACATTAGGAAATATTGAAGAGAATAATCCAGCTGGTTTTCAGAGATGCCCAGCAAGGCGCGTATTCTGGGCTGTCAGGCTGTGAGGCTGAGCGGCAGCCGCTGCAGGTAGGCTCGATCAACTCGTAGCCTTCTTGACCAGAATGCCTCTCTATCTACCCATCTTTGCGACCATATCATCCGGACTTGTCGTCGGGTGTCGATTCAGAGCAGACGCTGACTGATGGATCCCCTAACAATCACCGCTGCTGTGGTAAGTCGGATTTTACTGTCAGCCGTGGGAAGCTAGCTCGTCGGCGGCCCTTGCTCCAGCCTGGCATCTATGCTTTACGGACCACTCTAAGCATCTTCGTATTATAAATCACGCGGAAATGTCTGACGTATTGTGTTAGTTGAAGATAACAGCGGTCGGCGTGAGGACCGCGACCGCCCTGAACGCACTCCGAGGCCACTACAAGAATGCGTCAATCACTATCGGCAGTCTTTGCTCGGAAACAACCATCATTGGCGCATCGCTCTCGCAAGTCCAGACCCTCTTCCTCCAAGATATCAACGGCCGGTCGGATCAGATCAAATCAAGACCCGATCTTGTAGCCACATTCGATATCGCGTTGACCGGATGCATGGTCGTATTCTCTTGCCTCGACGAAGAGGTACGGAATCTGACTATGGGTACCATGGACGCAAAAAGCGTGAATTGGAAAAAGAGAGCGCGGGCGGTGTGGAAAGAAGACACAATGAGGGAACTGTTGTCGCAGATTCGAGGTCAACAGACGGCGTTGACTCTCCTGGTCCAACTTCTGCAAATGTAAGTGATCATGGGCCACCACAAGGATCTCAGAACATAAGCTAATGTAATATAGGACATCCATCAACGAAATGGGACAGATGCTCCGTCAGAATAACGCTATGATCAGGAAGGTTGCAGAAGACGCAGAATCTCTCCGCGCAGCGAATCCCACTGTCAATGCACCGGAATCAGTCTTCGAGCAAGACAGCTCTCGTAACAGCATCTTCGAAATATTTGATGACAACGCTTCCCAGATCACTCGGTTTGAGTTTGACAACATTGTCCTACAGTCTCCTGCTTATCGACGATACGGTGGGAGGCGTCGAGTCGTCAATCAACGTACCTACCCGGACATGGTTGATCTCAGGGACGCCAATACCATGATCCACGATCCGATGGAAACAACAGATATCAACGAAGGTGTACGCTCGCTTGAACTTGGAGCAGTGTCCACTGCGAATACACAAACATTAATTTATCACCCCAAACTACTCGCCGCTACCGAAGCGTCTGTCCCCCGCTATTGTTTTACAAGGCACTTCTTCGACGTCTTCTGGTTCATCATCGAGTGCGACTTCGAAGATAACAGTCATTGGGAACTGCAGCGTTTCTACGATGACTTTTACAAGCTTCATATCGCACTGCTCACCCACTTTCCCGTAGAGGCTGGCATGTCAGGTAACGCTGAGCGAACTTTACCATACTTGCCAGGTCCAGTCAACTACGTGTCCCATACTATTACTCAGGGCCGCAGGTTGGATCTCAATGAATATGTCAAGAACCTTCTTAAGCTGCCGTCTCACATTACGCATGGGACACTTGTCAAAACTTTCTTCGCCCCTCGTGAAGGAGACCACGAGATTGAGACGATCGACCCTCTCGACCACGTCGCCAGCGAAGGGGCTGCTGCTATTGAAGACCTCAAAACTGAGCAGGCAGGCAAGCTCCGGAGTGCACTTCCGGAGACGTTGTCCTTGGAAGGCTTCAGAGCATGGTCGGCCATAGTTCGTAACAAGAAAGACAACGACGAGTTGAACTTGTCCATACGTTGTTCTATAATAGACTTGAAGGTAGTAGGAGACCGCTGGTGGGGCCACAATAAAAGGACTGGCGAGACTGGGTACTTCAAACGTGAAGACGTCTTGCTTCTAATCCCAGTTTCTCGAGGTATTACTGTGACTGCTAAAGAGACATACACAACAGACAGTAACCAAAGACTAAGCTTTCAAGTAGGGCAAGTCATTGAAATCCATGTTCGTGATTTCAATTCCCAGTTCTCTCTCAATTAAACCCGACCGATTTGCCTTTACGTCGTCACAGTAACCACTGACTAGTTACTACAGGACATCCGACACGGCAACTACTGGTATGGTTCTATCGGGAGCAGACATGGACAGTTTTGTGTATCCTGCGTGGACATAGCATCAAATGTCTGTGCACAGATCGATGCTCTCTTGACGCGATGGAGCTATGTAACAACACCAGGATTGAGTATCGAAGAAAGGATCCAGAGAATTCCTAAAGATTTGGCAGAAGTAGAGGAGGACTTTAAAATTTGGTGGCTTCGTGTGTTCATGGCTTGTGGAACGTTAGAGGTATTGCTCCGTGTTGAAGAAGCGTATCGCAAGGAGAGAAATAGAAGAAAGTAACTAAAAGAAGAAAAGCGCACTTATGAAAGGGAAGGCAAAGAGAGCTATCCACTAGCAGATGGATTGTAGATAAGATTTGGGGTTGTAGTGGGCAAATTGTGTGCAGCATGCTGCAAGCATAACTAATGATAAAATCCTGCTCCGCACTATCTCGGGACCTGAAGAAAGCTGGAGATATTTACCTGTATATTTCGTTTCCAAGCTATCGAATCGAAGTCTTGGACAGCTGCCATGTTAAACAAGATTCTGGTGTCGTTCGAATAACTTTTCATCTTTGGTGATCTCAACCTCATCTTGCAACCCAAGCTCTCAGCCATGATTCCGATCACCCAGGGCCCAGGACGACATCATCATAACCGACTTCATTCAAGTGTACCTACCCGGTACAACTCTACGCTATCCCATCGTGTCCAAAATGGTCAGGGTGTTGCCAAGCGCCGAAGTGCTTCAACTCACGTTCTGTCCTCAGCGATCCTGAACACATGTTTCAATCCACCTCTCAGACAAGTCATCAACTGTCCAGTACCTAGCATTGCGCCCTTCAAATTCCCATTATGTTACAATGCTTGAATAGTACAGATCACCTCCCTTATTGCTCCCAAAGCGGCCGCAGTACTATCCCAAAGGCTGGAATGCTCTAAGTCACTCTCTATCACCAGTGACCTCACACACATTCCACCATCTCAACCACAACATAAACAGAACCCAAGTCCATCCTCTTCCCAACACTCATTAACTCATACCTACACCCTTTAACCCCCAAATCTCGCTAAAATGCTATAGTACACATACATAGGACCCTTCCAACACCCCCTCTCCCTAAGCTCACTGCACCACCGCCCTCATCCCCTGCAACAACAGCCCAAAAATGACCCCCCTCGCCACCGCCTCAACCTGCAAGCAATCAAACACCCTCCCCAACGCCTCCCCACTCGCCGCCTGCCCCATCACGCTCGTCAGCGCCTGTGGCATGCCCCTCTCCACCAACAACTTCCTCGCCTTCTCCCTCAACCTCTCCTTCTCCTCCACGCTCATCTCCTTCGGCCAAGTCTTCAATTCCGCTTCCGTGGGCAGCCCATTCGCGCGAATCTTGCGGATATGGAACGCCACGCCGGCATCCGACGTGTTTTCGTCGATGACGGTGGACTGGAGGAGTTGGCGGATGGAGTCGAGTTGCGGGTTTCCCGGGCGCAGGAGGAAAGTTTTCGCGGCGTTGAGGAGGGTGCGCCGGATTTGCCAGGCAGAGGAGAGGGTGTAGAGTTCGTTGATGACAGCGAAGAGGAGCTCGATGGTGACTTGGGTTTCTTGCTCCGTGAAGGGTGGGAAGGTTTTCGGGGGTTTGGTAGTAGAGGCGCGAGCGGATTTCGGAGGGGCGGTAGAGGTGGTGGAGGCGGTTGAGAGGCGGCGGGCGGGTAGGGTGGGTGCGTCGGTGGGGAGGGGGAGGCTTGTGTTGGATGTACGGGAGGGGTGATGGGAGTGGATGGATTCGTTTTCAGGGTAGAGTTTTCGGGATGGGAGAGGAGGGCCGTAGGATGTTGGTGAGCCATAGTCATCGGGCATGTCTGTTGGGGGTGGTGGGAGGGTCAGGATTTGGTCTCCGCCATGGATTGGCGAGAACTCCATGCTCTCTCTTAGCGATGGTGCCCGACTATTGTTTCGGCTTCGCTCGTAGGATGACGAGCTTGGCCGGCGCTCTGGATTGTAACTTGGTCTCCTTTCCATTTGGGGAACTAGAGAAGGTTGCGTATCCACGATCGGAGAACCGCGGAGGCTATCCTGACTTGCGCGTCTCGAATTGGAAGGAAATAAGGATACAGAGCTCTCCGTTCTGATGTGCGTCGGCAGTTCAGAGACGGTGCTCTCAGCCCGAGTATGCTTTGTAGCTGGAGAGGCAGTCGTCGAGCGATTTAGGCTGCTAGTGCTTTGCACGGAATTGCTTTTCTTAGGCCCTAATTGGGATCCCACATTTCCCAAGACGCCCGTGACTCCACCGAAAAGAGCTTTGCCACCACCAGCGACCTCTTTGGGTGCTTTAGTGAGAATGTCAAACATACCCTTGCCCATGGTCTCAAAGGCAGCTGGTGTTGGCCACCCAATACCAGGAAAGCCGCCCTTATCAGTTGCGCCTGGGGACCGATTGAGACCGGTATCTTTTTCAAGGAATCTTTTCATGCCCTCACTCTCAGCTAGCGGTTTGAAGCGTACTGCGTCATTCAGATATCTCTCTAGCTCACCACGGAAGGACGCCTTGGTGTGCCCTTTCCACATTGGTAGCGTAGGATGAGCTTCAGTAAACCCAGGCACGCCAGAGATGGTGGCAATCCGCCGCAAAATTTCATGCAGTGTTTCGAAATCGGCGAATTTCCTCGCTATCATCCAGCCAGGATGATGAGAGGAAGACGGTTCGATCTGTATCAGGTATTCCGGGTTGGGTTTCGTCCGTATTATGGCTTTATCCCCGGGCATGGAGTCATCGAATATCACGAGGTTGGCATTATAAAGCGTTAAAGGTGGCGGCTTCTCTGGGGGGTTTGCTAATAATGCGGTAGGCGGTTGATTAGGAACAATTTGATCGAAGCTCGTGAAAGCTGTCTTCTGAGGTGATGATGGCGCTTCTGAGGGCATAGATCGAGATGTCTCCATCGAAGCATTACCCGATGTCGTCCCTTCATTATCGTGATCGTTGGCGGCGTCGCTTTGAGATGAAGTAGGAGTTGCAATTCCTTGGGTCGTGCTTTCGGATACGTCGTCATTTATGCTATTAGTGGATGCGTGCTGTTTCTGATTACGGAGTCTTTTAGCATCCTCTTCAGCGATGAGTTCAGTCAGTCTTTGAGCCTCTCTCATCGCTTCGTCCATTGCCTCCTGCGCCTTGCTCACCACTCTTTTGTGATGAGCATTGTTCCTGCGCTCTTCATCGGTCCCCTCCGACTTTACAATATGCTCATGCTGCTTTATTTGATTCGTGACGTTTTGTAATCGATCGCCCGATGAACCCTCGACGCCAGCGTCTATAGCATTCAGCAATTCCGGTTCCCCCTCTTCAAGCAAATATACAATCCACCCATTAATCCATTCCGGTTTGGAGCAACTCGCTACGGTCATCTCAAGGATAACTTTGGCAAGTATTTCTCGTAGAAATATACGCGCCGGTTGGCAGTTATATGTCTTCGGTTCAAGATAGTTCTGCAGAATATCTTCTGCAACTAAATCCAACTTAGTGGCCTGATGCTTCGGGTTCAGGACACTTGCAAGATTACTGTCCGGCTTCATTTGTAGGTATGTATTGATGGCGTCAGAAGGAGCCGTACTTGGTGACGCTGCCAAGGCGGTTGAAAGTTCAGTGAAGAATACAATCAAGATTGAGGACGAATGTGTGACAAAGTCGAGTAAAGTGTCCGCTGGCCTCTTCCGGGACAAGTGTGACGAAAGGGAGAGGATGAATGCAGTCAAGGTCTGACGGGCAGCGTTGGGAAATGATAGTTCAGTAGGGAGTATGGGTGAATACCACCATCTGCCATATTATCAGCATTTGCGAGACCGTAATTGATAGATCGGAGGAAATACTTGACATAGTCCCGCACCACGGCATCGGTGAACTCGGTGAGAGCTGACGCAGTCTCTGGCTTGAAATCCGAATAGTCCAGGTGTTTTCCGGAGTACAGTTTGACATCTGTACCAGAATCATCTTCGCTTCCTTTCTCTTTCGACTCTGCTGCAGCCCCTCGCCAGTCAAGGACTCGGTGGACGACATCCAAGCCTGTTTCCCGCCGTCTGGCATCTTGGTCTCGAGCACCTTCTTTGCCATTGCTCTGGTTCTCCCAGGTCGCGTGAAGCACCACTCCGCCCACGACTCCAATGAGCACCAACCCTACCCTCCCCAGTACTAAGTATGTCGTTGCGCCCAATCCTACCAGACACGCCCCGAGGGATTCATTGCTAGCCGTTGCCAAGAAGTGCAACGCGCGATTCGTCAGGGCTTGCGCAGTAAATTGCGCATTCTGTATTATTTCTGAGGTATTCGGTATAGCCGTGTGCTCCTCTGGATGCTCCGCGCTTGCAGGTTGCGCTTTGTTCTCGCCGTGGGTTTCATTTGGGGGGAGAGGAGGCTGCGAGGATGGTTCGGTCATGGCGTCGTGGAATCGTTGCGGACATCTGAGGTTGTGTTGATGGACAGGAGTCCTCGGTCGCTATTGCGGAGTCTTCTTCCAGGCTGTGAATAGGGATAAGTGGCCACAAGTGTGCGGCTGACTTCGCCGTCGCGGTCTCAACCCTCATCTCACTCACTGCCGGAACGTCGTCGCCGAGCCTCCGATGCGCCAGCGAAACGTGGGACAAAACCTCCCGCGTTTCTAAACCTCTGCGTCGTCCATTGAGACACTAAGTCATCGTCAACTCATTCTCTATCACCATTCAAAAGCCGTCATATCGAACTCATACTACTCCGTTCTAAATGTCTACAGAAGTGGCAGATCCCGTCATCTTGGCCCACGTGGAGCGCTTTTGGGCCGGCAGGAAACCGCAAAGCCCCATCTACCAATTCCTCCTTTCTGATATCTCCTTGACGTCTGCCTCTAAAGGCCTTGTTCGGGCTCGTCTTCAGCTGACTGAGAACCATGTAAACTCCCACGGAGGCATCCACGGCGTAGTGTCCGCCTGTCTCGTCGACTGGATGGGAGGCCTCGCCATTGCTTCCTACGACCTCCGCGAAAAGACGGGCGTAAGCACCGATATACACATCTCGTACGCGTCTTCTGCTCGGAAGGGAGACTGGATTGAGGTCGAGGGGAAGATCAATAGAGTTGGCGGGACAATGGCGTATACCACTACCTCGATATATAAGATCGTCGATGACAAGCCAGGACCTGTCGTGGCAACGGGAAGCCATACCAAGTTCCTCAAGATATGAACACGAAGTAGGGGTACTTGCTTGGGATTCAAAGCATTATATCATTCGGGTGCCCTCCTACCAGGTACGGGTCCAAGCAATGCCTGGTTCGACTATGGACACTTCGTCCATGCTCTCTCATCTCAACCGCCATCTTCTTTGGGTCCGACATGGTCTCATTCACTTTGAATGTTGAGACTCCACTCGGATGGCGGAGACAAGATCAATCCCTTCTATCTTAGCTTTAGAAGCCGGGCAGAGTCTCTCGACGATGCAAGCTTGGCAATTGAGAAGGTGCACATATCAAAATAGAAACCAGTTATATAACGATTCTAGGGGAGTCTAAGAACAGCGAAATGCATACCTTTCATCAGCTTTCTACATTTCAAGTGATATCCCCGCCGTCTTCTGTCCCATTCTAGGGGCTTTCAATCCATAAGGAATCAATTCATACATATTTCTTGGAAATACTAAGTACAATCTCTCCACACTTTGTGTCTTTGTTTAGTCTCTTCGCTCTAGGTATTGCTAGCATGATCACGATTGAGTGAGAACATAAACTTGAGACATATCGACCATACGCCTGTGGTAGATGGTCATTATATAAAGTGGCTCTTGGTCCTGTCTGCCCCTACGTCACATCGACACGCCTGCATCATGGCCCTAAAAAGGAAACGCGAAGGTGCCGACGACGGTGCGGACGCGAACAAGAAAGGCCGCACGACCATCAAAACCCAACCTCCAGCAAGCTCTCTTACGTCAGATTCATCGTCATCGGATTCCGATGCTGAGGTTTTCCAGCTTGTGAATTTCGGTGGAATTCTACGTGAAACATTCATTCGGGACGACGAGACCTTCAAAGAATGGCTTGATCGTCTGCGGCGCGTGGACAGACTAGTATGGCCCCGGAATGCCATACTAAAGTACGGCGCAAAGATTAGCGAAGGAAGAAGCGGAAACGTGTACAAAATGTACAGTGACGGCGAGGATTTGGTTGTGAAGGAGGTGAGTTTATGGTGGAATCCAGATCACACCCTTCATGCGGGGGCCCAAACTGAAGTACGTTTTAGTTCAAGCCGACTTACGTTCTTGAATACGATCAAGAAGTAGAGGCGTATAGGGCCCTGCATTCAAAAGCCTTGAATGGGAGGGCTAACCCAATATTCTATGGAATATTTGTTACCGAGGATTTGAACAATCCCAAGAGATCCAACTATAGAATCATCATGGAGTACGTGGTCGGAATGACACCTGAAGAATTCGCTTGGACTTCAGGAAAAGCGGACAGGCCGTAAATACAGCGCTTCATTTATATTATGTGTCGACCTAGCGTTTGGGAAGAAGTGCAAGTACTTATAATCTAAGCACTAGATTGTTGCTAAGCATTATCAACTCTCTCGAGGAGAACATGATCGCACTTCGAAGAGCCAGAATCACCCAAGGAAGCATCAAGCAAGCCAATCTTTTGGTGTCAAAGGACGGGACTAAAACGTACATTATCGACTTCGGCCGTTCGAAAGTTCATCGACTGTGGTACGAGGGCGTTGACTTGGAGGAACGAGAATTCTGGAGAGCATTCAACGTTGACTGCGAATGCCTGATCGATTGCTTGAAATCACTAAGGGTAACCTCTTTCCAAAACGCCGGCGAATGTGTCTATGCACTGGCATTGCGTAGGATTCTGCTATTAGATTGCGACTGAACGGTGCCGAGCCGTAAATCCGTGATCTACAGCTCGATGGTACCATTTGGATAAGTCGCCGCAGTTTGCCTTCGTGAGCATCTGGACAGTACATAGGCTCGCAAACATTCGAGTTTGGGATCGGGTTAGCAACCAGGCTAGATCAATCTGGACAGTGGTGTGGTCGATCTAGAGCATTGGATCTTTCCAGGGACACATGGCTACTTTTCAACACAATAGAAGACTTACCTTGACCCTATTCGTGATTTCAAGAAAAGTGTCTCACGTTCTTCATCTTTGTTTGGTCTCTCTGCTCCAAAAACTACTAGAATGATGAAGAGCGAGAACAAAGAGCGAGGTAAAACATACCCGCGATGAGTGTATACCAAATAAGTCGACTATACTTTCTCCTAGCTAAAACCACATCCAGTGTATTACGCCATCAAAATTCGCTAAGGATCACCCGCACGATGCCACCAAAGCGTAAAGGCAAGGCCAGGGATGATAACGCTGATGGAAAAGCAAACAAGAGAAACCGCAAGACTACTGGACCCAAAAATACACTCGCCTCTAGTCCTGAAAAAATATCGAAATCCGATGACGACCAGCTACCATCCATACCTCCTGCGATCAATACTCCAGATATAACTAATCTCCTCCGGGATGGCAAGACTTTCGACGAATACCTCCGTCGTCCTCAGCAGCGCATTCGGCTAGATGATCAACCATTCGGGGAGCTAGAGCAGATCCGCTCCAACAGAACCGGAACTACATACAAAGCGATGCTGGGCGGCAGGGTCCTTGCTCTCAAGCTCGTAAGTTCATTTCATGTTGGCTCCTTGTGCTAGGGGGTTCCAATGCGTTCTCGAACTATGAACAGAATAACCTAAAACGAGAACTAGTACAATGATTTCCAGAGTTCCTCTTTCGTCCAAGAGAAGTCTGCTTATGCGAGGCTGCGCGAGAAGGGATTGGATGGCGTCGTTTGCCCGAAGTTCTACGGAATCGTGGACTGCAGGTACCCACTTCCTTGGGGGGTGAAAGGGATCTTGACGGAGTATGTGGAGGGCACGAAACCAGAGAAGTTTCTTGAATCCTCACCGAGCCAACAGTAAGTCACAGTACTCGCAATGGCAGCTCTTACACGATGCTAACGCGTAGGCCTCTCTGCTATCAGCGTATTGCTGACCGTGATTCATGCTTTCGAACGCAATTTCCTGGAGCTTGGTCTTGCTGGCATAGCTCCACGCTTCCAATTAGGCCGTAGCCGTATGGGCCATGATAATATTTTGGTGGCAAATGACGACAGCAAAGCGTACTTCATCGACTTTGGTCACTCGAAGATCGATGGACACAATGGTGTTGATTGTGAGAGGCTCAGGTCGGCATGGGATGATGACCGTCGCACGTTCCCGTATTGCTTGAGGGTGTTGAGAGTAAGCTTCTTCCTAGAAAGCCTGACCGCGATCGAGGCAGTAAATTTGGGTTTGTACTGATATTGCATAGGATGAACTGTGGCAGATATGAGCCGGATCTAGAAGGTCCCGATCCCAACACTTGGGAGGGAGGCACGCATAGTCAGGCTCGACACAAATGAACGTTCTTTGACATCAGAGATTGCCATTATCCCTTTCCAAGCCCGCTCACTGCAGCTTCAAATCGTCCTCATTCAAAATCCCATAAAGCTGCTCAATCTCCTGCCCAATTACCGTAATATCCTGTGCCAGCTGACCTGTAACGAGCGCTAAAGAGCCATTAGCAGTTGCCCAACCCCGATCTTTGAAAGCTAGAGGCTACTCACCATACGCATACAACAGCTCATAGTCCTCATCAGTCGCTTTCTCCCTCTCCTTCCCACTCTTCCTGAACTCGAAAACCTTCGCTAAGAGCCGGTCGCGCGTGTGCTCGATATTAGGCAGCGCGTCGTTGAGAGGGTATTCCAGCTTCATTGAAGATGCCATGACTGGTCTCATTAGCATCCGCCCCTGGTACCGACCTGAAGGGAGCGTGTCTGATACATACCTGAGAACAAATGACTAATCCGCCAACTCAACTGTGTCCACTCACGCTTCGTATACCGCAGTATCGCCTTCTCTCCCTCACTAGCCTTCAAATCCTTCGCAATCACCACATTCATCGCATGGAAATTATCCAACATGCGACTCGTCGCATCCAGGATCTTCTTAAACGACTTGTTAGGGAACGGCCCACGTAATTCGAACTCCGACAACGCAGACGCCCTCAAAGTATCCAGATGCGTCAAGAATCGCTGCATCTCCAGCTCCTCGTTGAGGTCCAAGTACGAGGCTTGCGAACTGTCGTCGAATCCCTCCAGCGCTCGAAGCGGGCCTCGTTTCCACACGATGGCCATACGGAGCCAGAGTAGCGTGATCCCGTTTTTGACCTTCCGCCGCGCAGAGATGGGCCAGATGAGACGCGTGATGATGATGCCCCAGATGCAGCCGGCCATGACGGCGACAACGCGATGGAGTACGATCTCCCAGATCTCAGGCGATACGCCGCCCTCGTCATCGTCGTCCTCGTCATCTCTGACGGAGAGGGAGTAGGCGTAGAGCGCGGAGAGATTGTATGTGAGGAAGATGAAGCGGCCCATTGGGCCCTTGCCTTGGCCGACGATGATGTAGAAGCAGATGAGGGACACGAGCCATCCAAGGAAGCCGAGGACGTAGGGGTTCTCGTGGGCGACGATCCAGGCGACGACCGCAAAGACGGCACCTACGCAGGTGCCGCCGAATCTTTGGAAGCCTGTGGTGTTAGAGGCGCCGATCGTCTAGTAAAACTGTAAGCGTAGCTCTACTGACTTAGGAATCTGGTCTAGTCATACCATTGAGCAAACCAACATATAAGACAATAAGCCCCATTCCCCTCTCCAATGACTATATACTGGTCTAGTCGTGGGAACAAAGGCCCACATCGCGTACAGCGTGGCGCCGACTCCAACCTTCAGAGCAAACTTGATATCATCCCTCCGGAATAGTCTGAGAGCTTCCCAAACGTGATGTCTAAATTCGTGTGTTTTTTGAGGGTTCCCTACCTCTTGAGCTGCATTCAGTTGTTGCGTCGGCCCAGGAATCTCCTGAGACAGGCCTTGTTCGACGGTCTCTGCCATCAAACTGGATTGATCTGGGACCTTGTTAGGATGCATCGACATTCAAGAGAGGAATACTGACTAGAGTGACTATTTTTGCCTCCTTGCCCCCACTTACGCCAGAACTTGAGCCAATTCCAGGTTCGTCTCCTAGGAGATCGCGTGCGATTCTCCTTGAGTTCTTCCAAAATGTCCAAATACACTACCATGTCTTCTGCAAAGTCCTGCAATGAAGAACTGAAATATCCACAGCTTGCAGCCACTTCTTCGTAATCTGCTGCTACTTCTACCGAACTAGCATTTTCAGGGATCTTATTTTTGTACACGAGAGCCAAAGCCTCTTTCCTAGCGGACGCGAACAAGTCATTTGCATCTACTAGACTACTGCGAAAATGGCTGTTGACCATCATAGCATAAGCCGGGGGAGGCCCAAACGGTAATTCATCAAGGACGTCTCGCAGAGTATATGCAAGAGACTTCATCGGCGGGCCCAGATGCGAGATAAAGATAGAAAACATATCCGCCGCGGTCAAAGACGACTGTAAATCTTGCGGAATATTCCAAGGCGTCGATTTTCCACTTTCTTCGGCTGCAGAGTCAACATCCTCTGGAAGCTCGTCGATCGAGGCGAGTATGTTGTTTCTTCTTTCCACTATACTGAGGCTTGGTGAATCTACCGCTGGAGAGGCGAGTCCGAAATACGAAGAGTCGCCCAGTTCTACGCCTTCTACGGCTGACTTTGCTATCAACGTGAACTGTGTCTCTGCGGAGCTTCGCAGGCCTCCGATATCTTGAGCCATGCGTTCTAGGCACTTGATCATTCTTGACTGTATCTTGTACTCTTCCTCGGTGCCCAAAATATAATGCTCATATTTCGCTTCCCCTAGATTCTTCACGAGAGACTTGAATTTCGATTTGTATCGATTCAACGCCTCCACAAATCCAGCATCTCGGAGCTCTTCTTCGGAGCCAGACAGGAAACTCCTTGTAATCCTAGTGAACATGTCGCCAAGGGAATTGGTCGCGTTTCTTAGGTCGTCTCGAAGCTCTTTCCTCGCCGATATTGGCTTGATAAGTAAGTTCACCATAGTAGTCGCAGTGATACCCATTATCACCATCTTCAGGACCTGAAAGACCTTCACGTAGGAGAAAGTAGCGTCCTGCACCGCCCCCTCTTTAGTCAAAACTGTGATCAGGGCTAGAGAGGTCAATGAGCACGCGACATTGACCAACGGACTCCCTAAACTTTGCTTCGTCCATCCTACAAGTGCCAATCCGCCCCCAAGGAATATAATCAGCACCAAAATGTGGCCTAGGACAAGCAAGTCTTGACTGTCGAAGAACACGGACACAGCCATGCTGGTGAAGGATACGAAGGCCGCATAGAAGAACGCAACAAGGGCCAGCAGTGTTGCCTCTACCATGCTCCCGGCGGACCTCGCAGGGTGGAAGTATACGGTCACAGTGGCCACCATGTGTTTTCCGTCATTGTGCCCGAGGAACCCCGAAATGGGCGCGACGAAGGTCGCACAGCTGCCCAGAACATATGCTATGGAGCATTTCAGAATGCCCTGCCCTGTTTTTGAAGTTGCGTATTTGTATGCCGAGTCCCAAATGAGCTTGGATCGACGAAGGATGGCACCGGAGCGCCCACTGTATGCTGATGAAGAGGATTCGCCTGAGAGGAGGGCGGTGCGTTCGTCAACGTAGTCGCTGTATCCGTTCGAGTTGCTCCTGGCAGGTCTTCGAAGCGTAAAGCTCTTCTTGACGCGTTCTCCTGTACGTGGGAGAATCAACGTAGCTTGCCGTAGCTGTGACGTGTGAGTTGAAGCTTACGCACGAGGTTGTAGAGAACTTACACTGGGCCGCATGAAACGGCGCGCAGCCGGCGACTGGGACGGTTCGCTCATCTCCGTGCCGTCGTAAGAAGGAGCACCGGTTCGCCGTGTACTGTCATGGCTTTCGTGTTGTGGATAATGTGAGAACAACGAGACGGAGCTAGGTCATAAGCTCGTCCTGTAGGTTGAGCTTGGGCCAGCGACTTCTCCGCGGTTTCAAGGGTGCAAGATCGGGGAGATCTCCGCGGCCGTTTACGCCTTTGCCGCAAGACTTCAGCAGTAATCACGCGTTTTATTATTTGCCGAGATTTTTTTTACATTACTAGCTTGTTAATAAGCTGTGTACACTTGCGTAAACACTGCTTGAAATGCATCGTTGCTTTAGAAGACCTAGGCGAAATGTTTGCTGAACACCTGTAACCTGGCCGAGGCGCTCCTGATGTTATTTTGTAAGCCACTGAGGAGCTCACCTACACTCAGGAATTGTCTCCACTTCGTTTGCCTAGACAAGTTCGCAGGACCATTAAAGCTTGAAGTAACTCACTGGAGACCGCCCGGGCGGGCTTTGGAGACGACTTGGACCCTGGCTCCCATTGGCCACTTTAGCGGACTCTCTCTCCTTCGTCTCTTCGAGGTTCATCTCAACATCCTCCAGCAACACCAACCACCCACTCAGAACTCTTACTCAACAAAACAACTCCCAGCTTCAAGATGGATGACTCTATGGACATCGACCCCGAAATAGCCGCAGCAATGGGCTTCGGCTCCTTCGGCAACCAAGTCAAGAAACGAAAATACAACCACGACGACGCTTTTACCGGTGATTCCAACGACAAGCTGCGTCAAAAAGAAAGCTCGTCAGGCGCAAACACGGTCCAGCTCGGCGTGCGGCAGAAAAAGAAGTCACCTGACCCCCCCGATGAAGGAGAAGATGCCCCTAATCCTAACTTTTCGCATCCCGACTCCACCAATTCTGAGGCGAAAGTGAAAGCACGGAGAAAGGGAAAGGGAAAGGGAAAGGGAAAGGGAAAGGGAAAGGGAAAGGAAGAAACGTCGTCAGGCCTCGCCGCATTCCTGCAACGCGCGAAGGAGATCCCGGATCGGCCACTACCTACTATGGAGGGCGTGCTGCCGAGTGTGAACGCAGCTTCAACTAGTCTTCAGCCGAACGCATCACTACCTGCCAGACCACCAACGTCAGTTCCCGAGGAGGAGGCGAGCGCTTCGGGTGGCAACGATCTGTACAGGCTAGCGAGGGGAGTCAAGAATGCCCACGGGGACACGTTCTACTTCCTCCCCAGCTTTATCGAGGATCCGTGGAGGGGGCTGGAGGGGAAGGGATGAGTCCGACTTCGACTATTTCTCTTTTCTTTTGGTTCATCGGCTTTACGCGACCGACAGGCCGTAGGACTTGCATTTCTTCCGCGGAAGGAATATATACTCTGTACTATAGCAGCAAAGGGCACGAACCACTGCACCTAATCACAGCGCCACACTCTCACATCCGCTATCCTTGATCTTGGTCAACAACACCACACTAACCCTTAGACACTCCCACTACCCACCCAGCACGTGCCTCCCAGCATCATCACTGAAACCTTAAAAACCGCACCCACCACACCACCATCTCCCCTTCTCACGCAACCCATGTGACTAATCCCGTCTTAACACCCCCTCCCCGGCCCTATCTCACCCAGCCACACCGCCGCCTCACCAATCACAGCACTCATCACAGCAACCCATCACATCGCCTCCCCCCAACCCCAGCACCCCCAAGGGCCAAATCAGGAACCGCATCAACCAAAAAAAGCGTATTCATTCGTCCGCTACAACAAGGTGCACCCTCCCCTCCCCTTCCCTCCAAGCCACCAGGGCATCCCCCCCAAAGCCGCCTCCACCCAACCATCCCAAACCCAGCCAAACAAGCAACGCCAAGGCACACCGCAGAAAGCCACTCCACCCACCCATCCCCCCAAAAAACCCAAAGAAACGGTAGATCCACCCCATACGGTGGTCCCAAGCGGACAAATGAACGCAGTCAAATCGGCCTAAAGCGCTGCGATTGGCATCTCGCCCGCCCCAATCAAGGAAACCAAAATCCCCACCATCTCGCCGCCGCCGCCGCCGCCGCCGGCCAACCAACCACGCACCAGCCAGCGGCGATTAGTCCGCTAAGCGCCGTGCGCCGGACCGAGCCGTGGCGCCCGCTCCTGCCGTTGGGCGGCGCTAAGGGGCCCAGCGATAAAAGCAGCGAGCGACGGGGCGGAGCGGAGTGGTCTGAGCGGGAAGGGCGGGGGTGGAGAGTGATCGACGTCGAGCGTTGACGACCGGTTCCGCTCGCGGCTTCCGCTGACAGATGGTGGGAAGGGGGATAAAGGGGGTATACAAGAAACGAAGGTTGGTGTTGCGAATGCCAAGAAATCGTGAGACGTTTTCAAAAACTTGAAGAAAGGGTTGGTAAGAAGCGCCTTTTTAGTAGTCGACCGGAGCTGGGTATCGTTGGGAGGCGACTTTGTACTCGTTGGGGTATTTGCGGGCGGCGCGCTCGTTGAGGGAGCTGGTGTTGTCGTTAGCGTTTTTTGTGGGCGGGTGGTAGGGAAGTTGGGGAGAAGCTTACGTCACGCGTTTTTGTGTCCACTGGAGATCCTTTTGGACTTCCTTCGCTGTTCGCATGCCATCTGCGAAGTTGGCGCGCGCGCCAGCGAGGCGGCGCTGGGCAAGTGCCTGCAATTCGAGGAGTTCGCGGTGTTTGGCGTTGAGCTCGCCAGATCTAAGTTTGCCGTCAGTCACTGACTCTCAGCGCCCGCTGGTGCTCATCCCGCAGGACAAGACTCACGTTTGCGCCTGTTTGGCGAGGCTGCGATCAAGAGGCATTTGGTCGAAAGCGCCGTGGAGGCGATCGCCCATATACTCGATCAAGTCGACGCCAGAAGCAGCGCCGGTGGACTCGTACTCGCTCGCGCTGCCAGCGTAGCTGCTCGACGTCGCCGACGGCTCGTAGGAGGTGACTCCCGAGGTGGTGGCGCTCTCCGGAGCCTCGGGCGGCGAGACGGACACACGGCTATAGGCAGGGTGGTGGGTAGTTGGGTAGTAGCCTGCCTTCTTCGGCATGTTGATTGGGAGGGTGGTGGGGTGGTAGTAAGCGTGAGTGGTAGACATGATGATGATGAGACACTAGTAATGTAGGACAACGAGGACGAGCGTGTGGACGTGACGGGAAGCTAAAGATAATGGTTGGATAGAAGGGTGTGAGAAGAGGGCAGTCAATGAACTAGTGATGGCACAAGATGGGACAGTGTTTGTTTGCGAGATAAATATGTTTGGATAAGTATGTCAAGCGGAGGATGAGAGAAGTCAGGAAGAGAGATCTGAATGCTCGATTCAGACCCCCTTTTATACCTTTGCCGGCACGGACAGAGCAAGCATCTCGGTCGACGGGGGCATTGCGCTGACCCCTTCACAGCACCGCGAGCTTCTGACCCCGCTCCAGCTGTGATAAAGCTGCATAGTCCTACGTCCACGGAAACCAATCCCGCTCTATCCGAGCCCTGGAGGGCTGTTTGGGCCGGGCTGGAAGAATCCCCCAAGGCGTAGGCCGCAGCCGATCCATGATAGCTTGGCGCGATGGGGCGCCCAGCAGCGGGCCCATTGGCCGTTGGGACAGAGCTAGCAAAGCCGTACAGTGCTCGTATCAGCAGGACGCGGCCGCCGGAGTCAGATTGGCGGGCTGGAGGAGGGGCGGATGGCGAGAAAGGTGACGGCAGCGGTGCCGGCCATGGTGAAGGGCGTAAGGCAGCGAGCACTGACAAGCGCGCAAGCGCGCAGAGAAGGCGCCGGGCAAAAGCAGCGACGGCGGAGGCGGTAGGTGCATGGGTAGCATGCTGGACGGAGGGCTAAGTGCTGTCAGTGTTGATGCGTTGGCTCGCCAGCTCGCCAACGCTTCAGGACATGCAATCTGTCACGGCTGGAAGAGGCATGGAGTGGCAGCGCAACGGGCTCGGCGTGCAGGCCGCATGCATTGCCGGCCATGGGACCGCAGATGGGTGCGGGCAGCGCTGGAGGATGCTGCGGGGGGCCATCCGATGCGTCGTGGTTGCAGTCGACCAAGGACGTTCACGAAGCGTGAGGCCGGGGCATTATTTTCTGGGCGCCATGACGCATTGGGGGGCGCCGGGGAGGCCCGCGACCATTGGCTGGGCTGGCGAAGCCAGAGTCGGCATGGCGCGGCCAGTCCTCCAGCCGATTGATGCCCTACTGCACACGCATATCGCATATCCCAGCAGTGCCACCGTCCCACAAACACTACGCCCTTCCACGACCCGCGGCCCATTCCACGGCCCCTTCGTGCTGCCTGCCTGCTCCACAGCGCTGCGTGAAGCCAGGCCCGATTAGTGGCGGTGAGAAAAAGGGCGAGAAAGGACGAGGGCCCCATGTGACCGGCCATGTTCCTGCAATGCTTCCAGCTTGCACGCGGCGGGTCCCCCTTGCGGTGCCTTCGGTAGGGCTGTGCGTCTGCTGCTATCCGTTCCGACATTCACCAAATGCCTCAGGCCGCTGCACACGCCCTCAGCCTGCCCGCCGTGTGCCAGCCGCGCCGCCAGAATCCCGAATGCCTCGCTGGCCCCAGCTCCGAGCTCGCCAGTCGCTCCGCCAACCGAAGTCGGGCCTTCCAAGCTAGAGCCCTGCATTAGGAGCCGTCGCAGTAGGCGCCTGGGGCGCGGAGACTGTCTGAGCGCACCCGACAGGCCATCCCCGTGGCGATCTGCCGTGCGCCGCTGTCAACGACCATGTGAGCTGCACATGGGGAGAACTTGAGACGGAACAGGTCGTGCCACGCCCCTCAGGCATATTGTGAAAATCCCCATAGCACAGACGAACGCAGGAACACGCCGCAGCATTTTGACAGCTCTTGGAGGGAACAGACTTACCGTCTTGGGAGCTGTGAGGGCCATGAGCGGGAATTTGAATCTGAGACATTGACATAGGAAATAGAATATGCTGTCGGTAAAACTGCTAGATTTGCTTTACGTGATTGCTCGCGTCTCTGCATACGTCTCTGCATACCACTCCTAGGCAGCCTGTGCAGCATGACGGCATTCTAGAACCTCCGTTCCGATACTCCTACCTATTATGCGAACGCAGTCCTGTCGGCTATCGCCTGGGACATTATGCGAGCGAAGCGGCCGGCCACATCCTTGTCTTGCTTGGCCGTCCTGATGCCTTCCAAGATCTGCTTGATGCCCACCCCTATCTCGGTGCTACCTGTCATCTCTTGGATTTCCGTGACGGCCTGCTGCTGATCCCGATCCGAGAAGACGCCCGAGTGACGCAGCACATGCGCCAGCTCCTCCTGCGTGTTTACGTTCGGCACAACGATTTGCGCGTTGAAGACGAGCTGGAGCTGGTGCAGCACAGACCGCTGCGATGTTGTGGCGAAAATCAGTAGTCGCCGGTCCTGCATGTCCAGTCAGCTCAAGCTCTGCCATGTACCACCTCGTGGGATCAGCCACTCACCTTTGGCGGCTGCTTCTTCAGAAGCGTCTTGAGCGCCTGCAATACGCTGTTGCTGAAGCGAGGGCCGATCGGCACCCAATCAAGTAATATCTCGATATCGTCGATGACAATGACGCTGAGCGGGCTCTTATACGCATCCCTGAACGTCTTTTCAATCTGCTGTACCTTCTGCATCTCGCTATACCCCACCATGTCCTCCGGCGACAACAGTTTGATGAAGGGGAACCCTGAGTCCATCGACATACTCGCGGCGAGTGCTGTTTTACCGCTGCCGGGAGGACCATGCAGCGCGACGGACAGTACGGGCGAAGACTCATCCTTCCTGACTTGATTAATGAAAAGACGACCCTCTTCCAGAATGTCTTCAATGTGCCTTGAATAGTGGACAATGTCGCCCAGAATTCTCCGGGATAGTTCTTCTTCGGCGGCGCCGAAAAGGGGTTTCACCTCGTCTAGCGCATGTAGGAAGTCTTCGCGGCTGACCTTCATGTTCACCACGTCCTCATTGATGGCCGCCATGGTGCCAACCTTGATGTGCCGGCTAAATGCAAACGATGACGCTGCCTTTACCAACCCGCTGATTTCGGCACCTGAAAAATTCTTCGTCATTCGAGCAAGCTCCTCTAGATTGACGTCAGGTGCCATGACGTTGTTGTTCCGCATTTTCGTAGTATGGATCTTGAGAATCTGCGCACGCCCTGACTCATCCGGCAACGAAATTTCCATGTGAACTTCCAAACGTCCAGCACGAAGAAGAGCCTCGTCGATCATGTCCATTCGGTTGGTCATACCGATGAGCAGGATGTTGTTGAGTTGATCGACACCGTCAAGCTTTGAGAGCAGTTGGTTCACCACACTGTCTCCAACACCGGTTCCTCCTCCGGAACTACCTCTTTGCTTGCATACTGCATCGAGTTCGTCGAAAATAATGATATGAAGACCACTCTCATCACCTTTCTCCTTGTATTCCTTCTCTGATATAGAGTTAGTAGCGTCTTCAATAGATGTGCGTGGATTTGGCCATACCTGCATCGGCGAAGAGCTTTCGAATATTCTCCTCAGACTGTCCAACATATTTGTTGAGCACTTCTGGACCATTGATGACCTTCGGCTCCCTGGCGTTCAGCATCTTGCCGATTTGACGGGCAATAAGCGTCTTGCCGGTTCCCGGAGGTCCATACAGCAGGATACCACGGACGTGCTGGATGCCTAGCTTTTCTACAAGGCCTGGAGGGAAAATACGAGAAGCAAATGCTCTTCGGAAGATGGCACTAAACTCGGTATCGAGACCACCAATTCCCATATCCTCGAACTTGAACCCGGGCTGTACAATGGAATTTGTGGCTGGTCTTCGGTTGGACGCCTTCAGTTTCAAGTCTGATTTCGCGTCCTTGAAAAAGTCTATCTTTGTATGTTTCGTCAGGATACCTCTCGCGCGGGGGTCGGTCTGGGTTTCTGGAGGCAATCCATCGTCCTTCTCCCGAGCCAAGTTTACAAGCTGAGTAGTTCGGATAGTTAGGCGAAGATAGATGCTTTTGACATCCATAAGCAGTATTTGCCCGGGAGCCAGAATTTGGTTCTGGAAGTTTTTGATGAACTGTGCCGCAAGCTCGTCCTGATCGTAGGGCACGTCCGTTGTCTTCCTCGCGCTCGCATATCCAGCCTCCACTTCCAAAGCACCAAGATATGACGTGCCGCCATCACTGAACGCCACATATGGCTCCACGGATACAAAGTCCTGAGGCCCCAAGGTTATTGCGGCCCAAGTTCTCTGCTCGTTCGTCAACCCAATCTCTCCTGGTCTGCATCCGGTAGTCGGTTTCGCAGACAGAACATATCTGCCATTCAGAAGAATGTATATGTCCTCGCCATCCTGACTAGGAGGAAAGTCTGAGGGGGACACCGCAGCTAGGTTTCCAAAGGCATACGAATTGCCTCCAGGGCTTTTGATGGGCCTCAGTTGGCGAGCTGGGCCACCTCCACCCGTAGCTGGAGACGCCCTTCCCATAGGTACTCGTTGTGGTGGTGGTGCATCATATCCTTGTGCCGGGGCATCATGTCCTGACATGCGAGCATCATATCCGCCTTGTTGAGGTTGTTGCGGAGGTCGACCGTAGCCATCGTTGCGGGCGGGAGTGCGCGGGGCGCCGTCCGGGCGTGCGCCAAAGGGGTTGGGGATCCGGTCGCGGTTGAACATCTTGTCGAAGACTTCTAGTTTCTAGGCGTGTGCAGCGAAAATCGAGGACTCGAGAGGTATATATAGCTGTGGGCGAAACCGCCACGTATGGTAGAGAAAGAGGCAACAGCGTACTGCTGTTTGAGCTTATGCACAGGTGTTCGTAAGCCGTGACGTATTGGAGAGGCTGGGTGAACAAGAAAGCAAGCAGTTAATGTTCCTCACGGGCGTGTTGCTGTGCTAGGAAGAGTTGAGGGAGAAGTAGGCGTCACAGAGTATCCAGCTGTAGTTGCAGGTGCAAGCTGCCGTAGGGCTGAAACTGCGCACAGACCCTATCGTTGTCCAACGCCTTGCGCACTCTCTCTGCTCAAGGTACTTTCAACTTCAGCCATTGTCCTATAACGAAACCTGGTATCAAATAGGCTGGAGCATTCTCGGTCATACTACATCAAGATACGGGTGCTAGATTCTACATGGTTGATATATGAGCTCATGACCGCCTACGCTAATGCTTTTTGGATCTGAGAACCTCTAAGTCTAACTATGTGAAATCACCATCGTGAATCTCTAAAAGCCTTGACCCGAGCATATAGACTCCCCACCGCCGTACCAGAGAGTGCCCATCCTGCAGTTCAACCCTTTCTCTTCTCCTACAGTCCATTCTCCCCCATCCTTGATCTCCATACCGCCAGATTTAGGCCAGTATTCAGCCTCCAGCCACTGATTGATCTCCTCAATCTTCTCAACGAGAGTCTTCATCTTCGAGGGATCGGGGCTACCCACATCGTCTGAGGTATCGCTGGTGTTGATGAACCGGCCAATAGTCAGATGACTCGATGGGACCACGTATCGAGAGTCGACAGGAACGCCTGTAGCGCTACAGAGCTTGAAGAGATCACGTCGAAGGTGATGGTATGTGTACTCATCTTTGCCGGTTATCTGGGGATCCACAGGCCCTTCCCCGGCTGCGGGTACAAAGCTTAATGCGAGAGCGGAGGCGTCGAATCCAATCATTGGCTTGATCAGGCGAGCACGGTGATCAAAGGTGTAATCAGTTATAGCCTGCAAAGATGGCCTCATGGCTTCAACGAGCTTTTCGATTTCCTCATTGGCACGGGAGTGAGTCATTTCGAGAGCCGTCATGTGGAGGCAATCTTGTGGCATGAGCCAAAGGTCTAGGAATGAGTCACATGCTTTAGATCTTCTAGTTTGAGTAGTTTTAGGGGCTCGATCTTACTTGGAGCAACCGAGAGCAACTTCTGCTGTACTTGATATATCAGGCTCTTCACCTTCACGGTTGGCCGAGCCCAAAACACCAGGCAATGCCGAGGATCAGTGTAGCCTGGCTCTATTGAAGGAACACATAGCTTTTGCAGTACTGGATCTATGCTGACACCGGGGAATTGTGCATCTAACAGCTTGACCTTCTGCTGTCCGTTCCTTGTGCTGCGGTGTGCTTGGTATCGGGCCTGGATTTCTTTCTGAGTAGAGGGTTAAACTATGTCCCCTACGTATCAGGAGTGTTCCATACCGGGTCGCCATGGCATGCTTCTAATATCGCATCATATGGATTGTCAAAAGCTTCAGTGGAAACACCGCTGAGATCTTCAAATGTATTGGTTGTGTGAACAGGGTTGGAGGTTAAAGGGGCCATGTTGCGAGGTCAAACCGTCTAAAGGTGTCCTGGAAGACCGAGTGCAATGATTTGTGTGACCACACTTAGCGAATATACGAAGCTGTGGAGCTTGGAAGCTACTTTGAGATAAGCGCTGCGAGACTCACGCCTAAACTGATGCAGTGATCGGGCCGATAGACAAAAAGAGTCAGGATAGCCGACCAACATGCATGCTGCCCGATGATCGGAGACTTTGACTTTCTGCGCATTATTTCGGTCCTACAATACCTCCTCGCTCCTTTGTAACTTCGAAAGCTCAACCTCTGAACAGCCACACAGTAGTTGATACACGACGATGAAGCTACATAGCGATGAGTTCGTGTGTCAATTCCCCTGTCACTGCTGGACATGCTTCATACAGTGTCATGAATCTGCTTGAGACGAATGTCTGTCACTTTGACCCGACTGAACTCTCACTAGGCCACTTCAAACAGCGCTGTCTTTAGCCGGTGCAGATAGTTGACCTCTGTCCAGCAGCCTTGACTCTTCTGGATACTTCCTTCAGCTTCTAACCACACGTCCCGCTAACTAGGATAGAAAAGCTTGCCTCATATTTACGAAATCTGCCATGACGAAGCCGATCACTCTTGGATACAGACCTGTATCTTGACATCAGCTCACTCTTCATTCATCCCTCACCTCACAATACCAGGAAGCTACTAGTCTGTTCACTATTTGGTCTAGAGTGCTTCACTGCATTTCAGAAAATGTCGGCTGGCGCCCAAATCCGCCCAACCCGGCCGTCTCTCAATGAGCTAAACTTGCGGCCTAACAGTGCTGGACAGGTCGTATCAAGCTCGCTCATTCCACAGACAAATGAGATGGCTTTGCTGCCGTTTCTCGGGCCTGAGGTTGGCGTAGTCGTCACATGACAGGTGCACTAGCGTGTTTTGATCTCATGGTCCAAGCTTCCAAACTTCGATCCCTCAACGCGCCCCGACGCGACATCAACTCAACATCCTCACCCACATTCTCTATGCTAAATGCATATTTAGTTTGATCGCGCGACTGCACCGCAAGCAGCGTCTCTTTTTTCTAGAGAAGGCAAGTAACAATTATATGCCGAAACCCGCAACATCATGTTAACTGACTCCATTCAGATTCCTGGCATTACGGAACTCGCTCCTGTGAGCGAGGGCATCATTCTAGAATGCTCAGCCGGATTACAAGCTTCTTTTCGCCTGCCCAAGGACAGAAGAGAAGCCATGCGGAATTTGAGCAAAACACAGCAGCGGGAGCTGAGGATGATCGGGACGAACTCATGCCCGACTACATAGCTGAAACTAGAAAGCCAACAGCTCCCCGGAAGCCGATCAGTGCGCTAAAGCCAACGCCTGCGCGAAAGCGAGCACCTACGCGTACGCCAGCACCTACCCGAAAGCCAGCGCCTGCTCGAAGACTCGATCCCGCCCGCAAGTTAAAAACAACGGGCAAACCTGCGACACCCCGCAAACCTTTAGACAATGTACGGGTCACTTCGCAGAGGGCCAACGCGACCGTTCTTCCGCCAAAACGAATGATCTTGAGCCATGTTGAGAGTACGTATGCTTCCATAGTTTGAGCAAGCGATTTGTTCTCCGCAAACCCTAACCCCATGCGCCGCGCTCTATATCAGCAGGCGCTTGCAGTGAATTTGCAATGGCTGACGAGTGGACAGTCCCTGTCATAAAGAAGCGCATGAACCCACTCCCCACACCCAGATCTGCTACCTCTACAGCTGCTCCCGCGATCACCGCCACAGAAAACGACCTCGAAGATTCATCACCCGCACGACCCCGCCGCAAGAGGGCTCGTGTTTCGTACGTGGAAACGTGGAATATCCCAGTATCAGACGATTCTAGCAACGAGGTTGATGACGAAGAGAGTGATTCTGCGTCGACATTCTCTAGAGAAGAAGAGATGGAACTAGACGAAAGTAGCGACTACGAGGAAGACTCTGCTCACTCTGACGAGAGTTCGGAAGACATGATTGAGGACCCAGGGGAGGAAGATGTTGACGTTGACGTTGATGACGCCGCATCTGTGAACGAGGATGGTGCACCAGTCACGAAATCGAAGGGCAAAGCAACATTTCCTAAGCTTGTGGAAATATCTCAGAGGAACGGAATCGATAGGAGCTTGCCTCCCATATCCGATATCAAGGAAATATTCAAGAAGATTGCTCAAAGAGCATTGGAGCTTGGACTAAAGGAATGTCTCGGTCCACTCCAAAGCCGGTTTTTGAATGTCGCAACCATGTGCTCGGGAACCGAAAGTCCTATCTTGGCATTGCAGTCGATAAACGACGGTAAGTTTCTGTCCCAATAGACATTCGGATTAGTACTTATATCTTTCAAAGCTCTGGAAGAGCTAGGACAACCCACCCTGCCCTTCAAACATTGCTTCAGTGCGGAAAGTGAGCCTTTCAAACAAGCATACATTGAGAGGAACTTCGATATCGATATCATCTTTCGAGACATCGAAGAATTTACGATTGATGGCAAAGCCGCAACCAAAGCGTACACCGCATACGGCGCTTTAGTCCCAATTCCGAAAGATATCGACCTTTTGATCGCCGGCTTTGTGTGTAAGGATAGATCCATGCTCAATGCTAAGAAGAAAAAGGTCAATCAGAAAGGCCAGACACTCAATACGTTCAACGCGATCCTCGCATACGCCAAAGCTCACCGGCCTTCCATCGTCATCCTCGAAAATATTATGGGTGACCGGAAGGACTGGGAGGAATACAAGAAACGCTACGAGAATGAAGGTTTCGAGTGCAGCTTCGATAATCAATTCGACAACAAGAACTATTATTTGCCTCAGACTAGAAACCGAGGCTATATGATATGCCTGGATCGCAACAAGTTCGGCAAGGGAGTGAAGGAAGCTGTGACCAGGTGGCTCGATTTAGCGAAGAAATTTGAACGAAAAGCGAGTAGTCCACTCACAGAGTTCGTACTACCGGCCGACGATCCCCGCGTCCAGCAAGCTCGCAAAGAATATCTGGCAAGGAACATTAATCAGGCAGGCAAAAAGGCTGATTGGGAGGTATGTCGCGGCCGGGCTGAAACTGAACGAAGTCATTACAAGCTCGGAGAGCAACGCCCCTTCACCAATTGGGTGAATGGAGGTTCCTGTGTTGCTCCGGACTATGTTGACGGACCATGGCTCAAGCGTCAAGTGGAACGGGTCTGGGACTGCCTTGATGTCCATCTCCTCAGAAACGCAACTCCTCAGAGAGGCTCTTTCGACTCACGCTACAAGATGCGCGTCTGGAATCTGTCACAGAACTGCGATAGATTCAAGGACACTCAGCCATTTGGAATAGCGCCATGTCTCACACCTACTGGAATTCCGTTCATGACAGACCGAGGTGCCAGAGCTACTGGCTACGATTTCTTGCTACTGCAGGGTATACCCATTGACAAGATCCTCTTCACCACCGAGACAGATGAACAAATACAGGACCTGGGAGGAAACAGTATGGGTTCTACCGTCGTGGGCGTTGTAACGCTCTCGGCTCTAATTGTTGCGTTCAAATCTCTTCCAATTAAAGAGCGTCACACCACTCCTCAACTGAACACCCGGCTTTCTCATCCCGCATACCCAACAACAGGCCTTGAGTTACTTGAAAACCGTTCACTGCAAGAGCACCTCCATACCAAAGTCGATGATATAGAGCGCTTGAAATCGGATGCACTCTCAAGTCGAAGTATGTGCTTTTGTGAGGGGCAAGGGCCATCGGTGTGCAATCTAATCCAACACTGTGAGTCTTGCAGACACACCGCCTGTACTCTCTGCGCTGGCAGCCCAGTACACGAATATGGGCCTACCCATACTAGCATGAGCACGCGCATGCGCCCACAGGATTTTCGACATAAATGGGAAGCTGCCTTTCCTACTAGAGTAACACTCGAGAAGCCGAAAGACTTTGGAAGCATCCGGAAACTATGGAGAGGGACAAAACCAGCCTTATCTCAGGATTATGCGAATATTGTCACTAGCATCTTTGACAAAGAACTACTATTACAACCCTTCACTCGATCCCGTTCTTGGAAAGTGCGATACGACTCTCCCGCGGCCCGACTCGAGCTCATCCTCGCGGAGACTCCCGAGTGGAGGCTCTATGCAAAGGCGTCATCATCCGAGAACATGGATGAAAGCACTAGGGCGGCATTTGAGCATCCTATAGCTCGTTCAGTCATTACAGATGGTAGACTTCTCCCTACTTCTTGGGAACCTTTCGTTCCTCAGGGACAGAAATTCAAGATTACGAGTCAACGCTCCGGAGAATTACGACCGTCATGGCGTGCAACATTAGGTCTACCTGAGTTCAAAGAAGAAAAGATGGCCACCGAACTGATCATCGGCTCACAAAAAGGAGGACTCTCGGGCTTCGACTTCTCTGGGACATACACTCTGCGTCCCAAGTGCGGCACAGCAAAAGGCTACCTTTTCAGGAGAGTGCTGCCTCCCACTAGAAGCGGTGGGCAAGACGACGTTTTTCTTTTCCTCGATCCTTCACCGCTCGGAGATCCTCGAAATGACTGCTTTGTATTCAGCAAAGATCATGGCAGATTACCATGGGGAGAGCAGCGAGAAGTTATAGCTCGCTTGGACCCCGTCTGGGAGCCTCTGGTGGACAATAAATCAAAGCAAGATATCGCGAAAGTAGAGCACATTACCGCGACTGTGGACGGGGAATGGAGAAGCGACTCATCCTTCTCTGCGACTGTCTTGCCCGTTCACACCAAAATATCTCTTCGGTCTCCCTTTCCGACGAAGCCATGGGCTGGATTGGCAATAGCAAGGGGTTGTTCGACTTTGGCGACGCTCCTGGAATGCAAGTTCGATCTCCCTAGTCACATCAATAGCCAATGGGCTAGCCGCAAACATATTGGCCTCAGAGACAAGTCTTTCTTCGACTCATTCTCTTTTGTTCTTAGGAGAATACAGAGCATGCCGTCTTTGAACAAGTGGGAAAGTCTGGCAATGCCTTCAGACGAGCACTGTGAAACATGTGCACCAGCCACCCCTACTATTTTGTGGCAATTGAACCCGAAATCGAAACGGGGCGCTCCTGTTGTGGTACCTTACGAGCATCCCTTGGATGCTATAGGCTTCGAGAAGATGCTCAAAGAACGACCTGCACCGTTCAGGATCGAACTTGATGTTGGTACCCATGGCGGCAAAATCACCATCAGTCACAACGTTCAGACTATGGTTCATCGTGCTGTCGCTAGGCTTGCCGGCGTCGGGGATTCCCCAAGGGTGTCTTGGAAACTCATCACCGATGCATACGCTTCCGCAATGCACACGTTCCCACGTTTCACCTTGAAAGATAACGACGAGGACGACCCTGAGGCTACTCCGGATGGGATGAAAAAGCCACTTTTCGAGAAACAGGAACGTTCGCTAGCTTGGATGATCAGACAAGAAGACGATGCTGCACCGCCTTTTACACTCCGCGAAGTCGAGGAAGCAGCGCTCCCACATCTGAACTGGAGAGCCGAAGTCAAGGCTGAGAAAAATATCCGCATCAGAGGCGGCGTATTGGCAGATAAGGTTGGATTCGGCAAAACTATCCTGATCCTCGGACTGGCCCAGTCCGAATTTGACAAGAAATCAGATGAGGAAATCATTCGGGAAAACTCGCTGGCAAAAGGAAAGGGCCCAAGCCTCATTAACATATCCGCTACGCTTGTCGTTGCCTCCGGTAATATTACGAAGCAATGGAGAAGCGAAATCATAACATTCCTAGGAAAGAAGTATGATGGAAAAGAGACTCTGTTGATTGAAAACGCGAAGCAGCTCGAAAAGCTCTCTGTGGAAGACTTCACATGCGCGAAATTCATTATTGTGCAATGGAGAGTTCTATTCGATGCAAAATACGTGTCGAGACTGTCGCACTTGACGGCGATGCCAGAGCCGCTCACTACAAACGGGAGAGTCTTCGCTTCTTGGCTGGATCAAGCCATATCCCAGCTCCCTACTAACCTTCAAACCCTGAAGCGCGAAGGGATCCGCACATTCGAGGAAGATATTCAACGTCAATACGAACGAAATCTCGCTAACCCTAAGCTTCACAAGGAGGTAGGTTCCAAGCAGTTACAGGCTTCTACAGGATCCCGATCATCGAAGAGCGTGCAGGAGGGAAACGAGTTAGCTGATTTGAAATGGCCAGTCTTGCAGCTCTTCAGATACAATCGCATTGTTGTCGATGAATACCCATATTTACAAGCGGAGAAAGGAGGACGAGGTAAAGACAACAGCATCGGAGCCTACTTATCGATCACAAGACTTCAACGCGAGAAGATGTGGATTCTCTCTGGCACACCGGATCTTGATGACTTCAGCGATGTGAAGCGCTTAGCGGCCTTCTTCCAGATCAATCTAGGCGCCGACACGAAAGCTCCTAGTGTCGTTACACGCCGTAACTTGCGAAAGATTGCGGAAGACCGCAGTAAGACAGAAGAGTTCCTGAGCTTTCGAGAGAGCAGATCTAATGAGTGGCACCAACGCCGCCATGAATATGCACAGGGCTTCTTAGACAGATTCGCTCGACAAAATAAGCCTGACATCAAGAACATTCCATATCAGGAGCATCTCAGCCTATCGAATTTGAACCTTACTCATCGGATACTCTATACGGAATTGATGTATCATTTTGGATCCAACTCCATGATGATGCCAAGTATTACGGAGGCAGAACACTCCGACAGGAACTCACGCATCAATCGTTCTATTGCCGGTTCTAGAAGCCCAGAAGGAGCTCTCCTTAAGAGCAGCTGTTTTATCGACGATGTTGGAGATCTACCCACCATTCGGCAGCGAGAATTGGACGATTCGGGACCACAGTTGGAGGCTAAGATTGTGGAGGCCGAGAAACTGAAGAGGATTTGTGGCAGCGCCGACACCCATTACGGCAACTGGAGGGCCTCCAGGCTCTCGCAACGTGATATATTTGGCGATCCCATGGTATCAGCCGAAGTTCAGAGCTTCATCAAAAATGCACAAAGCCAAGCGCCCAGTCACCATGACAGTCACTCTCCGACAAATAAAGACATGCCTCTGCTACGAAAACTGGACGGCCAGATTCGCACAATGGAACGGATATTCCTCTCCAACTCGAGATCTGTTCGATATGCGAAAGCTCTCCACCGTCTTCACCGAGCCAGAACTGATGACAAGCTCTCGATCAGGTGTGATAAGTGCCGGATACCCATCCGCAACACCTCTGATCTATTCGTTATCCCAAACTGCGGTCATTTTTCTTGCGGCAGATGTCTACACGTCGACATTACCTCAGATATCTGTGTAGTCGAAGGTTGCGATACCAGCTTAGCGGCTTCTCAGCCTATCGGTGTCGACATCTTCCAGCATGTAGACACGCTACCTGAAAAACCCTCAACCGCAAAGTTGGAAAAGCTGTTCAGCTTCCTCCATATCATCAAAACCGATCAAGTGTTGCTCTTTGTTCCGGATTACGAGCTTTTGGGACAGATAGACACCGAACTCGCCGTTCGAGGAATCCGGCATTTGGCCATTAAGAAGAATGACGCCGATCCGGGATCTATCATCACTACCTTTCAAGGTGAAACTCAATATCGAGTACTCGTGCTAAACATTTTTGATGTAAATGCTGCTGGAGTGTAAGTCTCTTCTGGTTCTAAGTTTGAAGAATAAAATAGCTAACCACAACGAATCAGGAACCTTCAATGCGCTAACCATGTGATGTTTCTTTCCCCATTACTGGCACCGTCCCAGCACGAATACGAGGCCAAGATGGAACAGGCCATTGGTCGTGTACGAAGATACGGTCAGAAGAAAGCTGTCCATATCTATCATTTCGCGAATCTGCATACCATAGACGTGGATGCCATCCAGCGTCATCACCGGCGATCTGACCAACTAGTCGGATTACTAAGAGAGCCGGAGCTGGAGCCGAAAGTGACCATGGCAAAGACGAAGGGCAAAGGAAAGGCTTCGTCAAAGAAGGAGGACTCCCTAGAAGGACCTCCGATTCCGGCAGAACCTACACAGCTTGTTACGAACAAGGAAGGGGAAATAGTTCTGGTTCCAGTGTCCTGGCTTACTGATTGTGCGAAGGCTGAGGCGGGGAATATCGATCCTGACAGCACAAGCGGTTTCTCTACACTGACAATGTTCTCCGAGACGTACGGCGCCCTAGAGGAGTTCTAGAGCCGCTTCTGTCATATGCGACGGCCAGAATGGGTGGCCGGAAAGGAAGTGTGTTACGCTGGTAATTTCGGGTTACTGTTCCACGATCCATTCGGATCTAGGCCTTCCATGCCACCATCCGGGACAAACATACACCCGGTTTGTCTCAACGTGGTCCTTTTATTTTCCAGCATTGCTCCTTCACAGGCGTTTTCGGCGTTGCTTCATTTCATTTGTCGCTTAGATTAGCATTTGGTACTGGAGCAATCGAGGTAGCGCGGCCAAGCTAGCACGCAAGCAAACTTGCCCTCGTGTACCTCGGGGTCTTTAATTGCATATCTCTCATCGCATCGTACCGTCCTCTAGCTGATTCTGCGTGATCACCCCATCCCCTTGCTATCCTCCGCGTCTACTCCCACACCAATCTGATCCCAACCCTACTCCCAGCGCTCCCAGCTCAACAATGGAAGACACCCACCACACCTACCACCCCTTCACCCCCCGCGAAACCAACCCCAGCCCCACCCTCCCCTTCCGCTCCCGCACCGGCTTCGAGCGCCGCTACACCGACTTCCCACTCCCCGCAGACTGGCTCCCGCACCACCCTTTCGCAGAACCCTTCCTGAACGACACCCCGCCCTACTGGAGCAGACCCCACAACATCCACCGCGAGCTCCCCTGCGGCCCGCCCCACCACCCCAGCGCCTGGAGCCGACGACGCGGCCACTGCCTCTTCTTCGACCCGCTCTGTCAGCGGCCGGCGCCTGCGTCCGCGGGGTTCCAGCCAGAGCCGTGGTGGGCCGCGTCGCACGCGCAGAGGGGAGGCAGTTGGGAAGACATGCCGTGGGCGAGTAGTGCGGGCGAGCAGTCCTCGGGGGCTGTCCCGGACCAAGGACCGGATATTGATATGGGTGCGAAGGAGCCGGGAGGAGGTGGTGGGGGCAGTAGTGGTAGTTCTGGGTGTCGGTCAGGGTGCGGGGGGTTCGAGCACGTGAGCAGAGGCGGAAGGGGGGAGGGTATGGCAGCGGGTTGGGAAAAGCACGAAGGAGATGAAGATGGGGGTGAGAGTGATGCTGGGAGCGATTCGAGCCAGTCTGAGCACGCTACCTTCATCGCGGAGGATTCCTTCCCAACGATGCCGGCGGGTGGGGATAGAGGGTTTTTCGAGCCGCCGCGGTCGGGGAGTCGGCAGAGTGTGCATGAATTCTTTGGGGAGCAGGCGGATACGGGGACAAGGGTGCCGAGGCCGGTGGGGGAGTTTCCGCCGGAGTATACGGAACCGCCTAGGTTTCAGCGTGCGCAGGATGCGGAGGGGAGGGGTGGGGGTGGAGAGCAGCAGGCGCAGGGCTGTGGGTGTTCTTGCAGTGGTGCTGGTGCTAGTGGGATGGGGTACTCGCTCCAAGACGAGATGATCGCAGCGAGGTTAGAGGAACTTGAAGCCCGCGAAGCTCGTGTAAGAGAAGTAGAGGCGACACTTCGACACGCTGAGGAGATTCTCCGCCAAGAGCGCGAGAGAGTCATGCACGCTGAAGGCAGACTTCGTCAAGAGAAAGCGGGATTTGAAGCACAACGGAACCCATTCAGGCGCGAATGGCGACGCCAACAGCAACAGTCGAGAAGACAACGGAAACCCTCCTACCACTTCACAGACTCGGATTTCGATATGCTCTCCAGCGACGACGAAGAACCTACCTTCAACCGCGGTCCGCCCTTCTTCGGCTGGAATGGCTTCTCAGCCCAACGAGAGCCCTCGCTGGCAGGAGCCGAGCAGGCGTTCGGAGAATACAACACCCATTGGGACCAGCTAAGCATCGACGACGCCGCTATCCGCTACCCCACCCCGTCAGGGAGCGGTGGAGATCTCTTAGACGTAGGATCCCGATACATGCAGCAGATCACATCCTCCAACCGCTACGCCTGGGCGCCGAAACTCCCCAACTCCAACCTCCCCATCCACCCGCACCAGGTGGTCCGCCACAACATCTTTGGCTTCTTCATCGCCGCATTCGGGATTCGTCTGCGCTACGCAGTCCTCGAGGGTTTAGAGAACGGGTCCTCGCCGCAGTGGAGGCCTGATTTCCGAAGGGCTGACCAGGAGAAACTAAAGAAGTTGAGAGATCATTTGAGGAGGAAAGAGCAGAAAAGGTGGCATCCGGATCAGATGAATCGTCGAAAGAACGGGTTCGTAGGATTGGGGGGGGAGGTGTTTTCGAGGGGGGGCATCTCGATGACTGGGAGAGAGTTGAGGGAGGCTATTTGCTTGGCTATCACGGACTTGAGGCAGGCGTATGTTGAGACGGCATTGAGGGAGCAGTAGGTGTAGGATGGGGTTTGCGTGTAGTTAGGCTATGCATGTCTATTATTCGATGCAGAGAACTGAGGATGGAGTTGCGGATGAGGTCGAGCTCGATGGCACGTGCTCTTACCCCTGACGCGCAACGATCTCCGGCCGGGATGGCCCCTGGAGGGGGTTTATTGACTTGCAGCCAAGCGGGAACTAGCCCTGCCTCGGTGCGCTGCCACGCGAAATCGATAGATAACGCCGCCAGCCGCTGGTTCTCTCCGTTTCAGCACCGCCAAACTGGCGTCCGGCGCCGCCATCGACCGTCGGAGGCCCTTGGTGCTGAAGCTGGGCTGTCTGGGCTGCTGCACCTCCAAGCCGAGTTCCAAGTCTTGTTGCGCCTCCATTCGGCCGTCCCCCTTTCACGCGTACTCCCCTCTGTCACCTTTCTCTGCGTCGCGTTTTGTACTTCTGCAGCCGCACACTTCCGTTGCCAGCTGTGTCCATTCGTTTTCTAGCTTTTCTGTACGATTCACGCTCGTTTACGTCTATCTAATTAATCATTATACCCGTGGCGTGTCAACAGCTTCAAAATATATCCTCGAGATTGCACTCCTCATTACCCCCCAACCGCCCTCTCCTCCGATCCGTCCACCACTACATCAATCATGCGTCAATCCCTCCTGCTCCCCACCATCCCCCTTCTCTCCCTCCTCCCCACCGCCCTCGCTACCACGTCCTCCAAACGCGGCCTCGTCTATGTCCCCTCCTCGAAGCACCCGGGCGATGACAAAATCTGGGACTCCTCTACCTCCGACTTAACCTGGTACTACAACTACGGCTACACGCCGACCACGTCCTTCAGCAACTCCGACCTCGAGTTCGTCCCCATGCTCTGGGGCGCCTCCGACGCCGACTCCGGCACCCCCTTCCTCGACGCGGTCAAGGCCCAAATAAAGTCCGGCACCAACATCTCCTACGTGCTCGGCTTCAACGAGCCCGACGGGACCGCCGCTACGGGGGGCGCGGGGATCGCCGCCGACGTGGCCGCGAACGCGTGGATAAAGCAGATCGAGCCTCTTAAAAAACTCGGAGTGAAACTGGGCGCACCCGCAACGACAGGGTCGCCCGATGGCTTCACATGGCTTACGGATTTCTTCAATTTCTGCGATGGAGGTTGCAATCCGGATATCATGCCAGTGCATTGGTACGGGAATTTCGAGGGCATGGCGAGCCATATCGGGCAGAAGATGGCGGCGTATCCTAATATGAAGATTTGGGTTACCGAGTATGGTTATCCGGATCAGGATTTGGAGACGACGCAGCTATTTTATAATCAAAGTTCGGAGTATTTTGATCGTATGGTGTAAGTTTTGCTTTCTATTTTGTCGTACTTGGGAGGAAGGTGATGGGGCTTCGGATTGGGCTAATTTGGGGATTATAGGAATATCACGCGCTACTCTTACTTTGGGGGTTTCCGGAGCGATGTCTCGAATGTTGGGCCGAACGTTGCTATGCTCACGCAGGATGGCAAGCTCACGGATATCGGGAGCTGGTACCTTGGTGGTGTGGCGACGAATAATAAGCCGAAGGGTGCCGCGGGACGGGTGGCTATCTTTGCTGGTTGGAGTGTCGTTGTTGCGGCGGCGGGACTGTGGACGCTGCTATAAGTGCACGGGAGCTCAGCTTATTGTATCGGGAGTTTGTGTAGATGGTTGGAAACCTTTGGCACTGGCGTTCCGAGGAGTTTCAAGACCTGACAGGTATAATTATTCAATCTCGTGCAATTCATTCATCCCAAGACACATCACACGAGCCATCTAGAAACTAGAGCGTCGATGCTGTGAAGTATCAGTGAGCCTAAGGGAAACGGTAACCTTCAAGTCACATAAACGGAGTCTACCGTTCAGGCCTCTCATCGTAAAGCACTACCCTGCATCTAAGACATAGAACTAGCTCCCGTTTATACCTCACGGCATTGTCCATGTCCATAGCTCTCATATCCAGCGTCCGACAATAACACGGCACGATCAAGTCCACATCGCACGGACTGGCTCCACTTTATACATCTTACCACATTGTAATCTTCCTCAAATCCCGAGCGCGATCCATAGCGCCCCGGATATTCCATCCTAAAAGACAGTTCAAATCGCGCAGACTCCCTCATCCCTTTGGCCTCGCGTAACGACACCGGACCAGCTCCCACTTCATACCCAGATTCCAAAAGTCTAAATTACGGCTCCGGACAATAGTATGCCAAAACTGTATTCAAATCGCACGGACTAGCCCCACTTTGTACATCTCACCACACTGTAATCTTCCTGAAAACCCGAGGCTAATTCATAGTGTCCGGAATGTTACATTCTGTATGGGGATGCAAATCGAGCAGACTGGCTTAGGACCTAATTCTTGCTCTAATTTACAACCTCCAGCAATAACGCACTATTCGATGGATTTCGGTGCTACACGCCGGGCACGTGGTACATGACGCCGCGCCTAGCAATCAACTGTAGAGCGGCTCGAACGGGGAGTACTTGTAACGAAAGACGGCAAAGCGTGAGGGAGGATCTTCAGAACTCGGCCCAAGAAGTCTGTCTGGAGCTGGTCACTCTGGCCCGGGCTTCTTGATCTGGTATACGAAACACTTTTTATAGCTACCCAACTTAGAGACACAGTGTACGCAGTACCACACCGCAACCAACTCCACAGTCGCATCCGCAAGACCTCGCAGCTTCCTCCTTCCTATCGCTGCCCCATCCCATCCAACCCCCGCTACTCCACCCGACAAATAATCTTCCCCATCGTCTTATTCGCCTCCATAAGCCTATGCGCCTCGACTACCTCCTCCCACGGAAACACCTTCTCCACAAACACCTTGAACCGCCCATCCACAAACCGCGGCAGCGCATGCTCCACCAGCGTATCCCGCAACTTCCCCTGATACTCCTCATCCCGGCTCCTTAAACTGCTCCCCTCAAACCTGGCCCGCTTCCATACAAACGCGCTGATGTCGACCCCCGCGGGCAGTACCGTGCCGCCCAGCATCCCCAGCGTCACAATCACGCCGTCGCGCGCAATCGCGTCCAGGTTGCCCTGGAAGTAGCTCGCACCGACGAAGTCGATGATGACGTCGACGCCCTTGCCGTTCGTGGCTTTGAGCACCTCGGCGGGCCAGTCTTGGGTGGATGTGTTGAAGGCCGCCGTGGCGCCGAGGGTGTTGGTGATGAACTCGCACTTCGAGTCCTGGCGCGCCGTGGCGAAGACAGCAGAGGGCGAGTCGCCGAGCGAGAGCTGGATGCCGGCGATGGAGACGGACGAGGCGCCCGCGTGCCAGAGGACCGACTTGCCGGGCGTGTAGCAGCCGATGAGGTAGAGGGCTTGGGTTGCGGTGATCCAAGTCTGAGAAGGAGAGGTTAGCGGGGATGGGATTGGGGAGGGGAGATGCGCTTCTGGAGAGTCAAATCGAATCGTGCGAGAGGGCCTGAAGGTCGGGAGCGAAGGGAGTGGGGTGGGTGGCTTACCTCTGGAATGCCCGCACACTCCTCCCAACTCAACTCTTTCGGCTTGTGCACTAGCATGTGCGTTGACACGGCAATGTACTCTGCGTACGCGCCGCCATATGCCAGCCCAAACACCTCGTCGCCTACCTTGAACCCTTTCTCTGGGTCCTCCCCAACGCCCTCGATTATGCCTGAGAACTCCACGCCCAGGATCTTGCCCGCTTGCGGCGGAAGTGGGTAGTGGCCCTCTCGCTGGAAGAGGTCCATGCGATTGAGTCCGAAGGCCTTGATCTTGACGAGGGCTTGCGCGGCAGCTGGGACAGGTTTAGGGATCGAGGTTATGAAGAGCGAGTCGGCAGGGCCGGTGCCGCCTTTGATGTCTGGAACATCAGGTTAGTACGGAGTATTGGGTAAGCGGGTATAAGGAGGAGGGACTTGCCTACCGCACGGATTGTTTCGGGCATTTTGTGAGATCTTTGGGGGTATTGGAGGTAGGAAGTGGGGCAGGAGGCGAGCTTCGAGGTGGAGGCGTGATGTTTCGGAATGGAACGTAGATGAGGGCCCAAATATGGAGTTTCAGGAGAGCAACAATCTCAATTCGAGGCCCTTATGTTGATTACAGAGAGAAGAGCTTGGCGGGGTGTGAAATAAGTGTAAAGTATGACGCGGTTCAAGCTCCACCAAGCTAGGTGCCCGATCGGGAAAGGTCAGCTGCGGAGCATTGCGGAGTTGGGCGCTGTCCCGCTCGTTTTCAAACTTTATTCGAGGATTACGCCAGCCGTGCAGTGTAATATGTAGTAAGTCGTGTAAGGTCCTTGACGGTTGATAGAGTAAGCCTTTTCCGCCTGGAAATCAACCGGCTTCTCGGCATCACCTGTACGCCAAGTCACAAACGGCATTAAGGTCAGCCTGAGAGACAAGATGACAAAGATTAGAGGTTGCATATAGGGCTACCAGGAATAGGATTGAGTGCCGCTCCATCCATATCTACTTCCCCATTTCCACATCCCGAGCGAAAGACATCATACAGCTCTGCGTGCGGAATGGATTTCGCAGTCATGAAAAACAAGGGAAAGACTCATGAGAATTTGAAGCTCAACAAGTAGACAAAGAAAACACGAACATATTATGCCAGCGCGGGGCATGAATAACGAGATCAAGTGTCCGGGATAGTCGAGTTTGAAGGAGGGGGGGTTCGGAGTGCTGCATACTTGCATGCGGTGCCCCCCTGATACGGTGTCAATTTGCCGTTGTCCTCGTGAGCATGAGTTTCGCAAGGACTGGGTGTCAGATCGATTTTGGTGCCATAGTCGTTCGCTAGTGGACGAAAAGGCTATCCTCTGACTTGATATCGTACTTTTTCAAAGTCTCAATTAGACGAGCGCACTCTCGCTTGAAGTCGAGTGGGTTGATGAATTGCACTCCATACCGGACCCTAAGAAAAAGGTTAGATCATGCCATTAAATATCATAAAGGGGGGATTCTTACCTTGGGGTGTCTTGGAACGTGTCCATTTTTGCTCTGATACGGAAGTCGTATGTCCTGCAAGTAGCTTCCAGAAACGCGTCCTGGCTCATCGTGGTGCCCTGCTCCTCGTCGCTCGCTTTCATCTCAGTCAACTGATTTGCAGTCATATTCATCACCACCGCTCCCTCTTTGTCAAACAGGCTTAGCCAGAGTTGACCGGTGTAGTCGCTGACATTGACAGACATGATGTATCTGTACGTCGGACGTGGATGTGCGATCGAGCACCTCTCGCAACGCCACTCTCCGGGGTTGTCTTCAACAACTTTCTTGTTGCACGGCCTACCATCGACGTCGTTTGAGCAGGCAGGGTAGGCGAATGTGTCCGGCTTCACGTAGACAACCGAGGCCTTGAGGTTGAAGTAAACAGTGTCCTCGCCTAAGCCAGCCTCTTCGTCCTTGACTTGCTGGACAGTCTTGTACTCTTGCTTTCTGCCGCCGGTGTTCCCAGCCAAGCCTGCATGGCTAGTGTAATTCCCCTGTCGACCTTCGGCGTCATACCATCCTTTCAGCTTGTGTGCTTCATCGATATCGGGATCGACGTCCATGGATCCAGAACTCAACAAGCTTAAACTCCGACCACCAAATTCGGAAACCTTGACACCTTTGAAGGCAATGACAGACTCTAACGGAGCGTCGAAAGTCATCGCCAAGTTACCCCAGATTGTGAGTCGAACAGATGTGAGAGTGTCATCGGCCAACGTTAACTCGCGCTTCGAGAAGGGCCTATTGCTGTTTTTGCCGATGATCTCCTCCACATCTCCAACGCTCTTGAGTACACCGACGGTATCGATCGTGCTATCCTTCTCCACCGCGTCTAGGGATCCAATTTTGGTGAAATTGTACCGCACTTTTGGAGCACCCTCTTGGTCATCGGCCTACGTAAGATTAGCACTAGTCCTCCAAAACGATATGTAAAAGAATGAAGCCACTGTACCTTCTCTACCGTCGAGTCCCTCTCAAAATGTAGCTCATAATCGTTAGGCAGATTTGAGAACTGCTTCTTCGCAAAGACTACTTTGCAGTTTGAGATGAAGTAAACCATTCCTACTTGGAACACATCGTAAAGATCATCGGCTATCTCCTTGAAAGCGGTCCCCCGAATCTCTGAAGACTCATCCAGCAAGTTCACGCTGAACAGCTTGCCCTCTCCGTTCTTGTTCTGCCACGTCTTCATCTCTCCTTTTTGTGTACATCTCGCTTTGATAGTCCATTTGTGTGCGTACGGCGAGAGAGCTTCGATCGGATACAAGCTGGCGTCTCCGGAGTTGGATTGTGGATGGGATGGTAGAGATCGGCTTTGTGGGGCCGGCTTGCTGTTACCGTTCGATTGGTTTCCGTAGAAATTGTTGCCGGAGATAGCTGCGGGTTGTGGCTTCTGGTCCACAGGCTCTGTGGTTTCCAGCTGGACTGGCATTCCGAGCTTCTCAAGTTCGCCATATTCTTCCAGCACTTCCACATCGACAAGTATCAGAATCCTGGCTAGGTATTAGACCGATTGCCAGACGATAGACGAGAGGATACTAACTGTCGTCCTTTCACTGCCTGGGGTTGGAACGACTTCAATCTCACGATAGAGCCCTTCTTGAGTGTCCCTTCAGTTACCAAGGGCGCCAGCGCTGCGCTTAGTTAGCACGTCTCTCGCTTTTGGTTAGGCTGCTGAGGTACGAACGTGCTGCCAGCATAGTCTGAATGAAGTTCTGGATGTCGCTCAGCACAACACGGTATCGCTGAGGATCCCCGCCAGTCTTTGAGTCCATCGGTTTGATCTGAACGCATTGCATGACCGGACTGGGCGCCGCCTCGATGCCTCGCTCGAATATCGCCCTGTAGATGAAGATTAGAAGGGCAGCCTGATGTGGCAATTTGAAAGCCTTACCTGAGCGAGCCTTGGCTGATTGCTGCTTCGGCCATAGTTGCAGGGCTTTTGCGCGTCGTAAATGAGAGAGGTGAGGTGAGGAAGGGAGTGTTAGGACGAGATGTTGAGGTTGTGGCGGGAGAGAAATGGGGGATTGACGCGACGCGCCGGCCGAGTGTGTAGTTTCGTATTCAAATCACGTGATGTTAATTGCCTGCAGTTTTCTATGCCCTAGGCTGTCTAGAACGACATACTTGGATTTCAAGCTCGTGTTTGGTGGCACTTGGAGATGCTTCGAGGTTTATGAAGCTGCAGGCGTTACTTGAGACACTACCTATATCGACCCTTTATTGATGTGGAATAGGATATTGAGGTGGAACTGCCACTTAGAACTATGAAACCCCGCGATCCTTTGGCGGGGCAAGGAGTTCCTCAAACAAATGAACAACCTCTCTCACCACCAACATCAACAGCACTCACTATGGCCGACGACGAAGTTGCAACCAGAGCTCCAGAGAGCGACGCCCAGCCCACTGCCGCCGAAAATGTGGAACAGAGCATCTTTCCTGGCGACACGAGAGCTCAGGCGGGAGCCAGTATGGGCGTAAGACTGCTCACGCCAGACGTCCTACATGGATATATAGCTAATTGTTGCAAAGGAACACTGCACAACGGACAGACCGACCCGTACGCATTACGAGCCCGTATCTTGAACGCCCACTGACTGCGACGTAGCTTCCGGCGAGGTCCCCACCGGCGTTGGTTCTCCTGAGACCCCTCAAAGAAGCTTAGAATAATAAAGCTCATGCGTCGTAGGAAATATCTAAGCTTGGAGGCATAGATGTGAGGCTCTTCTTGTCCCCGAATACTACCAGCCTCTGACAAATTCTCAGGTCTACATCTCAAAGCCGGCCGATTACCCTCATTCGCCCTCAAAGCTCTTGCTCCTACTAACCGGCGGAACTGGCGTCAAGTCTGCGAACAACCAACTGCAGGCAGACAAATACGCATCTGAGGGATTTCTGGTGGTCATGCCCGATCAGTCAGTCCTCTGAACCCCGCAATATTGTCCAAAGTAATTGACTTTCGCAGATTCGGAGGTGACCCGGCCCCGAATAGCGTCGATCAGAGCGCCCATGACAAGCATCCTTCCGTTATCGAACAAATCAAGCTCCGCGTAGGTGAGACTGCGAAGTCTTTCCTGATCGATATGTGGCTGGCCCGACACACCCCCGAGAAGGTTATACCGATCCTACACAAGGTCATTGAAGGAGCCAAAGAAGAGTTCGCAGATGCCGTTGCGAACGGTGGTGGTATATACGGTGTCGGGTACTGCTTTGGGGCGAAGTATATTGTGATACTAGCCGGAGAGCACCCTGATACGGTGGCATGGGACCAGGCTGCGCCAGGAGACGAGGAACAGGGAGTAGTGAAACATATTCCGGTCATTAAGGCCGGTGCAATTGCTCACGGTAAGTCTGAGCCCTAGCTTGCGGCGCCGTTTACTTACATAAGTAGGTACTATGGTCGCGAAGGAGGAAATCGAGGCGGTCAAAGTACCACTTTACATGGCTTGTGTCAAGGACGATCCCCTATTTCCGGAAGAAGTTTTGGAGGAAGGGCGGAAGGGACTCGAGAAGAACAGCATCGAGCACGAGATCCAAGTATTCTCGGATGTACCCCATGGTTTCGCCGTTTTAGGCGACTACGAGGATCCGAATATCAAGAAGTCTCAGACACAGGCCTTCGGGCAGATGCTTGGTTGGATACAAGGCCACTGAGTGTATCTCCAGGTTCCATGGGTCCGTGGTCTTTTGCATTTGCCTGGGGCGTCTGGGCGGTCGGTTGTGGCTGTACTTCCAAAATAAGATTATGGATTTCGAACAGGCTCATGGCTTCATATAATTATATCCCAATGCTCCCCGTATTGCTCCAAACTCCATGCAATGTCAACTACTATACCAATTCTATGTCACCTGCCAACACCTTTTCCCTAATAGCACTCCATCTTACAACTCTTACATCGCCCCTCTTCATTTCGAACGCCCTATCAGTCCCTACGACATTGATTTCCCCTACATCCCTCAAAGCCCTACAAAACACCGCCGTGTCTGGATCCGGCGCATCTATCATACTAATGCCACCCTGGGTATCATCAAGCTTCTGCAACGAATTCGGAAACTGCGAAAGGAAGGAAGACTGGTAATGCGACGCCAGCAGATTCTGGTGTGCGGTGAGATATTGCGATTCGCTCGGAGAAAGGTATTCGGCGGAATTCTGTTGTACATGGAGGGGGTATTTATCAATCTAAACACATTGCCAAAATCAGCTCCACGTCCAAAATCGAAGTAAATGGTCGTCAATGTAGCGATGCCCAATCTCACCTTCGCAACCCGGGCTCTCAAAAACGACCGCACGAGAAACTTGAACCGCTCCAATTCCGTCTGAATCACGATGAGCTTGAAATTCGTCTTCGGGTCCATGTTCCCCGTCTGCTCTTCTACAGTCTCGATCTACCCCAATATCGTGTTAGCCCAGCCCAGCGTCCCAGCCCAGCGTCCCAGCCCTAGAAGCGATTCGGTGACCCACCTGCCTCCTAATCCGCGTCAATACCCTCTCCATCAACGCGTCCGGGTACGGCAGCAGCTCCGGCGCGACGCGCTCGGCGACCCATGCGCGGGTTAGCTCCTGCAGGTCGAGGGTTTCCTGCGGCGCGGACACGTGCAGGGCTTCGGCGAGGATATCATCGATATCCATGGTCGTGGTTTGGGCGCGTCATGTGGGCGCTGGGAAACGGAGTGGGCGCGTGTGATGGGGTGGTGATGGGTGAAATTAAGGTGAGTGGGGCAGATCGCAGATGTGGGGCTGGTGGTGAACGCAATGACGGAGGCGGGCGATTGGGCCGGATGAGTTTCACACCTCTGTTAATGAGAGTTTAGGGGATCGAACATGACGGTGAAGGACTCCTTGGTGAGTTGTTTATAAGGGTTGAAGAGTGCTCTGCAAGCCTAATTTCCAGTCCCGAGATTCGGCGACGAAGAATGAGAGTTGAAATCGCAATCCGGTCAAAACGATTGCAACACCACGAATTTCATCACAGTGAAGGAGCATTAGCACGGCCTGGACTCTAATCACTGTACGATTCATCACCCTGTCAAAATTGACTCAAACAAGACGTATTCGGAATTTTTCCATCAACCTTCCTGTCTTCTACACCGCATCGAGATCCTTAACGTTAGCCGTCCTTTTTCAATCCCGAATTTAAACTCTTTGTCTACTTCAATGAGCTACCTCTGAGAAGATTCCATGTAGCTACGGAACACTCTTCCAAGGTTCTCGCAAGCCATCGTACCTCAGTAGATCGCTTTCTCCCGTATTGCTATTTATATGAATATTGTTTATTTTTATTTTTTTTGCTTTCCCGTGCAACTTTTCAGCCATCCATGGCAATGTCGTGGGACGTTCGCACAGCCAGCGAGGAGTGGCTCAAGGATTACGTCCATCGCATGAGAACCGACAATCTCGTCGGCGGTCTTGAAGAAGGCATAGTAGTAGTCAAACTATCCGACAAACTAGCAGTCAAATATGGATTCGGAGCGACTGCCCAGGAGTAAGCCACGCTCGACTTTGCGCATCAGCATATCGGCCAGAGCATAGTTCGCACCCCTGAAGTGTATCGCTTCTTCATGGACACGTCGGCCACCTTTCCCACCAGCTATATCTTCATGGAATACTTCCGCGGTTGGACATTGGACGACCTCGACCTCACCGTCCACACCGACATAATACCACGCGTAGCCAGCATCATCGCACACTTTGGGTCCCTATCTGGTGGCCAGGTCCCAGGTCCCATTGGCGGTGGTAAGTTACATGGCTATCTCTGGGGCATAGATGGCACTTACACTGTGTTCACCTCCATCGAAGACATGAACATCTGGTTGAACAAGAGGCTCGAAGTCCGCCGTGAGATGGAAGGAAAACGTCTGAGGTTAGCCAAGACCGAAGAAGAGCGGGATCGCATTCTCAAGAGCGGCCTATCTACGAACATAGATCTTACATCCCAAGCCCTTGTGTTGTGTCACTTGGATCTCTGCCGTCGGAACATGATCATGCTACCAGACAGATCCATATGCGTCGCCGACTTCGGCTGTGCGGGCTTGTTCCCGAGGTTCTTCGAGCTACTCACCTTGTCGTTTCTCAACCCCTATGATCCTGAATACACGGAGCCATTGCGGCAGCTAGTCACAGAGCAGCTTGGTATAACAGAGGAGGAGAAGAGACTTATGGAGTTGGTGCGTCGCGTGACTACTGTGAACCACTTTTACTAGTAAGTGCAACTCCTGAATCTCAATGCAGTTTCGCTAACCCAGTGTAGCGGTGAAACCGACGAACACACATTCGTTCGGACGGGAAATACACCACCACTACCACCGCCACTCCCGCTGCCTAAGAAGCCGGCTTCTCCAAATGAACCTCAAGCTTCATCACGCTCATCGCATGAATCTGCGCCCTCTGGTAATGAAGCCCCACCTTCGCCACCACCTCCTCGACTAGGACCCCTAGGAATCCCCCGCCGCGCATCCATACTACCTCCGCCTCCGCCTCCACCTCCACCTCAACTTGACTCTACGGCATCTACCATAATCTGATCTCAGGACGTCGCACTGAAGCTGGACCAAGGGTATATAGCTACCAAAAACACGACCACGCTGTATCGTCACTTCCGCCCCTTACTTATGACACATAAACCTCCCAATCCCAGCGCATGAATCGAAACTTGCTTAGGGCAGTGTTCCACGCCGCGTCTGCGGACTGTGCACACCCTGGCCTATTTTGTTCCAAGGAGTGACATACCGAACCGCCGGGATCGAGTTTTCAGAGACGAGGTGTGCTAACGCTGCGTGGACGCTTCCGGGGGCTTATGGTGCAAAAAGCTCTGGATACGACTGTGTGGATTGAGGTTTCTGGGACGTGGTGAGGAAGTGGAGTGCCACGTTGCGTCTACGTTGGATAGCGGCTTCTCGTGACGGAGGGAAAGAGACTCGGAAGTGAGGTGGTGTCTGGCGGTTTGAGACGGATGTCGTGGGGCCATGTGGGAAGAGGAGAGGGTGAATGTTAAGGCGTCCAATGATAGATGGCATGAGATGCTAATGATGAGACGAAAGAACCTTCGATGCATGAGTGGTTAACATTCGGTACTCGAGCTCAATTCACACCTCAGCCAATCAAATCACCCAAAGGCACCTCAACTCATTTGTAACTCTTCCATTTCAACTCTAACGACGAAACAACCAGATCACCATCGTGCAACCACCGCCCACTCCACCCATTACTAACGACGAGGCTATCCTCGCCACCCACCACTCTTCTCACCCCACAGCGGAAAGGAAAGCTCCCAATCTCGGCCTTCTCCCATGTGGTATATACAACCATTGTATCATCTACACGCCCTCCCCGTCCGGCAAGAACAAGACAGCAGATAAGTACAACAGAACCATGGAAAGTGGAAGCAGCAAAAATGGAGTTTGTCCTTTTGAATGACCTGTGAGGAACAAGAGGGGATGGTATAAGGGGGGTTTGGGTTGAAGGGTATATGTAATGGGAACGCAGTGAGGTAGTAGAGAAGAGCGGGCCAAATGAGAAAGCTCGAGACGGGATGAGAAAGGTGGCGGGTGCATATCGTGTGTGTGAACTTGATGGCTCAGAGGCCGGAGAAGTAGTTCGTCATGGAGCGTGCAATGTTGCAACATGCGACATGAGAAGCAGTGCTGATAGTTGTGATGATCATAGGAGTAATGTCGAGCAGGAACAACAAAGGAGAAAAGAAGACCGCGAGGCAGCAGTCGACAGCTGCGCCAACAGTACCGACCTCCTAGACAAAGCGTCTGGAGAGGTACAGTTCCCGCGGATAATATGATGCAAAAAGAGGAGCTCTAAAGAGCTAAGAAGTAGAATAAGACTCCCAGTGTTGCTCTGGAGGTATCAATCGCTGGGCCAGGAGCAATTGAGTACTTCTCCGGAAGCAGACCAAGAAGCCAAGAGGAGCTCTCCATGAGCAATAACAAAAGGTCGCCGCTTGAACGCCGCAAGGATAGGACCGGAATTTGCTCGCAACGCCGTAATGCTGAAATCTGGGAAAAGTGTTCCATCAATAACTCCGTAAATCCGTTCGCCATAAGCATTGTTCGGGTCATTGGTCTCGTCGACCTAATACGAGGCCATTCGACGAGTCCCGTATCGTCCAGGATTAAAGTAATTATCGGACTCCATTCCCATCGGAAGGATACCGCCGGTTTTAGATCTGCTGTGAGCAGTGGGACTGTCTTCCATCTGACAGGACTGCTGGCCGAACTGTTGCTGACCAAATGCAAATGTTTGGGCCCGGTTTAGTTTTGTACGCTGGCGGAGTTTGTTCATGCCGCGCTCGCAAGCGCTCTCATGCTCCTTGGCGTCCATTCGCAAGTAGTCCCCTATGCAGCGGGGCCGGTGCGATTCGTAGAAAGAGCTGTAGCCACCCTGGAGAATGTATACCTCGGGATAGGTAAGACGTGGGTAGCTTTCAATGTTGACTTCTCGATCTCTACCACGTATAGCTTTGGCCCTGCGACGCATTAGATGAGTCAGCAACAAATATGTTAGAAGAACTTACATTAGAGGTGCGCGGTGCGCGGAGTACTCGCAGTGGAAGATCAGTAGTGTATTGGGTGGTGAGACTTGATTGAAGAGTTCCTCAGCAAGTTGCTCCTTTTCGCAGAAGTTGATTGCCCCGTCGATGTGGCCACCCTTGTATTCATATTCAAAACGGCAATCCACAATGACCGTCTTGTCGTAGATATGATTGAACTCGCCGTCAAGAACGCTGATTAATGTGGTATCGGAAATACGCGGAATGCCGTCGGGCTCGTTCGCAGGTACGAAATGAGGTAGCCTGAGGGCCGGCGTGTCATCACACACATCCATCACAGGGTTGAGTGTAGTGGAAGCATAGCTCTCCTTGTCCTGGTTCATGATATCCCCGGGGTTTTCGTACATGCTGAGAGACCTCCTGAACTTGCTGGGGCGTCGAGAAGGAGCTCCAGTAGGTTTCCGGATGTGTGCACTTAACGGCGAGCCATTTCCACGGCCAAAAGTAGGATTAAGGGTGAAGGGCTGCTTGGGCTTTGGTGGGCCCATGAGCGGACCTCCGAACATCTTTCGGTCCTGTGGTGGAGAGGCAGCGAAGCACTCGTCAAGCGTTGGTGTCGACGAATTCGATAGGCCACTCTGTCCCAGCCCGAATCTGAAAGGTGGACATGGATTGTTCTCCTTCGTCTTCAGAGATACTGTGCTGGTGGACCAGTTCTTGGTACGCGAGAGGGAAGGTCGAAGCAGAGCCGACTTCCTACGACTATGAAACATCAGTACTCGTCTCCAACAGCAGGTTCAACCAACATACTCTGCTGCAGAAACAGGCCGAGGCACCTCCAGGAGAGGGTTCGCTGGTGGAAATGTGCATGGCGACAGCATGTCCTCGCAATCGTTTCTCGACTCCGGGGTGGGCGACGGAATGCTCAGATCACTGACGAACGAGAAGGGTGCCTTGTGGGGGAGAGGCGAGATGTCCATCGAGTCGGGTGCAAAGCCGGGGGACGACGATGGGATCGGTGGGGTTGTAACGCCTTCCCACCGAAATGGTGGTGTCGTGGTGCCTTCTGCTTGAGTGCATGTCAGTCTCGCGGAAGTGAAGCGCTGTGTGAAGCTCTCTTACCCCGATTGTCCAATGGCTGGAAGAGGTTCTGAGTGAAGAGCGACCGACGCGGTGTCGCAACCTGGGGACTAGGAATCGTCAATTGAGATTTCAGAATGCGGGTTGAAGCAAGGGCGTACCTCTGGTCGACATGCAGGTTCGAAGACATGTCGGCGGCCAGACTGGTGGTCGGCGACGAACCACGCAGCGGCTGCAGCGTGAAGTAGTCTGAGCTGCCCTTCTTCATGCTCATATCCCTGAAGTTGAAGTTCTTGGATCCAAATGTGTTTGCTCCACCGAACAAGGGTCTTGACGGTGGCAGGTCTCGGCGGTAGCCCCAGGGGCCAGGAATGGGCGGTGGATGCATGGCCGCGAGCGGGGACGACAGCTCCATGATTGCGAAGCTTCGGGAACCGGTCGAACAGGTGAATTGGTGGCAGTGGTGTCGGCGTGGGCAAACGAGTGCGGCTTATCCAGCGGGTCGACGACGGGAGGGAATGCTCGGCGGCGGATAAGCATGAAAGACAAGAAAGCTAATTCCAATCCTTAAGATGCTGGGGTAAATATCCTCAAGCTGGCAAAGCTATATGAGGAGGTGTCGTAGAGAGTGCTATCGGGCTGTGGGCGACATGGGGGAGCTCAATCCGCAAGGCCTTCGAGGGGGACGGGGGTGCTGCTGCCGTGCGTAAGAACCCAGGTAGCGAACGACTGACTGCCCGAGACGACGACCGAGGGAGAGAGCGAGTGGGAGAGGGGAGAGGGGGAGAGAGAGACCGTGGACGGCCTATGAAGGGTGGAGGAGGAAGAAGAGGGCGGGTGAAGGCGTAGAAGAGGTGGTGCCGAGCCTCGTCTGCTTGTCTCTGGAGCAACGTCCCGGGATGTGGGAGTGGGTCGAAGCGCTCGCAGCTCACCACCAGCGGGCCACCAATACAGACTTGCACAGTTGCGGCTCTGCAGGCGCGCGAGGGATTGCGAAGTGCTCTATGCCGGAGAGGGTCCCGCAGCGTGGCGATCAGCCATTATAAACCGCCGGCGGCTGCCCCAGATCGCGATCAGGTTCGCATATCCCCACCCACGGCCAGTGTTTACTGCTCGATGCGCGCGCCTTAGCTGTGCTGCGCGCATTTACGTCTGACGCCGCCCGTCACGGCGACCTCTGCTTCGTCAATGCCAGCGCCAGGCGAGGCCAGGGCCCTGTGCTAGCCGCTGCGGCACAGCGGCCAGCAAACAGCCTGCGAACTGGGCAGCCCAGCAGCAAGGCCGGCCTCCACCAGCATCCACCACCCAGCATCCAGTGTGCGTTTCCACGGCGCCGTCACGTTGCTGGGCCAGAGGCACGGGCACCGACCGCGGGCATCTTGCCTGCAACGCCCGCCCACAGTCGCACATGGCTGCAATGCTCCGTTAAAGGCGCGGATGGTGCGTTGGACGGCCGCAACCCCCTCTCGCTCGCTGCCATGCCGCCCTCCGCGTCCTCACCGCACGACGCGTCGGGCCTCCGCCAGCTTCGTCCACAACAACAAACCCCCCACCTTCTCAATTCACTCCGCATCGCTATCTCGTGCTACTCCGGGCTCGCCATGCAGGACGACGCGCTTTCCGTCATTCAGAAGCGGCGCAACGCCCAGCAAGGAATCGCCGTCAAGCCAGCCCGCGTCTCGCGCCTCCCGTTGGCCCCAGCCTCGAATCCTTACGGCAGGGATAGACCTCTGCTCGACACCCCCATTGGGCCGACGGGAGATTCACCACTGCCTCACTGGTGCGTGTTTGCCGATGTTGCAGCGCCTGGCGAAGGCAAGCGTTGTTGCATGGTGTCGTAGCCGGCCCGTGAACCTCTGGTCTCCAGCTTCTGCTTGCACAGGCCTGCATAAACCGGCTAAAGCGCTGCTCTAACGGGGCCGTCGCAACCAGCCTTGCGCCGCGATCGTTCTCAAAGTGATGGATCACACTTCTCAGCGTCCCGAACAACGTCATGGACAAGGCATCGTCGGAAGACGATAGAACGTCGGGCCATCGCGCGCCTCGCCGAGGTTTGCAACCAGTTTTCAGCAGCATTCAACCTTGGAACACGACGCTGCCGTCTGCCCAAGCGAGCGAGCAAACACGGAAAAGGAAGCACTCCTGCACGCAATAACTCGGAGTCTCCGGCTGTCGCAAGCCTCAGCAAGAGGGCGGGCTGACGTTCGATCGAGAACGCGTCCGGCTGTTCGACCAGCCGCCAAAGGAGCTTCCACCACCCCAGGGCGGTTCCACGCTTTCAGACCCCACCAAACAGCTCTGCGGGCCCCTCTTCTGCAGGCTGACAGGCTCTTGTCGCGCCTTTGTCTGGCGCTTGCAGGGAGCGGTTGCTGCTGACCGCTTTTCAGCTGCGCTGTGCAGCTCTCGTGTCGGCTGCTGCTGGGGAGACGCGACTTGCCAAGCGTAAACATTGAACGAGGAGCCTGGTCCCGTGATTAATTCGGCTCCGCCTGCAGAACGAATGCCGAACTGGGCCCGTTTCAGGCTCTCGTCCCTCCACATCGACGAGAGGGGTGTCAGACGCAGTGACTTCGCTCCATCCCAGCGGTCACATCCGAGAGGGCAGCCATGGCCAGGGATCGAGGTCAGTCGGTCGGTCTCATGATATCGTGAGCAATCAAGGATCACTGCGGCTGTAACGGTTCGGCGAGAAGAGCTTCGTTTCACTGTGCTGGCCTGACTATGCATTGTAGTAGCACTTGTTTACTCGTACTATCATGCATACACGATTGGCGATTATCTGATGCGTCATTTAGCTCCTAAAAGACTGAGTTTTCGCTTCACGGTAGGTCCCGCAATTTGACTTTGCTTCTGAGTCCTGCAGGTACCCGTGAGTGATCTCCACATTGTAAGATCAATGTCTTTCTAGAAGAGCCCTTGTAGCTGCATGTTGGGACAGTGTTTCGCACGCGCGGAACATGCAATTGACTCCGCAGTAAAATTAGACTCGATTTCCCGCTTGGTCGAGGCTGGTGCGCGTGAGCATAAGTTGACTAAAATGAGTTGAATATCATCGCACAATGATAGTAATTCGATCACAAGTCCATAGTTATCCTTAATCTCCATGTTGGATTAAACAATGGAATACTTCCAGATCCGTGGCACTGCTTGACTTGTGAACCGTGGGTCGAATAGCTTCATACGTGTCTTGCTCGGGTCTAGCTCGAGATTACATCATCGAAATCTTGGCAGAAAGCTCCACTTCGAAACTTTTTGTGAAACTTCGATATTGCACGCGCCAGCAACCTCACGACTCTAGAAACCCTCAAGATGTCTCGCAAAAGACGCCAAAGCGATATAAAAGACGAAGCTACGCCGCCAGCAGATTCTGGCCCCCAGAAGCGCCGGCGTCAATACACTGAAGAGGACGCAAAATTGGCACAGCTATTTGAAAATCTCGCATCTGAGACCGAAGATGTTCGCATGAATGCTGCCAAAGAGATCGTGAAGAGATTCTCACCGAAAAGCAGTCCGACTCCGGAGACAGTAGATCGGGCAGTGATCCGGCTGATAAGAGGACTTTGCAGCAATCGCAAAGCAGCTCGACTTGGCTTTGGCATAGCTCTAACAGAAGTACTCCACCAGCTTTTTGGACCAGGAAGTTCGCCTCTAGAAGGGCTCGATTTTAGTGCCGAGAGTATAGTCGATTTGGTGACCGAACGAACGAAACCAGATGCCAGTGCCGTCGGCCAGGTTAGTCAACAGCTGTTGAACGAAGCAACACTTAGGCTAATTCAAAGCAGGAAAGAAAAGACCACCTCATCGGTCAAATCGCTGGATACAGAGCCATCCTGGAATCTACCATCCTCGTCCAACCGAGCGTCCCATTGGAATGCTGGAACAATTTACTCGATCGCATCTACGAGCTTGCACGCGACAAACCCTGGCTTCGAGAAGAATGCGGCTCGGTGTTATGCGGAACGGTCCGAAATTTGCAGTCTATAAAAGGAAACACAAAACACATCGAGGAAATCATTGGACGGCTATCTACATACAATCTAGCAAAGACACCTGAAGGGATAGCTATATGGCTGGTGACCCGTTCACTATTCTCCCAAGATGTGCTGCCAGAAGACATCTGGCGCAAGAAGGATCCTCTTTGTACCAAGGAGAGGCGTGTTCTCGCAAATGTGCTTAAAGAGAACTTTGTCAATGTATCGGATTCCAAACCCAAATCTGACAGCAAGAACGTCAAGGGTGGGTCTGCTCACTCAAGACCGAGTTTTGCCTGGCACTTTGTCCTCCAAGAAATGCTAGGGAGAGAAAGCAAGTCCGATTTCGCCAAGTTCTGGATCGATGTGGTTGACGGTAATTGCATATCTCCGTTCCGTAAATTGAACATTCAGGCTAACCGAAATAGAAAACCTATTTTCGGCATCTGCATCTCTGGAACGCAAATCCTGGGGCTTCCAGCTTCTTAATAATATGCTCTTGACTGCTCCGGAATGGGTGCTACCCTCGCTTTTCAGTCCCAATCTTATGAGATCTCTGATCAACCACCGGAGTAAGGAGGACAGGTTCCTTCACAACGCGACAATGTCGCCTTTGAAAGCAATGCAGACACGAGTTGAAGCTGAGCCAGGACTTGCGGCTCCGTTCGTAATCGCGCTGACGTCTAAGAACGGCAACATCAGATTCGATCAGCTTACGAAGACTAAGACCGTTGAAGGGCTCCTACTTCTCGCTGATGATGATGCTCTTTCGAAGATTGTGCAACACTTCAATGCGCTAATCATTAGACCAGAGGATGAATCAGATTCTGCTGCCGAATCATACAGGCGCGTAATTGCTGATATGCTCTCATCTCTCGTCAAAGGCTACAAGGGCTACGATGCACCCGCAGACATCCTAGGCTCTGCTAATAAGAAGTCATGGCTCCGAGATTTACTTGACCATTTCGTTGAATTTGGTTATTTTGTCCCAAAGGAGTCTGAGGCGGATGAGACGGCACCGTCACCTCCGATATCAACTTCCAATCGGACTACGTTCAGGGACAGGATATCGTCTTGTCTCGCCCATTTAGTGGCGCTCCGACAGGATAGCAAATCGCAGAAGCGCACACCTTCAGGTCGATTGGTATCCTTTCCATATTTGGTAGCGTCAGGAATCCGCACAAGGGCGAGGTCTTCCAAGACTTTGAATCTGGTCTTTGAGGCCGATGATGAAGTCCTGGATACTGTTAAGAAGGCCCACAAGCATCTGAAAACGATCGAGTCACAGGTACATAGATAAAACTCTACCCCTTATGATGCTTGCTCACCGTTTCACAGCAATCGTCCTCCGAGGCGGGCAAATCAGCAACTAACGATGCTTTCATCTTACTATATTCCCTGACGATCCTTCAAGTCTACAATGGAGACTCCGATGCCGTCTCAATCCTGTCTGAGCTCGACGTTTGCTATACAGCAATATCCGGGAAAACAGACTCGGATAGCGAAAGCAGCTTTGACCTGCTACTTGAGCTCTTATTGAGTTTCCTCGCGAAGCCCTCTACGCTCTTGAGGAAACTTGCCGAGCAAGTATTTACGACTTTCACGGCAAGCGTGACCCGGGATAGCCTCGGGTCTTTAATTGACATTCTGTATAAGAGCGAGAATCTCTCTGGCCAGCAAGAGCTCTTTGACCAAAATGCCGACGAGGCAGATGGAAGCGAGCTCGATGAGAACAAGGATTCTGGTGACGACTCAGACGTGGAAATGATTGACGGAGAGCTCGACTCTGATGTAGAGGTAGAGGACGGTGACGTTCCAAGCGACTCAGAATCAGACGACGAAGCCGATAGCTCGGACAAGGACGATGAAGAGGCCGCCAGATTTGAAGCCCTCTTAGCAGGAGTCCTAAAGACGGACCCCCAAAACGGCGAGGCGTCTGACGCTGAGACCTCCGACGGCGAAGACATGGACGACGAGGAGATGATGGCGCTAGAACCCCACCTGACCAAGATTTTCCAAGAGCGAAAGAAGACAACCAGCAAGAAGAAGGAAAACAAAAACGCGAGAGAGACGATGCTCAATTTCAAGAACCGTGTCCTGGATCTCCTCCTCATCTACGTCAAGAAACAGCACCAGAACCCGCTGGCTTTAGGACTTATCCTCCCTGTTCTGCGCTTGGTGCGCATGAGCACGAGTAAGCAGCTTTCTGAGAAGAGCTTTAATCTGCTTAAAGAGTATTTCGAGGCTTGTAAGAAGGGGCTGCCGAAACCGGAGGCGCAGGAGCAGCTTTGGGAGATTCTGAAAACTGTTCACGAGGAAGTGAAGATTGATGGGTCGAAGTTGCATGGGAATGCGTGTAGCAAGTCGAGTCTGTTTGTTGTGAAAGTGCTGGTTGCGATGGATAGGGAGAATAGGGGCAAGGCTACGGATGTGTATAAGGAGAGTGAGCGGGAGTGGAATCTGGATCCGAGCTCGAAGGTGCAGTCCGGGTTCTTTAGTGAGTGGCTGAATTGGTGTATTCAGACGCGGAGGCAGAAGTGAGGGGTGTGGAGATGACGGGCTTTGATGGGTAGTAGCTGATGGGTTTCATAATTTCAATACTATACCCGTCAGGACAAGCTGTCCCTAATTGATATCCCCACTAATATTTCAATCCCATCTCTGCGCTTTGGTGAATTGTCTTCACGTAGAGGATCTGGGACGTGAGAGAAGAACCGCACTATTCTCAACAAGAACCCTCAATCATCAACCAAGAACCCCCTTGTCACTTCACAAAGCGTTCCCGAATCCCGGACTTGGCTAAGCTCTTTAATCACAAGAAAAGTCACGCGTGAGCCAAGGGGAAGGGGTATAAATCTTTCTCGCCCGCTGCTTCTGACTTTTTCCTTCATGGATGGATTGGCGGCTTCTGCAGAACTTCTTCGAAGACGGCATCCATGGGTACTGGGAAGTTGGTGGATCAAAAAAACACTTCCAACACGACATGTCTTGGTGCGGTGCTGAGAGGAGGTTTGTGACAAAGAGGTTAGAGTAAATGCTCTATATTTACATGACAATGGAGAAGGCCTTCCGGCTTTGGTTTTGGGAGAAGCTGTGTCGTTTGAGAGCTCGTGAGGTCGGTGATGGAGGTCGGCTCGGGGGAGGATTGGCGATTATTAACAGCACTTCGAAGTGAGAATACGCAGGGTTGTCCTGCTAGTTATGTTGATCTGTAGATATTGGTGGCGATTGTCAGAGAGTAGTTGTGATAGTGTTGAGTATTATTAGTCGAGAAGATGTTGACAGGCCCTCCATACGCGGTTTGCCTTGCTGTTTTCAAACGCCCACCAAATCCTCCATGGAATTTATGGACTTCGACTGTTTTTCCAATCTCCACACGATCTTGAAGAACTCCACACTAAGAAAACGAAGAGCCAATCGAGCTTATATATGCTACTAGATATTTAGATGACGGAATCGTTCCGTCCATTACCCCGCGACCCCACTATATCCCAATGACTACCCCCTCGAGTAGCAACAACTATCTCATCCCAGGCTTCCAATCCTCTCAATTGCTTCCCCTTCCATACACCATCATGTCCGTTCAAAAAGTCGTCCTAATCACCGCCGGTTCCGCCGGTCTAGGCGCCGAAATCGCACGAGTCTTCGCCCCAGACTTCCGCGTCGTACGTACATACCAACCCAAAAAAGCCCCCCTTTCCTGCCATTAAGCGCCCCTCTCCATCAAGAAACCCAAGAAGAACACGAAATCTTACATCCTCCCTCCCAGATAATCAACTACGCCTCCAACGCCACCCGCGCGGAATCTCTCCTCGCGGAACTATCGCAAACACCAAACACCCACCCTTCCCCCCAACTCCCCCGTTTCCACGCCATCCGCACCGACGTCTCCTCCAAACCTGCCGTGCACGCCATGGTCGCCGAAGCCATCGCCGTCATGGGCCGCCTCGACGTCGTCGTCTCCAACGCCGGCTGGACGCGCCTAACCAACTTCTCGGATCTCGACGAGGGCGTCGTCGAGGAGGACTGGGACTTGTGCTTCACCATGAACGTGAAGACGCATCTGTGGCTGGCGTACGCGGCGCGGAAATGGCTGGATGAGAGCGAGGGGGCGCTGATTACGACGGCGAGTGTGGCGGGGGTGAAGCCGGGGGGGAGTTCGTTGGTGAGTGTTCGCTGTTCAGATGGTTTTTGGGGGATTGGACTGATTGGTGTGATGTTAGCCATATGCTGTGACGAAGGCGGCGCAAATCCATTTGGCGAAGGGGCTGGCGGTGATTTGTGCGCCGAGGATTAGGGTGAATACGGTGTCGCCGGGGTTGTTGTTGACGGTATGGTTCCTAGGTCGATTTTATGGACGGGGAGCTGACGTTGGGGGGCAGGAATGGGGTATGAAGTTCCCAGATGCGAAGCGGGAGGCGGCGAAGGAGAGTACGAAGCTTAAACGGTTGGCGACTGTGGAGGTGAGTTTGTTGTAGCTCACTGATGTTCTACACTCGTGGCCATTCATCAGTCGAGCATGTAGGTAAGGGGCAGAGTTAAGAAACTAACAACAATACAGGACGTTGCCGCTCAAGTGAGAACCCTCGCGCTCAGCCAGTCCGCAACTGGTCAGAACCTCTGCATAGACGGCGGCTCCTCGATGTAACCATAGCACAGCTTCACTCGCATTAAAACCTCTCTCTCCCTCCTCACACTCCCCTCTCCAAAGCATCCCCCACCCCAACTCAACCGCGAACACACGCAGAATAAACCACATTATCAAAAACCGGAATCTTCACCAAATCCGTAACATCCTGCACCAACTCCACACCCACGCTCACCACGTCCGAAAACGGCGTCAGATCCGCCGTCGCATACGCCTGCTCCTCCACCGTCACAGCCGGACTATACACAAACTCTCTCACCAGCGTCTTCCCACTCTTACTCATCCCACTGAACCTAATCGTGCACGCAACCGGCACTCCAACCGCAGGCACCTCGTCATTAACCGCACAGGCATACCGCACACTCTTCAGCGAGAATCGATCGGTCTTGGGGCCCGGGAGCAGCAACGCGGGACCGAGCGTAGCGTCGGAAATGGGGCCGAAGGAGATTATGTTGAAGTCGGAGGGCGTCTCGAGGAGGCTGATGTCCGGCCGCCGGAAGTAGACGATGCCGCTGTAGTTTAGGGCGCCGTAGAGGTTTAGAGGGGTGAGGGCGGGCACGGCACCGACGGTGAGGTCGTCGAACTGGAGGGAGGTTTGTCAGGGAGCGTGAGCTAGGTGAGAGGAGGGCGACTGACCTTGTCGGTGTAATTGTATGTTTTGCAGGCTGGGGCGGCGGTTGGGACGGCGAGGGCTGTTGCGGTGAGCGCGACGAGGACGGCCAAGAGCTGCATCGTGGCGGCGGAGGGATTGTTGGTCTAGGGGTCGAAATGGTTCGCGGGAGAAGACGATGTGAGTTTATTCCTGCGGAAACTAGACATTTATATACTCGCCCAGGTGGAACACAGGCGCGGAGTCCCGATCAGCCCACCACGACGACTCCGGTTGTGGCGGATACTGGTTTACGGCAATGGAGCGTCGTGGTTGCGATCAGGATGCCTTTGCCTTGTTGTCCTCCCGGTGTTTTCAGTATTTGATTTAAATCGCCTAACTTGAATGGAGCTCGGGACGTGTGCGCCACAGCCACGATAGCCACCAATATGACACGAAGGACGCCTGGTGCTCGCAATGTTAGGCCCAAATACCTCCGTCAGTGGCTTCGGAATGGTCGAGGTGGTAACTTCGAGGCTGCAGGTCATGTTGCAGTAGTGATCTTTAGATGACTAGTTGTCTTGTGTTAAATGCCAACTGTGGAAAGAGATGCATTGGGAGAGGTGCTAATGTTTCTTTAACCTGCGTTCCGGCTGGGCTTGAATATCTAGCGTGCATGCACAAGATTGCTGACGTTGCATAGTAACATCCAAAAGTGCAAATGATGTGGAGAAGATGAAGTAGGTCGGCTTGGTGCAGTCGGATTGATGAGAAGCTGATGTTAGATAATGTTACGGGAGTAACGTGCGGCGGAAGACGAGATAGTGGCTCAGGGAAGAGAATGTTTGAAATGATGGATAGAATTAAGAGTGATCATTGAGGCATGTAACCTTCGTCTTGGCTGCTGGGCAAAACGCTCAATGGTTATGGAGACTCGTAATCGATCACATGCATGCCGTCAAATGGTAGAATCAGGAACTGAGCCCACCCATAACATAAACTCAATGCACCTTGCCCGCCCAATTCCGTAGACCGTCCCTAAGAAACCCCTAGAAAACATAATCAAGCAGGTCCGGAGATTGTACTCTACCTATTGGTCCTCCGATCCTTCTTCAGAGGCGAGAACTGGAACCCATCCTCCGTCATCATCTTGAAACCCCCACTGATCGGTCCTTTGACACCCTTGCCAGCCAGTAGGGTCTTTCCAAGCGCTCGCGCTGCAAAAAGCCCCTTGCCTGGGATCGGCTTCGCGGGGAGATCGTCTTCCTCAGCATCAAACAGTGTCTTGCCGAGGCCACTGCTACCCAGCTTGCGCTTTTTCTTCTTCTCAGGGGCTGGCTCCTCATTGAAAGCAGCAAAGGACATGAGGGACTTTCGAGGCTTGCTCTTGGGGCGAGATGCAGGCTTAAGTACGGGAACCGCAGGGACCGTGATCTTCTCCGTGTTCTCTGTGATAGTAGTAATTGGCGCAGAAACAGGCTTTTCCGCGTTCTCCTCCGCAACTTCGGTGACTTCTTCGGTGACCTTCTCCAGAGTAGAGATGGGTGCCTTCTTTCGTGCAGGCGGGTTTGCGTTGGCTTTGCTTGAAGCTGCTGGTGCAAGCGGTTTTGCTATTGGCTTAACCCTGGGCTGGGCGGCTTTCTTGGTCGCTTTCTTGGGAGGTGCAGAGGGAGTCGCTTCGGGAGCCTCTTCGTCTGCATCCTCTTCTACTATAGGATCATCTTGTGGAGGGCTATCGGGTGCTATGCTTGTCGTGCGGTTCAGGAAGGGCGTGATTGAAAAGGTCGACTTGTCACCCACAGCCGCAGTAGCAGCTCGTTTTGTCCTCTTCATGGGAACACCATCGCCAGGTGTGCCGATAGTTGCATCTGGGTCGGCAGAGGCTGCCATTCGCTTGCGGGGGTTCTTTGCAGGCTTTTCGACGATCGGGTGGGTAGCAGCTTCAGCCTTGAGCCTCTGAAGTTCGGCCTCTGTTTCCTTGAGCTTCTCCTTGGTTGACTTTAGCTTGTTTCGGAAAGCGTTCAGTTTCTCATCGAGGACAGCCTGGTGGCCCTCTGCTTGGGCCTGAGCCTTGTGGAACTCCTTCTCCTGTTTCTGGCGGTCTAATTTCTCCTGAGCCAATTCTTTCCGTAGTTCGTCAACCTGGGGATCGTCTTCCCTGTTGTTAGTGGCCCTTTCGACCTTTTGTAACGCGAGCTCAGTAGCACGCTTCTGGGACTGGAAATCGGACTTGCATTTCTCTAGGGCGAGTTCAGATTTCTCCAAGGCTTTCTCGGCACGTTCGCATTCGCGTTTTTGTTTAGCCAGATCCTTCTGAAGTGTTTCTAACTCGGCAGCTAGGGCCTTGTCCGCCTTTGCGCTTGACTCCTTCTGCTGTCGCAATTCCTGAGATTCGAGATCTGACTGGGCTTTCTCTAGGGCGGCCTCGGACTTTTGCAGGGCTTTCTCGGCCCGCTCGCGATCGCGCTTCTGCTTGCCTAGGTCCTTCCGGAGGGACTCTAATTCTGCGATCAACTCCTCATCTTGCTCATTGCTCTTCCCCTGTCTAGCCAGTGCCCGTGCGGATGTGCGCTTTTCATTTTCGAGTTCGACTTGTAAGGTGGTCAATTCGCGTTGTAGCGAGAGCTTTTCGGCAAGCAATCCCTGGTTCGTCTCCACCTGGGTTCGCAGGTATTCCACTTCCGGTTTCAGCGTAGCAACCTCGCGAGACAGGGCCAGTTTCTCCGTTAGGACTTTCGTAGAGTCGGTGCTAACGCCCTCCATCGCCTTTAATTCAGCCTATGTCCAGTGTTAGTGCTGCAGCCTCCCCGCGATTATGAGTGACCCGTACCTTAACGCTGTTGAACTCCCGGGACTTGGCGCGTATGTCGTTCTCAAGGTCTTCTTTCTCAGACTGGAGCTGCTCCAACTGAGATAGTGCTTCATCCAGAGCTGTTTCCAATACATCCGAACGCGCTTCCTCGTCGGTCAATTTGTTGTTTAGATCGTCGTTTTCATCGTCGAGCAGCTGGATCTGGAATCGGAGCTTCCGGATATTCTCATCTTTGGCGACGACTTCGACGGAGTGCTTGCTGCGCGCTAGATTCAATTCAAGACTCGCGGTTCGGAGCGAATGTTGTAGCTGTAGACGCGCGGGTTGTCAGTGAGCGGGTATCGCGTGAATCTGAAAGAGAAATACTTACGTCTATTACTTCAGGAATGCTGTCTGGCTCCATCTTGGGTGCCATAAATTATGTTAGTAGACCAGAATATGCGGTGGTGGTGCGAGGCGGTAGGGTGGTGGAGTGGATAACGAGGGTGTGGTTCGGGAGTGCATTTATCAACAAACAATCGCTTGGGGGCGGGTCCGGTGGTCACGTGTCAGTCACATGGAAGACCATTCAATTTCCAATGTGATCAGAATCATATTTTTTCATCAATACTCTATATGTCTAGAAAAATCTTCGATGCTCATGTCTTAGCAGGGATTAGTTACGACACTTCGCAAAATACTCTTTCCCTGAGAATGATCCCCACTAAGGTCCATTTCTACTTTCGAGCCTGAGCACACAAAGTTAGAGCTCTACTACTGTTCACCCCGCTCCTGTCGCCCTCACCCACTGCGTCGCTACGGAACCTTGGCCTCATATGCTGTTTTTTGGATTGTCACCCGTTCCGGCCGCCAGGTCCCCCCTTTCGGCACTAAGCTTAAGTAAACTTGTCCTCTATCATAAGAAGGGCTGATGTTTCGATCTGAGATGGCGGAGCCATCGAACCTTGGTCTTATTGCCTGTCGATGAATACTAAATACACGAAATTAGATCTTCTGGACTCACTTCGCTGGTTTTTGTTCCTACCGCGCAACGCATCTTATCATTTGATCACTTCAGGTCGATACGCTACTGCGGCCCAGGTGCCGAGAGGTCGTCCTAATTTTGAAGGATGTCCTGAAAAAACTGAAGCATGTTCACGAGGAAATCAGGTATGCACCCGCAGACTACAGCTGGGAAGCGGAGGTAATTGAGTCTCTCAACCATGTCACGAGGAACACATCAGTGAAAATAGTCTTCAGTATTGCTGAGCATCATGGTTGCTTATCGCTTCTCCATCTTCGTGCAATGGGGCACTCCACGTCCGGCCATCCTGATGAGACGTAATATACCCACTAAGAGCATCTGATATCTCTCGGGGTGGCTACGCGCTGTACAGTGGGCCGCAGCCAGGGGCATTTTCAGATAGCGCAGAAAGAGTAGCGTCCAACTGCTGGATATCAATACGACTAGCTACGGATGATAATGGTCGAAAGACAGAGATCGTCTAAATCGTACGGCGGGCGACGGCGATGCCGTTACCTGGACTCCCGAATCTCGCGACAATGAGAAGAGGCGCGTGCCGTGCGAGCGTGCTTTTCCATTCGAAGAGTTCATTCCTGTAAGTCGGCGGCGTGATTCTTACTACCAACCCTTGAACCTTGCGACTACATACCGATGGGTTCTTCGGGACTAGACAGGACCGAAAGGACGCAGAGGATGGTTCTGGAAGAAGGCAACGCGCATCCATTGACACCCAGCTACGGCAAGCGGCTCATCCCGCCAGGAGGGGCCGCTGCAGGTGAGCGGGGCGGGCTACCAAGGCCTTAGATCTTCAGCACGCCCAGCAGTCTTGGGAATTTTGCGTTTCGAGCTAGGCACCGCTTTCAATTCTAATTTGGCGGCGTAGGTTTCAGTTGGACATGTTCGGAGGTCCCCGGTGGATTAAGAAAGTGAGGCAGCCTGTCACAGGCGTGTAGAATGTGCATGGATCTCTTTGAAGGAGCCGCGATCTTGGGTTAATAGCCTGTGGTTCAAGCCTCCAGACGTGAGAGTTTTGACGATTGATGGATCTATGGCGAGTCCATCAGAACGGGTGGTTGTTATTGCAAAGAGTTCTCGTGCAAAGGGGGGATAGCCCTCTTTCTTCGATGTATGTAGGTGGTACAGTCTTTAGGGAGCAGCCTGCCAGCCTGCTCTCTCCCCCAGATCTCGATAAAATGTCCATGACGTTGTTGGGGAACCACTACCTAATTCCTTCCGTACATCTCCAGCGCAGCTTCAGACCTCCAATCCGTATCGAAATGCAGCGTCGCGACGACAACTATGCTCTTGTCGATGCGACTAGTCATTTGGGGTCGACAGATTTTGCAGCCCTCCGTGCGCCGTTATCATCTCAACGGAAAAATACGGCGAGGCGTCCCTGTCATATGTCGACAGGACGTTTAAATCGCTTCATCCCTTCGAAACGTCGACTCTGCTCTCCGCCTTCCGTTCCCGGGCCAGTCCTGTCTTTCCACATTTTTGATCATTCTTATTTCCGTCTCTCATTATTTTTCTATCTCACTATAGTCTATCCTTTCATCTTCGTCATTGAGATCGCCTTCCCCGTAGCTAAACCTCCCGCGGCCACTACGCATAATTCGGGGCCACGCGATCACGACCAGTGAAGCCTTCTCCCAAGCCAGTACACAGACATACCGTCGTAATCGCTGGCTAGTTGTTGTTTCCCAGGACACGGACCCACTCACCTTGCGGAACCCAGAGCTGCCACAAACTTCTGCCCAAAGGCTTTTTATCGTCCTCGTCTTGGCGGCCCATGTACTCCATCGGCGACATAGATCTTAATGGCTAGTCCGAGTGAGCTTTCAATCGAGGAACATTATGTCATCCAGGAATTGCTCAACAGACGCACTGCTCGCGAATGGAGTGAAATTTTCTCCCGCATCGATTCATCTCGTTCGTCAATCCACGACCAATCGAATGTATACGTGATAACTAACAAGAAGGCAACAGATACCATCTACACTCAGCTCTCCAGGCCGGAGTCTTTAATTTCGGTCCCATCGCTGAGATCCGATTCATCTCTGTCAGGGCGGTACCCTGCATCTAGTGCCTCGAGTGTCCCATCGTTTCGCCAGAGCTGCGACACAAGTGGTAGTGCTACATCGTACGCTTCACAAAGCCTACACAAATTACATCCTCAACATCCCTTTCCCCTCAATCCAGGCTCTGATCGGTTTGGCCCTAAGATCATCCTAAACGGTTCTCTTCCCTACAACGGAACCTCAGCGCTTCCAGCAACTGCCGCTCTAAGCCAAAGACCACTTGGATACGAAGATATCTTATGCTCCAGGGAATTCAAGAAGCCAAGTGAACCGACTACGATGCTCTTATTCTGCACATTTTGTGCTGAGCAAGGACTTCGAAAAACTTTCAAAAAGAAGGCGGACTGGAAAAAACATGAAAGTGTCTTTCATGAGACAGGGAAGGAGTGGCAATGTGAGGCTCCTCGATGCTTCCGAATTTTCGGCCGTGAGATAGATTTCAGCAAGCATCAAAAAGAACACCCGGAGGCTTCATCTCCCTGCAAGCAACTTCCAGAGAAGGTGGCATTTGGCTGTGGATTCAACAGCTGTGGATATGTGGCGTACCACTGGAACGACCGTTGCAATCACGTTGCCACATGCCAGTCTTTTTTGGAAGGCGAAGAGTGGGAATACTCAACAAAGATTCGAAACCTTTTGGCACAAAAGTCAATTCGTGATGAGTGGAAGACAATTCGCAATGAGACCTGTTCTAGGTTACATATAGATCACAAAAGCTTGCGATGGACTCCAGAGACCTCCACAGCACTTAGAAGGCAGCTCGAGTGCAACCAGTTTGGCTCTCTGAATCGCTTCTTGTTGGAGGCCGTCGAGCTTGGACAAGGCGCATTGCTGTTGACAGACACTTTTGTTCCACCTAAAGCTCAATCTACTACAGAACGACAAACACCAGATGCCCTAGGCTCTCATGCGCAGTTCGCCACCATTGGTCACCATAATCAAGGTAGCTTTGAACCAGATCCATTCCTTCTACAAGAGGTGGACATTACGCAGCACACCAACCTTGACACGCCCTTAACTTCATATTACACGGACAATATACGCGGTAATGGAGCACCGACGCATTCCCCTCCTCCCAACACCGAACCTTCTTGCAATCGGATGAGCTACGTAATGGACGAAAATGCCTCCCTCCTTTTTGGGCAACCGCCGACCACATTGGAAACATCAACTTCCCAGAGTCCGGCCACCGAACTCCAGGATCGCCAACGTTTGACGATATGTCCGTCATTACCCCAGGGCCGCCTTCTTATATGCCCGCCGAACAATATCCCTCGTGGGTCAAGTCTTTAGAGCATCAGCAATCAACCGAGCAGTCAACCCAGCGGTCAACTCCCACCCGACGACTCGCCAAGCGAGTCAAGAGCATAGGGAACTTGTCGTTCAGGAAGCCGCAACAGTTTTACGAGGCTACCAACCACGACATTCCGGATCTCCCCCTAAGAGCTCATTTCCCAAACGCTAATTCGACGAGCCCACGCTGGACGGATGGTAATCGCCCTGATCTTAGCGGCAACCTTAATTTCCAGTGTTGATGATAACAAATTCGAGTGTACTTCATTCATTGCATGCCAACCTGGTCTCATATTTTTTCGATCCATTTTGCGCTTTCTCCGCCCGTTGGACTTTCTTATGCGATCATTGCTTTTTATGATTCCATGAAGTGGTGCCATGCGTTCAACTTTGTCGATGACAACTCAACTTGATACCTTCCTTTCTCGGGCTCTTCAGCTTTTATTCTTTTAATCATCTTTCCTCTTCTTCGACTCGCTCTAGACTCTGGACTCTGGTAGGACCATCTGAGGTGATCTGGCCTGCAATTTTTCATAGCAAGGAGTTTATTATCGGTCAATCAAAAGTATAGGACATGGGATAGGGTAGCTTGGAGATAGGGCACATGTACGTTTGGAGCAAGAGGCCCTCGGCATTTATGAATTGGGAATGTGAAATGAGCATTCACGCTTTCACGCATTTAGCACGAACAACAGGCTCTCACTCGTTCGAGTCATGGAGTTTTTTGATGAGTGCAGGATGACTTGGTGTCTTGACTATAACACTTTAATAATACACTGCATGGAATTAAAGGGCCTATCTACAAAATACAAACCACGTCATTCCATACACCAGCTCGTTCTGGGATGTTTTGTTGCGCAACTCCTTCCAATTTTCTTGTGGAATACACTGCGCGTGGAAACAATATTTACTGGACAGAGACTTTACTATTCTGCTTGCTAAATAATACGCTTCCCATGTTAGAGTGGAGAGAGAGGGCAGAGAATGAATAGAAATAGATCGGGATCGTATAGTCAAGGGTGGAACGGGAAAGAGCGAACGAAGGGAAGCGGACTTTATTCCCGCGACGAAAGCTGCAGCCGACGCGAGGCATTGTTCTCGATTCACAATCCTGGGCCGCCTTATGGATAATCAGTATCTGTCCTTGATAGTGTTGTCCCAGCTTTGGGCCGCATGCTGGAGACATTTTTAAGTCGGGTCCAGAGATCATGTGCCCGCCATTCAGAAGTTCATTTCCTTCAATCGTATAGTATGACTGAAATAAATCAAACTTGATCATATTTGCCCTTTTGTTCCTTTACAGTGATTATAGTCCTTGATTTTCTTAACCAATGGAAACACCCTCAGATATACAGGTCTTGGCAGTGATTACGTACGCCAATTCGCGAGCGAAAGGACAGCAACACCGTATGTCGAACATGGAGCAATAGCCAAGCAACCAACATCGAATTCTTTTTCTTCTCCCACAATGAGGTGGCTCCAGTTACTTACGGCTTCTCTACTGCCTTTCACTGCGATTGCAGCGAAGAAAGCCCCCAAAGACCGCTACCAGGACTTCCGGACCAAATCGCTCTCCTCTACACCTCTGAAGCTCGACGATGCCTCCTACAGCAAATTGACGCAAGCACCGAGAGACTATGCAGTCGTAGTGCTTCTCACAGCTTTGGAGACTCGGTTCGGCTGCGTGCTATGCCGTGAGTTCCAACCGGAATGGGAGCTTCTCGCGAAGAGCTGGACGAATGGCGACAAGACGGGGGAAAGCAGAGTGTTCTTTGGAACACTAGATTTTGCGGAGGGCAGGAACACGTTCCAATCCGTATGAACCTTCTTCATTTGAGAGGTCGCTCTTGCTGATGTGATGCGATAGCTTCAACTCCAAACTGCTCCGGTCATCCTCATGTTCAATCCCACCACTGGAGCGAACGCGAAGGCGGACGCTCAGCCTTCTCGATTTGACTTCACAGCTGGGTATGAAATCACAAATTCGATTGCTCAAAATTTCTGGTGTACTAATAAGCTGCGCAGACCCCAAACTGCCGAGTCAATCCACGCCTGGGTTTCACGACATCTGCCTGAGGGCCCCAAACCAGCCGTCAGCCGGCCCATCAACTACTTTAAGATAATCTCTGTGACCACTGCTATTCTCGGATTGATCACGCTCGTCACCGTCACGGCTCCCTACATGATTCCTCTTCTGCAGAACCGCAACCTGTGGGCAGCCCTCAGCTTGATCGCAGTTCTTCTTTTCACCAGCGGACACATGTTCAATCACATTAGGAAGGTCCCATACGTGTCAGGAGATGGCAAGGGGGGCATCAGCTACTTCGCTGGCGGGTTCAGCAACCAATTCGGCATGGAGACCCAGATCATTGCCGCAATTTGTACGTTTCTCATAATTCCGAACGCATGGACGTTGGCTGACTGTGAACTACTCTAGATGGCGTGCTGTCTTTCGCTACGATTTCCCTCGCATTGAAGGTTCCCCGGATATCAGACGCCAAGGCACAATCCTTTGCTGTCTTCTTATGGAGCGGTGTGATCTTTGGAATGTACAGCTTCCTAATGAGTGTCTTCAGGATGAAAAACGGTGGCTACCCATTCTTCCTGCCACCGTTCTAGTGGCTTTCGTGGCATGAGTCATGTACTACGATTGCTTTAGCGCACTCGCGCACTCTTGTCAGAGCCCGTATCCCTTCATTGTATACTCAGCTGGCTCCTTTCGTCTAGGAATCATCGTGGTTGGGACGCCAGAAGGCCGGCTTCAATGGGGACAGGTGCGTTAGAATTCGGTGACGGTTGTAGAATAGCTATCGGCGTTACACGGTGGTCTGGGTAGCATCAGAAAAGTGTCTTTGGACGTGGAACGTCTCATGCGGTAGCATATATTCCATCAAAGTCCTGGATCATTGAAAAACTGGTACCTGGAACCCCTAAAAGATATCATGATACCACACGAGAACTTCGAACCCTGCACCTCGATTCAACTTTTAGTCCTACTTCCTTTGGTACCTCCGCTCCATGACTCCTTCTATCTTCCTTGTCTTAGTCCGCCTCTAGATTAGGAACATCACTTAACGTCCGTTCCTAGTATGCTTTACACTTAGCTCTCGCCTCACCAAAACACTAAACACGCATGACAGTAGCATACCAAGCATGACACGGTGCTGAAGAACGTAAAGCTACTACTGTATTGCCGGAATTGTACACCCTATTCATAGCAAAGATCCCTGTCCCCAAACTCCATCCGCTTCCAGATCCTCTTCGACGCCAGGCCACTAACCATTAGCATCACGTGCACGCTTAGTCACTAGCGCTCTCGCTCAGCAGGTGTTGATATGATAGGTATATAAATGCGTTTCCCCTTCCTCGGTGCTCGATACTTTTCCACATGTGCAGAGCTGCCAAGATCTGCCTTTTGGAGATGAGCCCACGTGACGCTAGAATACCCAGTGCAGCGCCGAAAAGAAATGCGGAACCGCCTATGGGTTAGAACCCACTCAGCATAGTTGCTTCTACCGTTACATTCACGCAGCGTCACTTGCTCTGGACTCAACGAATGTTCAGCCTACGCTTTCTTACTATTAGGAAATCCACGCAACGTAGTTAGTTGAACAGTTATAGTTACGCGGGGTGGCTTCCTCTACCCTCTACGATTCTTCACTCTATTATTCATCCGTATTGGGAAATCCACGTAATGCGGTCGTTTCTGGGCTTGTATACACGCGGCGTTACTTCCTCTAGACTCTACAGTTTTCCACCTCACATATTCCCGTTTTAGGATAGCCACCTGCAAGACCGTTTTCCAGGCATTCAAACATGCTGGGTACTTCCTCTACACTCCGCACTCCGTCGATATCTGTTGAGATTTAGAAGCAAACACAGCGAATAGGGCACACACAGTGGAAACGTGGGCTTGTCAATTCATTTCAACATGAGAACCTCATCTCATCCCAGCGCCAACCGACCGACCTATCCGCACCCAGAATGCCCCCCATCCCCCTTCGTGATCATTACGGCCATGCGTGAGCCGCCCAATAACGCCCGCTACCCCGGCATGATACTCCTGAGAAAGAAGCATACTTAAGCAACCGCATGCACAACCTTAAAGCCCTCCCCAACCAGCTTCTGAATCTCCTCATCCTTATGCTGCAGCAGCCCCAACGCGTATGCAACATCATTCCACTGCCTCTCGCTCTCCGCTCTGGGCAGTCTCGCCGCCAACTTCGCAGCGAGCTGTTTAGCGTGTTTATCCTAGGAGTGCATGTTAGCAGGAGTTTCTCCATGAATACCCGGGATGGGAGCGCTGCACATACCTTTTCGATAAACCCACTCAAGAACTTCACAATCCGCCTAAATGCTTCCTCATCCAATGCCCCATCCGCACTCAACACACTAAACATATCCACAAACTGGTTGTACACCGCATTATCCTTCGTCGCCAGCTCAGAGAAGAACATGCGCGCCATGTCCGCAATCTTCTTGTCCTCGTCCTCGAGACACTTCGCCATCTCCCCTAGTTGCCCCTTGACCTTGACCTGTCCGGCGAGGATCAAGAACGTGAGCGTCATGAGACACGTGCGCTTCACGCTCGCGTCGCCGTCATTCAGTCGACGGTACAGGAAGTCGGTGTTCTCATCGATGAGGTGGTTGAAGCAGACGGCCATGTCGCCGAGGGCAACGACGAGATTGCTACGAACGACGGCGTCTTTGCTGCGTTCGAGGATGGTGAGGAGGAGGCCGAGGTTGTTTTCGCAGTACTCGGAGCTCACGCACATGAGTTTGGCGAGGCAGAGGGCGGCTTGGGCTTGGAGTGTTGCGTCGGCGTAGGTTGTGTTGTTAGAGCAAATGTCTGATACCATGGGGCCGAAGTTGGAGAGTAGGGACTGGGAGCCGTAGAGAAGCTCCCGTTCGCGGATGTGGGCTAGAGCTTCGGTGAAGTCATCTTCTGTTGTACCAGCCATGAGATCGAGCTCATCGGGTTCTTCAGGTGCAGGTGTGTCCTGTTTGCCAGCGGATTTCTTCTTCTTCTTTGTGGGGGACGCGTTCAGGGGAGGGGTTGCCTGGCGTGCTCCTGCGGTCTTCTCTTTCTCTGCTTTCCTTCTCTTGAAGTCCTGTTCGCAAAGCTCGAGATGGACAATCTGTTTGATGGCAACATGTCCAACAATGAAAAGTAGCTGCGAGAGAGCCATGGCGGGTTTCTGCTTCCTCGGTGGTGGTTCGATCTCCTGTGGCGCTTCCTCTTCCTCTGCTGGTGGTGACGGCATTTGGCTTGGTTCGTCGCCTTCTCCACTCGATGTAGGTCTCGAAAGAGCTCCACGCGATGTAGGTCTTGAAAAACTCTGAGGTTGGAACACCAATTTTGTCTTGCGCCTTAGGATCTCTGAGCATAGCGTGTCTGGGTGTTTGGAGAGAGCGTAAATTGCGCTGATAGCTTGCTCGGCAACTCCAAACCACTCGGGATCGTCCGATACAACCTCAGTCATAGCCGCTAGTCGTACTAGCACGGCGTGGTCGTTTGGCAGCTTGGCCGTCACTGGCGCCTTATTTGCCGTCTGCTTGCTCGTTGGTGCATTGATTCGGCGGAGTGCAATGCAGGTGTAGCGTGCAAGTCCGAGATCTCGTCGTCCCAATTCACCGAGACCAATGCGTAAGCAGATTCCCATCTCCTTGACCACAATATCCGGATCGGCAAGGGCAAGCATACCCAGAACGATGATAGCTCCTCGTCTTTGTCTCATTGAGATTTCCCGTTTCTGAATGCCGTAGACCTGCCAGAGTTTCTGTATTACCAATTCGTTGATCATTTTATCCTTCATCATAGTACTGAGGAGCTGTTCCAGGGATGTGAGCTCCGCGGGTGTATTGCCGAAGGTCAAACTGATCATGTTCTTGGCAATGTAGTTGGCGGAATTGTTCGTGTCGAAACCTGGGGGTGCAATGAAGTAAAGGTCTTTGTAGCACTCGATCAGATGAGTCTGAACGCCTTTGCCTTCGTCGCTGTTGCCTTTGGTCCAGATTAAGCGCAGCATTCTCTTGATGCCTGCCCCAGCGCTCTGGATGCCGTACTCATTGAGTATCTTAAAGTAGTCCATAGCCTCGATGACCTCACTCTTGTTCTTCGACGAGAGTAGCTGTGTGACAACCGGGGATGCTGCATCAACCACCTCGATGAACTTAAGTGCTTCAGTGTAGTATCGCCGAGTGAGATGCAACTTGTTGAGAGCTTCTGCCGTTTCAGCCTCTTTCTCGGCTTTTTTCATAGCCGATAACTTCTGTTCCTCTGTCATAGGAGCAGGCTCTTGTGCTGCCACGTTCTCAGCCTGCGTGGCGTCTGCCAAAAGAGTTTCGTCTACTGTGGGTTCCTCGTTCGCTGCTGTATTCTCTTGGAGCTCCTTTGGGGGTGTTAAAGCATCAATTTCCCCTTCAACAACGTCCAGTCGAGACTTCCATTCCTTGAATCCGAGTTGCCCACCATGCAAAACACCAAATGGGTGGGTGGAAATTAGCTTCCCGAGCAGCTTGATGGCGTTGCGTCTGACATTGCTACTTTTGTCCTCCAGACTCCTAGCAGCTAGCTCAGCTGCCATCTGTCTCCGCTTGGAGTACTTGGTATCCAGATCGCATAATTTGATGAAGACTTGAATGGCTCGGCATCGACAGTACGGGTTGACATCGAGGAAACGCTCCTCTAGCACGTCGAAGAAGGCGTTGATCTGGCCTTTGTGGTTCTCGCTCCTTTCTTCACCTTCTTGTTTGCTGAGCATAGTAATCAGATTGCCACACACCTCAATAATGGAGCACCGAAGAGTGTATGACTATCGAAGTTTGTCAGTCTGATACCTGCTTAACGACGCTCTGATTCACCTACCTCGCTGTCTAATAACTTTGCAAGTAATGTCATTTGTCTGATTACAAGCCCAGGGACAAGCTCGGAAATCCGGGTAACGAAAGTTGATACTGATTTGGGCCCCTTGAGATCATTGCTGTTGAACTCCTTGTTGCTCAAATCCCTTAGGACTTCTTCGGTCAGCTGAGGGTAGTCGTATTGCTCTGCTAGAATCTGAAGAAATTCCGCCATCGGTTCCGACAGGTGCTCGAAGTAGGAGAGGTTTTGTATGATGGACGTTTGTGCTCCTGTATGCTAGTCAGCGTTTGCCAGGAAGATATCGGAAGGAATAATACCGAAAGCATGTCCATGATGTTTCACTGCAATACACAGTACTTTGAAGGCGTGCATCCGAATGGCCGTGTTTTTGACACGAGCCTCGCTCTCCAGAACTAGGTAAACCGGGCGTGTGAACAAGCTGATAAATGTGTCCCGCTCCGACGTAGTCATGAATATCTTGGCCAGTTTCAACTTCATCACCTTACTCATGACATCGAGTGCAGTTTGCAACTGAGCTGACGAGTCCCAGGCTGCATCTTTGTTCGCCCCAGCTTTTGACTTTGCGCCCTTGCCGCCGCGCCCTCTCGCTGCGGGCGCAGAAGCAGACTTCTCTGCGGCTCTTGTCTCTACTGCAGTAACCGACCATTGTAGTAGGAATCCGAACACCTCCAGAAGTTGTTTATGGTGCTGAATCGTCTCCTGCTCGTCCGCTTCAAGATCGGCGTGGGTTACGTCGGCTTGGGCGGAGAGACCAGAGACGACAAGATCGAGGATTTTGGTAAGAGCGGCTGGGGGTATTTGAGAAGAAGTTCTAGATAGGCGGAACAGCGCACAGTCAGGATCTACTAGGTAACGCTTAACGTTTGGTAATGAAATGGGAGCGCACTTGAGGAGGAATTGCAGGGTATCAAAGTTGGAGCTGCGCGTAATCGCGTCAGGATTTTCAGCGACAGCATCGACAACGGGATTCAGTGCGGAATTGACAAGGGCAGCAGTAAGGGATTCGGGGTCGTGTTCGCAGTCCACCAGGTCCGATGCGGCCTCGGGGGTGGATATTGCAGCAGGATCCGAGAGGTAGTGCTTGAGCGCGTCGTTAATGTCAAAGTCGATGCGCGCGTCCATGGTGGCGGAAGAGCATGAAAGGAGCGGTAGAAGTGAAGAAAAGGCACAGTGTTGATGAAGAATATCGCGGCGGAGAGGGGGACAGTTTGGTGTTTGTCACCGTGTTGTGATTTGCCCCGAAGCGGTCAAGCGCCGTTTCGCGAAACCGCAGACCGCGAACGCGACTTCCGCAATTGCAGCCCGCAACAACCATTTATAGGACAGTATGGCCAAGGCAAGAACATTTAGGACTCAGTCTGAACAGCTCAGCCATCCCTCAAACCACATTCTGCTCAAGGGACAGCAAGACCACGACGAAGACCCCCATCACGACGACGGCGACGCGGCTTCAGACGAAAGCCGGGGTCCGCTGGAAGAGAGTGGCCGCACCATGTCCGATAGCAGTGATGAGGAGGTGGAGGAGTCTGTTGCTGAGGACATCCAGCGCTTTGAGGACAGCTTCAGGGGCATTACCTCCAAATACCGCCTCATCAACCGCATCGGAGAAGGTGATACCCCTCCATTGGCCCGCGTTATGCAGGCACCGCGCGGAGGCAACTCGTGCTAACGAACATTCACAGGCACCTTTTCGACGGTTTACAAGGCCGGTATGTATTGACGCATTGATCTCCGTTGCAGTTCTAACAGCTCTCAGAGGATCTCCAATACTCCAAATACAGCAATGACTGGGACGTCGAAAGCGGTCCCCGGAAGAAGGCTCGTTTTGTGGCTATCAAAAAGATCTATGTCACGAGCAGTCCCATTCGGATATTCAATGAACTGGAACTGCTTCACGACCTCAAGGATTCTGATTCAGTGTGCCCGTTGATCACCGCATTTCGCGACCAGGACCAAGTCATTGCCATTCTTCCGTACTTCCAGCACCGCGATTTTCGAGAGTACTTCCGCGACATGTCCTTTTCCGACATGAGACGCTACTTCCAGAGTTTATTCACTGCCCTCAGTGCCGTCCACGCTCACGGAATCCTTCACCGCGACATCAAGCCCACAAATTTCCTCTACAACCCTGTAGAGGCCCGCGGAGTTCTTGTCGATTTCGGGTTGGCCGAGCGAGAAGGGACCGACCATCACCACTGTCCATGCGAGCTTTCCAGCGACCAGAGGCGTTACAAAATCGAGCACAGCGTTCATGCTGCCACCCAGGCCAGCGCCCCTAACATGATTCCCACGTACCCAAAGAACGATTCCAGAGGAAGCCGGCGTGCCAATCGAGCTGGAACACGTGGATTCCGAGCACCAGAGGTTCTCCTCAAATGCACTGCGCAGACCACGGCACTAGACATGTGGAGTGCAGGTGTAATCCTACTGACGTTTCTCTCCCGTCGTTTCCCTTTCTTCCACAGTGCTGATGATATTGATGCACTGCTCGAAATCACCAACATCTTCGGGAGGAAGAAGATGAAGGAGACATCTCTCCTTCACGGCCAGGTGTTTGAAACCAACATCCCAAGCTATACCGAGAGCGGTCATGGCTTTGAGAAGATCATTCTCTGGTGCACAAACCGCCATGGCAAACACGACAACGGCGAGAAGATCAGGATGGTTGGGGAAGAAAGGGAGGCGCTGGTGTTCATGGAAAAGCTGCTAGAGTGTGACCCCAAGAAACGTATGACGGCTGACGATGCCCTAAACGACCCCTTTCTCGCAATCCTCGGAGAGGAAACCGCTGGAGAGGAGACGGATGAAGACGAAGACATGGCTGAGCTTGTCGAATCATAAGACGGAATTCAATTCAAGGCGTACCGCGCACGCATCATGTATGGGATGGCCTTTCGGTTGGCGCATAGGAGGTTTCGGTTCAGAGATACCACGAGCATGGCTGGAGTTCAATGTTGTTATGGTGCATTGCAGCTTGTAGATACTGGCATTTGCGTGGTCTGTTTCTGTTCATCTGGTGCATTCAGCGGACATATTGTATTACTAAGATACCCTTACATTTTGACTAAAGAATTTAAGTTATCAAAAGCTTTAGCAGAGCGCGATATAGGATAATTGAAAGCCATTCGTTATCGATTTTACATTTTTACAATTACATCTGAGATACAATACGCGAGTTCTCCTATGCACCAAAATGCCAGCCCTCCGGTATCATACAGGTCACCTCTCATATCAGAAGTCATCAACGCCCTCTATGAATTCCTCTACATCCCCTTCAACTCTCCGCCCCCTTCCCAGCCGCTTCCTTCTCTCTCTGCGTCCTAATAGCCGCCCTCTCCCCATCCGTCAAGTTCCGCTTCTCCATCCTCTTCTCCTTCGCAGACAACCCACTCCGCACCGCCGGCTGCCCCTTCATCGCCCGCGCCCTCTCCTGCTCCGCCAATGCCTTAATCTTCCGGGTCGCCTCCTCTAAACTCGGTAATGGCAGCCCCCGCGCCTCCGCCTCCTTTACCCGCGCCGCACTCGCTGCCCTACCCCTCGCCGCCTGCCGCACATCCTTCTCGATCCTCTTCTGCGCGCGTATAGCTAGGAGCTCCGCGGCTGTAGGCACGGGCGGGCGCGCTTCGACGGGGGGGCCGAAGGGCGCGATGATGGCGGCGACGACGTGGCGGATGTTGCGCGAGGTGCGGAAGCCGGAGGCGATGCGGACGACGTCGCCTTCGCGGAGGGAGGAGTTGGGGTCGGAGACGAGGTGGGTTGTTGAGGAGGCGAAGTGCTGAGACAGTGATTAGTATGGTGGGAAGGGTTGGGGGGGTGGGGATGAGGCACTTTTCGGATCTTCTTGTTCCATTCTTGCTGGGCGATTTGGACCTTGACGGCTTTTTGCATCTTGCCTGCCGAGACGACGACGCCGGTTATTTGGCGCGAGGCGAGTGGGGGGGCCATGGTGGCCATTTGATGATGCGGTTGAGATGTGGGTGTATGGGGAGCTTCGGGAGGGGTTTGAGAGTGCCGGGACTCTAGGATATGAAGAGTTGAAATGAAGAGTGATAGGAGGAGACTCTGAATCCAGGAGATTGGGAATTCAGAGGACCAGAGTGCGGAATTGACTCGATGACGGTCTCAATGCCGTTCCGCGAACAATCGCGGAGGTGAGGATAAATCGACCCCTGCCCGCGTTGCCGAAGAAAGTCCGCGCCGTCCCAAGTGACATCTGTCGTTTTCGAAACCAATTCACTGGAACTGGCCACGATCCCGCAACCTTCCCTTTCGCCTCTTCTCGCGCCTTCATCACTCTTGGTTTGATGTCGTTCATGTAGCAACTTGTCCCTAAATTTCACAAAACCCCGCATTTACTGTTCTTATCATTCTTTTCAACCTGTCTGAGCCCCGTCACGATGCTGCTGCGGCTAGCATTGCTGCTGGTCTGCCTCTTACCAGTAGTCCTTTGCGCGGAAGACTTCTATAAGGTATGCTACAGCTCTTGGAACCCTACTATCTATCCCATACCATCTCTTTATACTCAGTTTCTACGAAACCGCTCGTATGCTCATTCTGACCTCATTATAGCTCCTGGGCATAGAAAAAATTGCTTCAGAACGCGAGATCAAGAAGGCATACCGCCGACTAAGCAAGCAATACCACCCCGACAAGAACCCGTACGTCCCACCTCCCCACCGGTCTACCTCGCCCCACCTCCAACTACCCCCAATCCCCCTCCAAGCACTCGATAACACCGTGAACCCCCGAACCCCCATCTGACATACCCCCTAGAGGTGACTCAAGCGCCCACGACAAATTCGTCGCCGTCGCCGACGCATACGAAGTCCTCGTCGACGAAGAACAGCGCCGCATCTACGACCAATACGGGCATGAAGGCATAGAGCAGCACAAGCGCGGCGGCGGGCGGCCGGGCCAGCACCACGACCCCTTCGACCTGTTCTCGCGCTTCTTCGGCGGCAGCGGCCACTTCGGGCACCAGCACGCCGAGCGCCGCGGGCCCAACATGGAGGTCCGCATTTCGATGCCGCTGCGCGACTTCTACAACGGCAAGAGCACGCAGTTCACGATTGAGAAGCAGGCGATTTGCTCCGAGTGCGAGGGGACGGGCAGCGCGGACGGGGAGGTCGAGACGTGCAATGTTTGTGGGGGCAGGGGGTTGGTGATAAGACGGCAGCAGCTGGCGCCGGGCTTGTTCCAGCAGGTGCAGAGTATGTGCGATGCTTGTGGCGGGAGGGGCCAGAAGATTAAGCATCCGTGTCCGGTGTGTGGGGGTTCGAAGGTGGTCAGGGAGCCGGAGACACATGAGCTTAATATTGAGAAGGGGATGCCGAAGGGCGTGCGGCTCACGTACGATAACGAGGCGGATGAGAGCCCGGATTGGGTCGCTGGAGACCTTATCGTGCATCTTCATGAGCAGCCTGCGGAACTAGGGACAGAGGAGGCGGACAAAACAGATGGGACGTGGTTCAGGAGGAGAGGGCACGATCTGTTCTGGCGCGAGGTGCTCAGTCTGCGGGAAGCGTGGATGGGCGACTGGACGCGAAATCTCACACACCTGGACGGCCATATCGTGCAGGTTTCCCGGAAACGAGGGGAGGTTGTGCAGCCAAATACTGTGGAAGTGGTCAAGAACGAGGGCATGCCAATATGGCACCAGGAGCTACCGGATGGCGTTGAAGAGGCATTTGGCTCACTGCACGTCGAATACGTGGTTGTATTACCGGATCAAATGGAAAAATCCATGGAGAAGGAGTTCTGGGCTGTCTGGGAAAAGGGGCGAAAAAAGAAGGGGAAAATAGACTTGCACAAGGACAGCGGGAGGCCTGCTCATGATGAGTTGTAGATTTCCTGTTTCAGCGCTGTAATATATGGCTTCCGAATATCCATTTCATGACCTTTCTTACTTGAATATGGAGATGTATAGCTTCTGAGTTTTCCATGCTCCCATCAATGACAGCGACTGGTTAATATGACTTTCACACACAGCTGTCCAATACCGAAACGTGTAATGCCAGTCATGCACACGTCTACCACATCACCACGCGACCAAACCATTCAAGCGGTGTAAGATTCTAGTACCTATCTCTAACCTTCCTCACACAGCCCTTTGCAAAACCCATTTAAAAAAACCCCCACAAACACATCTTGTAACCTCCAATCCAAGCCTACAAAGAACCCATCTCCAACCGACACCAAAAACCACGAACCCACACATGTACGGCTTCAACCCACCCCCCCGCCGCCGCCCGCGGCCCCGCCTCCTCCTCTTCACCTACGCCAGCGCCCACACGCCCCACCACACGCCCTTCAGCGCGCACTTCCGCGTCCCCGTGCTCTCCCTCCTCGACGTCTCGCGCTGCCGCGTGCCGCCGCGCGACATCTGCGCGACCATGACGGGGCTGGACGCCGAGTGCCGCCGCTACGTGTTCCAGTGTCCGCGCATACGGCAGATCTACGAGGCGGGGCGGCGGATGGTGGAGGATGCGGTGTGGCATGGAGCCCCGGTAGCGCTGGGGGTGAGCTGCGGGAGCGGGACGCATCGCAGCGTGAGTTTTGTGGAGAGGATGGCGAGGGAGTTGAGGGGGAGGGGGTGGGAGGTTGGGGTTGTGCATTTGGATATTGGGAGGGGGAGGTAGGGGGGTTAGATGGGTTAGATTGGGGGAGGGAGTCGGGTGTTTGGTTCTTTTTGATATGGCGATATGGGTGTTTATGAGATTATGGGAGGGGGGAATGTGAGGTGAACGTGAGCTTGAAGTAGCTGCTGGTGTAAGGAGGGTTCGCGCAGGCTGGAGATAGATCTTCGGTTCTAATTTGAAGGAGAGGTTTGGTTCGGACTCAGTCTGTCGCGAAAGGATACGGTCTAGACGGGTCGAGGGAGTGAATTATATATGTCGTGGCCAAAAATGAGAGTGACCGTCTTGAGGCCCGTTTGGAGGGTATCAACATTGCGAGGGTTGGAAGAACTTTGGGACAAGACGTTAGTCCAAGCAGTGAAGTTAGAGGGTGGTTAATACTCCGCACTTTCGGAAGCCCTCACGGCTTGCCAAGAGTTGCCGAAAGAGGAATTCCGCAACTTCGTTTTGCCGAACGAGGATTTTCCAGCCGCCCGCCGTCTTTGAGCCTTTTTGCAGATAGCTCAACAACCACACAAGCTAGCATGAATTTGACACCGGGACGTCACTCGCACCACCAAGTAGTATTTTTGAATAAGTTTTGGAGGAGACCCTACTCCAAATCGTTAAGTTAGAGGGGGGGTTGCGTACTCCACACTTTTGGAAACCCACGCGAGCTGCCAAGAGTTGCCAAAAGAGGAGACTCGCAATTTTGTTTTGCCGCCGCCGGGAAGGAGGATTTTCGAGCTTCTAGTCGCTGTTCAGCCTTTGTGTGAATAGCTTAACAACCTCACCTTGTAGCCTAGATCTAACACTGGGACGTGATTCATATAAACAAGTAGTATTTTCAGAGGGGTTATGGAGTTGAGCTTCCGACGCGTCGACGACTTAGAGGGGGGGGATGCGGTGCTCCGTCTCTCATACATACGGCGCATGTTCGGATTGTAGCGGTAGAGATATGTTAGAAAACGGTTGGGAGAATATTAATGAATGCATGAGTAGATGTAGAGAGGTAGCGAAGGCTTATAATGCGGGTGAGGTGAGAGACGGAATCACACAGTAACTACATGCAGATACACTTCTACCACGGGAGCGGCCCGGGACTTTTAGACCATTGAATTTATTTGAAGAATTTAGACTTCTACCTCTTACTTTGCACTGGCTAAGATTGATATGACTTGGTTGGCAGTAAATCATGCCCAAGTCAAGATTTCTCTCAGCACCATGTCGACATTCATTCACACACTTCCATCAGTGATCCCCTCTAGCAATTGTGCGCTGGCACTCAGCTAGGATAGCAGCCTGTCGACTGACATCGCCTAACTTCCCAATAACGACCTTGTTTCCGTCGATAAAACCATACGTCGCATAGGGGATATTTGCCTCTTTGCAGAACTCCCGCACCAATTCCTGGGTGCGCCTAAGGTTGTGGCGAGGCATTCGGGGGAATAGGTGGTGGATCGCCTGGTATTGAAGGCCTCCATGGAAGAAGTCTAGCCACTGTGGGCAATCTACGTCCATGGTTGTCCTCAGCATCTTCTGCGGGAAGGATTCGGTGGTTCCCAGGTCGGCCGTGCTCATGGCGAAGTGACTGAGCGTAATCTGACAATGTAGCGGCATCGTGATCATGTGGCTGATCATGACAAATGCGAGCTTGTTCCATCCGCCGGGGATAGTCTTGTATACAACAATATACCCGTACCAAGTCCAAAAGAATACCTGGCCCACTATCTCGAAATAGCGATGCCACCAAGCTTTACCCTTGCGAGGTCCTTGGCCGGATAGCAGATATAGCCAGCTGAGTCTGTAGAGGTTGAAGCGTCCGAAGGAAAGGATGAGGTAGTAGAGGTAGTCTTGATATCTAATCATAAATTTGGCAAATGCGTCATACGTCATGATTCTTTCGTAATAGCTTGAGGTCAGCGACCCAAAGAATTTATGCGATATTGCAAAGAACGGCATGTGCTGGATATCGGGGTCGTGTTCGGTCGAGTTCGTCACTAAATGGTGAACGTTGTGGTTGAACTTCCACCATCCTATGCTGAGTCCGCCGCAGTAGTCTGCAATGAGCATGCCGATGACTGTGTCGGCCGTGAAGTTGTGAGTGATGCCCGCGTGACCTGCATCATGGACAGTGAAGGATAGTTGATGCCATAGGGTACCAAGGAAAAAAGCACTTGGTATGTACCAGCCCCAACTGAGAAAAAGGACGAATAGGGAGAAAAAGAGGATGTATCGAACACCTTCAATGGCGTAAGAAGAGTATCGACATTGATAGAGGTTCTCCGCTTCAATCCGCTTTTCCAGCTTTCGGTATTTTTCGACAACATCTGCCTGGGTGGCTGGGTCTAATGAGGGGTATAGGGACTTGTCAAGGTCAATTTCTCGTTGCGTGCGAGCATCCATGACCGACATCGTTGGCTTCTGCGCGCTGTCGTCCAAACCGGTGGAAGAGATCGAAGAAGTTGAGGACGTTCGGCTCATACGGATGTCGCCAACATTTCGTCGCCGAACTGAAGCTGACGGCTGATCGGCTGGGTCGAATATCGGGGATGAGTCCGCAGACGATGGTGTGCTTGAGGTATCTTGCTCAGATGTGACTTCTAAAGCACTGTCGTGCTCCACAAGGTCCGATTTTTCCAGAGTCCTGAATTTCCCGCCTTGGATGGGAGGGAGAAAGTTGACCCATAATCCCTCGACGCGGCCAATCTGATATTGTTCCATGCCTGCTCTGGTTTCCTTGGAGTGGAAGCTGGATAGATATCAGCAAGTGCTACAGCATGAATGGTGCTGGTACGTACCGATCAACCTCATCCGTAGCATCCCGTCCGACCATATGCGCAATGGCTTTGTCTCCGCCAGGGTGATATGGTATCCATGCGTCCACCTTCAAGACTTTACTGTCAACTATGACAATGGAATGCCCATTAGCAATGAGAGCCTCGACTTGACGTCTTCCTACTATTTGGGATTTGCGGGTCGATTGGGGCTGAGGCCGCGACGATGCATTTCTGGAGGCCATGGGGGCGTATGGGGTTGTGCGGAGGGTAAGAGGGCTCAAGCGGTGAGACTTTTGTAGGAGCTCTGCTGGCTCGAGCGGTGAGGTGTGTCTTGCTCGAGCAGTTGGGGGTGGAATCGAGGGACCATGCTGTATTTCGTAGGAAAGCAAAGGAGCTTTAACAAGTGGGGAAGAGACCGGGATGGGAGCGGTGGACGAGCCCAAGACGATCAAAATAGCGAGAAGCAGATACCGCCCATACGCTGGCCACTCAGAAGACGGTCACTGTTGGGGAGCTAGTTAGGGCGTCACGGCGTGTCAAAGCTTCATGTTCTGTTTAGCCGACTCCATAGCTCGAGGAGCAACTTTAATCCACAATGTCGGGGCAGCATGACGCCAGCAAACACCCACATACGCCCTCAACGTCGACCTGGCACCTGCAGCCGCTTTCTGGTAATATTTCCCCATCTCCAGAACGTGAATACGGTCACGCAACAACCCCCCCGGCGGAACCCGATCAGATTATCCAAGAATCTGCAACAGCTGATCTGAAAACCCGCTGCCGAGCCAAGACCGACGACAAATCAAGAAGATCACGGAACGTGGCCAACGTTGGAGCGAACAGTATTTTGCTCTTATTAACTGACAGACTGTGCTTCGATCTCTAGTCGTTCAAGTCACGCATTCTCCACCTAAAAGTGAACAAATACCTCGTCTATCAACTTATCGGCATCCAACAACCCAGAACCATGGCGCGAACTCCCCAAGAGCTAGCAGATGAATGGCTGCGTCTCGACAAAGATGACTCGACTAGAAACGAGATCAACAGCCTCCTCAAGCGTGGGGACACGGATGAGCTGCAGCAACGACTAGGGACCCGGATTGCTTTTGGAACCGCAGGCCTCCGAGGCCCTATGAAAGCTGGGTTCGCATGCATGAACGCTCTGACCGTCATTCAAGCCTCACAAGGACTGGCCGCCTACCTTCTCGAGACCGAGGATGATGTCCAGCACCGGGGGATTGTCATAGGCCGCGATGCACGCCACAACTCGGAGAAGTTTGCAAAGCTGGCGGCTGCTGCCTTCGTAGCAAAAGGCATACGTGTGTGGTGGTATGAGACTCCCAGCCACACTCCCCTGGTCCCATTCGGAGTGCGGCATCTCAATGCTGTCGCCGGGATCATGGTCACAGCGAGCCATAACCCTGCCCATGACAATGGATATAAAGTCTACTGGTCCAACGGTTGCCAGATCATCCCCCCACATGATGTGGGGATCGCGGCTGCTATTCTCAAGAACCTAGAACCGGTGACCTGGGACACTTCTGTGGTGGACGGCGAGGACGGCGATGGCTGCTCTCTCTTGGTCGAAGGATCTCTCAGCCTCGTACAGGACAAGTACTATGAAGTTGTCTGGACAGCCGTTCTAGGAAATAGCGAGCAGCCACTAAAGGCACCCGAAATCAGCTTCGTGTACACACCTCTGCATGGACTGGGCCTCCTACCTATGACGCGAACCGTAGAAATCCTCGACCTTTTCCCAATTGAGAACATGCACGTCGTCGAGTCTCAGGCGGAACCTGATCCAGACTTCCCCACTGTCAAATTCCCCAATCCAGAAGAGAATGGAGCCCTGGATCTGGCCAAGGCATTAGCTGACAAGGAGTCCGTATCCTTGATTCTCGCAAGCGACCCTGATGCCGATCGACTAGCCGTAGCCGAGAAGCACGACGGAGGATGGCACCAATACACAGGAAACCAACTTGGCATCCTACTAGCCTCCTATCTCCTCGAGGTCCAGGGCCATACCAGACCTACAAGCGAGCTAGCAATGCTCGCATCGACCGTGTCGTCTAGGATGCTAGCAACTTTGGCTGCCAGAAGAGGATTCCACTACACGGAGACTCTCACGGGTTTCAAGTGGCTGGGGAACGTGGCTCGTGATCTCTCTGCTCAGGGCTACAAGGTTATCTTTGCGTACGAGGAGGCCCTCGGCTATATGATTCCTACTGTGGTCCACGACAAGGACTCGATCAGTGCTGCTGCGGTCTTCCTGATGGCAGTAGCATACTGGAACACAAAGAATCTCAAGCCTTTTCAGAAGCTTCAGCAGCTCTACGAAGAGCTCGGATACTTCGAGGAGGCGAACACATACCTCATCTCGCCCTCAACCGCCGTCACCAACGAAGTCTTCAGGACAATTCGGACTCTGCGACATCCACACCCGACGACACTTGGAAGCAGAAAGATCCTGGCTTGGAGAGACCTCACGCTCGGATACGACTCAACGGCAAAGAACCACGTACCGTTTCTGCCTGTAGACAGTACCAGCCAGATGATCACGTGCGATCTGGATGACCAGGTGCGATTTACGGTGCGAGGGTCTGGCACGGAGCCGAAGATCAAGCTGTACATCGAATGCCGAGCGTCTACCCGTGCATCTGCGAGAGCTGGGGCGGACTCGGTCCTGAAGGATTTGCTGAGCGAGTGGTTTGTTCCCGAGAAGACTGGGCTTCGACTGGCATGAGGTTTGAGCGGGATGGGCCACGAGACTGATCGGGCGTTCGGGATAGAGCATCATTTCCTTGGCAAGACATGCTAATGGATGGGCGGCGATGTTCGTTGTTCGTTTTCGGAAGATTCCTACGGTGCGACGAATTAGAGGCTCGAAGATGAAAGTAACTAGGCAATGTGATCACGAACATTACATATATTTAGCGCAAGAGCGTGCATTCTAGCGTGGGATGGTATGTTTGAGTGCATCGCCTCCCCCCTTTGTCAACGGTGACCTGGCAGAGACGCCGTGCTTCGTGCAACAAACAGTACATCGCAGTCTTCTACAACACGTTAGCAGTTTGCCTTTTTAGACGCCCACTCCGAGTCGACGGCGGAGCTGAGGCGTTGTGGCGCGATTCCCATGATCAGAGACATCGGTGTGCCTCCTGGGACTGGCGATCTCCACGCAGCTGTCCGGCCGCCCACGCAAGGCGAGAACTCGAGCAGCACTATCAGGCCAATCAAATGGTGCAGAAGGCAAACTCTGTGACAGGTCATCGCTTTATTTGCCGCACGGCTGCCTCTGGTCCCCTCACGGCCGGCGAAGAGCAGGAGGGTTCTGCCATTTTGTGGTCCAAGAGAGCGGCTGGCGGCGGGTGTGCCGTCTGATCCACGGCGGGCACCATGTCGAGGTGAATGAGGTGAATCAGGTTCAACTCCACGTTCGCTCTGGTCAAGGCCCGCGCCAGGGTCAGCTTATCGGCGCTAGGAGCGGATCACCTTCCCCGGAATTTATCGCCCAATGGTGGTGTCTCCCAGGCCGCGCTGCAGCCACCGCCCGAATCCCCGGGAGGCCCGTTCGGCGTTGGCCTCAGAATTTTGGCAAGGCAACCGCTGCACTTCCTCCCGTGCCGGCGCGTCCAGTTTCACCTGGCCGCTGCACCAGAAGAGTCACTTCTGTCGCCTGCCTCCGGCGCGTGTCTTGCTGTCGTCGCCCTCACCCCGCCCTATCCTCTCTCTCCACCCCGTCGCCCTCGCCCTTCCTCCCTCCTGTCTGCATAGTCGTCGCCGGGTCGCAGCTGTTTCTAACGCTCTTGTAGTCGCAGATCTCTCGCTCGCTACTTTTTGGTAGGCCAAAAGTCCCCGCCAGAAGCTGCGACCCCAATTGCTAACATGGCGCAAGACTTTTCGCAGCCCTGCAATGGCCCAATGCTAGGCAGCGCGCGTCCTCTCTGGGATGCTTAGCTAGGCGCCCATGGCGGCGTTTACACAGGCGTCGCCTTCGACCGCGATTCCTCCTGCGACTTCGACGCAGCCTCCCTCCTCCAAAAGACCCCTCCCCAACGGACCCTGTAACCATCGCGATCGGGCTGTAGGGCCTTGTGGCTGTAATCAGTTCTGGGACAAAGGGAGTGAGGATATTCATGATGCTAGTACTGAGCATCGACCGAGCAGCGAGCGCTCTACCTGGTGTGTATGCGGACATCATGCCTGCTTCCACCAAATGGAGTGTCGCCCGAGAGACCGGCTACCTACCCCAATCTCGGCCAGAGCTATCAGCGGCTCGGTGTACGATGCGCGCGTCAATAATTCATCTGGAGTAAGACCACTGAGGACAGTGCAGGAGGACGGCGCGACATTAGGTCGTTCGCGAGTTGCGACTACGGGTACTCTAGGCCGTTCAACGAGCCAGCGACCCCAAAATGATAGGATTGGACGGCCGAGCGAGCAGCCACATGATTCTCTCTCCGAGCCGAGCACCTCCTACCAACCTCGAATCCCTTCGGTATGCTTGATGGATACGAACGAGCGAGCTCCTTTTACAACCCACGTAGAGACACAAACAGGAGCAAATGGGAGGAGTCAGTTCAGCCGAAGCCCTGCTGGACTCGGTCTGCTAATGAACATGAGTGGTGTTGGGCTGGCCGACAATCGTCGACAGTCCTTCTCGACGGTGCCCGATGATGCGAGCGTACACCGCCACCGTACTGACTCTGAAGTCCCGTCAACCAAAGCCAACTCCATATCGGACTACAATGCTCAGCAGATTAACGCCGCTCACGCCACCTTGGGTCAATTCGTAGACTATAACCGCCAAGTCCCGCAGATTCATATCAACCCGCACGATGCCATCCCAGACACTTATAATCCGGAGGACTGTATTACAAGCGCAACAGAAGTTGCGACACCCAGCATTCACAATACGCCTGACCTAGCAGCTGTAGACCGTAATGTCCAAGAAGCTAAAAGGTTTGTGGAATCGCTCGCACGAAATGCTGAAAGGAACGCCTCTAGTGGACCGGGAGACACACGGCCGAATACTGCAACCCCCAATCTGGGAGGTGGTCCTCAGCTTCTAATAGGCAATTCTCCCGCCAATCCCCAAGATCCTTTGCATAACGCCTTCAGGTCTGCTTCGCCTCAGCTGTTGCAGAACATCTACCCCTATCTGGCTCCCTTGCACAATCTGCTTAGCTCCATTCCGAACATTCCATTGGCCTTCCGAGAAATCAATGACCGCATAGATGGATTCGAGGCTAATTCGTTTGCGCATGTAAACCCTGACGACTTCAATCAGCAATGCCAGCTCCTTGATGAACGGCTGCTGCATCTTGAGTCACGCATGGACGATCACGACAAATTGCATACTGCGATCGACGCCGACCAAAGCAGTCGTGACCCGTTTGCTCCCGGTCTGCGAGGACTGAGTGGATCCGGATCACTACAGTCTCATCAGTCATTCCAAAGCAGTGTAGTGCAATCTATGACATCAACATCCCTGGCCGCTGCTGCGATTGATCGCAAGGACATCGAGGTCAAATTTGAAAGCATCGAAGAGCGTATTGGCACCCTCGAAGCTGCAGCGTTGCCTACTTCGGTTGCGCCTTGGAATATTGAAGTCGTGCTGCTACCTTGGGGGAAGGATTTGCGAGGCATCTGGTATTCTCCGGACGAGGCGATGCACGAGTCGTCAGCCAGAACCCAGGACACCGAGGAATGGACTCAAGCTCGAAGTGTGAGGTCGATGTCAAGGAGCTCGTTGCCTTTGAACGAAGCGAACAGTGGTTGGAGCAGTCAAGCTATTAGCCAATGGGCGGATGACACCGACGACTGGTTGTATCCAAAGGCTTGCGGCCGAAATAACCTGGCATATCAACGACTCCAGAGCCGAGGTTTCGTTCGTAATGTCAGTATCACCAGCGCGAATGCGGGAGACATCCAAAATGCCATCGGGAAAACCTTTGGAGCCCTACTCGACCATCTAGGGTCTGCTGATGATGTCGAGGACGGTCAACATTCAGACAGCGGGGAACGTTCAGTCACCACTCATCCAGGTCTGAAGGCATCCTTTATTCCTCTTCGGAAAGTCTTCAAGTCATCCAGGCTTAGATTCCTCAGCTCGGCAGAAATGTCCACTCCGGCTCTTTGGACGGCTCAATTCCTCGTTTCTGGCATTACTATGCGACTCTCGAAAGCAGTGAGGCGACTATACGTTACCCAGCGTGGGGCCTACCTTCAAGAGAGCAACAACATAGAGGCTTGTTGGACGTGGCAACGCCTGCGCGAACTACCACGTATCCGTCCCGACTCCAAGTCGTCGCAAAACGAAGGCATCAATTACTCTAACGCCTCCCATGTCGCTGAAGCCGACGCCAAAGAATCCTACTGGTCCTTCAACGTCATGCTCGACCAACCCGCCAGCGCCACCTCCTCCTTCAGCAGCACCCATACCGGCCAACTCACCCTCTGCCAAGCCGACCACTACCAGTGGCCTGCCGAAGAACCCATCCCAGAAAACTTGTCCACCACCTCCAAGCCCAAAGCCCCCCTCTCACCCCTCTCCATCTTCCCAACCCGCCGCCCCTCCCTCCACCGCCGCCGCACTCTCTCCGCCCCGCTAACTGACGACGACGCCTTCGCCACCACTCACACCGAACAACAAGCCCAGCACTCCGCATCCACCAGCAAGCGTCGCATCGGCGCCTCCTTCGACGCCCGCGCGCGCCGCGCCTCCCACTCCCTCTCCCGCAACCACTCCGCCTCCAATCCCAAACGCCTCCGCCTCCACCGCTCGCCCTCCCCGTTCCCCCTGCAGCATTACCAACCCCCTGTACCTGTTTCCCAACCCAGCTCCTCGCAAGCCGCGTTCCGCTACATGAACACGCCCCGCCGCAGCAAGGAACCGCCGTCCCCGTTCTTCAGCAGTCCGAACCGCGTGCCGCGGAGCAACTCGAACTCGGACGCCACGTCGCGAAGCCAGTGGTCAGCGGTGGCGGGGGCGGAGATGCGGTTTGTGCAGGGAATGGGGCAGGGGCAGGGGGTGAAGGAGGGAGGCACGCCGTTTGCGTACGCGACGCCGCATTCTGGGACCGTGGTTGGGGGCCGGGGGTTTGAGGGGGGTGAGGGGGATACGGAGGTGGATACTGTGGATGGGGATGCGAATGATGATAGTAGGGAAAGTCGGGGTGGGCGGAGGAGTCCGAGTACGTGGAGGCCGCCGCAGAGGGTGGATGATGGGGAGATGGAGGTCGAGATGGAGAATGGGAGGAGTGGGAACGAGGATGAGTTGGGGATTGATGTGGTGGGTGGGGCGCAGGAGGTGGAGACGGAGATGAGTATGGGGGAGAGTGGGGACGAGGATGGGTTGGGGGGGTTCAGTGAGGGGAGCAGTGGGAGTGATTCGGGGTTTGCGGAGGAGGATGAGTATGAGGAGGATAACGATGATTCTGATGAGGAGGACGATGGGGACCTGTTTTGAGTGTAGGATATTCCATGGGTTGGTGGGGTCTTTGGGTTTCGTTTAGTTTGGTATGGTATGGTATGGGAAGGGTAGGTTGAAGGATGATGGGGTTGGCTAGCCCCCGTCTCTTCTGGCTTTGGCTCTGGGAAATGCCCACGCGGTGTTGGGTATCGGTTCCTTTATGGATCCTCACTCAAAGTTGACGACACACGAGCGAGCGAGCGAGCGGCATTGGGCATATGGGATGCTTTCAGGGATCTTTTTTACGTTGTATCATAAACTGCAGCGATCTCCCTTCTCAAATGGAGAGGTGAAGATAGGGGTGTATAGTAGAATGTGAGAGGATCTTAGTTTATGTCATGTGCTAACGGAGATTAAATAGTGAAGGAGACCTCATGATATCGTGACTTAGCACGTGTGCTGGAATCTCTACGGGTATAAAACCTTGCTCTCCCTTCCCAATCCCAGTCTTCATGGTGAGCCCAGTTTCGGAGGTGGTGTAAAACATCACCTTGGTCTCTTTCATGGGTAGTAGCCTGGGTTTCTGCAAAATTCGACCTAGAATGGCTCCCATGTGGCGGCCGCGAATTGGGACCGTGGTGTCAAAATCCGCAAAACCCGCCGCCATGTGGTGTGTGTGCAAAACCGAGAAGAAGACAACGAAATGGAGGGTTGGCGCAAAGCAGACCAAGTCATTGATTTAGTCTATCGCGTGGTGATGGTGAGTATAATGATTTTTCAGACCGGGCGAGAAGCCACTCTTGCGGAAGTAGGCAATTCTAAGCATTAGAATGGATAGAGAATCCCCATTGTTTCAATATCAACAAGCTAGTTATTACGTTTTCTCGAAATGCTGCATGAGGTAAGCGCACGGGCCTTTGATACTTTGATATCGCTTCACCGTCTTCAGCCCACGCCTTTCCATCCCCAACTCCTGCCCGAATCCGCCTGTTTCCATGACCTTCCACGCCGCAGAATCCGCGATGTTGCCTGGAGCGTCCCGCGCAGAGTATGGCCTCTGATTGGCTCACAGGCTTACTAATCCTTGGCAAGCTCTGGTCTCCTCGACTATAAAAGCACCAGGTCGCCCACCTCAAAAATCCTTTCTCCAGGGGCGCTGCTAAATGTACACCCTATATTTACTCGGTGTACACCCCTTTTCTACTCCGTATACACCCTTCTTACGTCT